GCGTGATCGGTGATAATGGTAAATTCGTGTCCTTCCACGTATGCTCTAAAATTCTTCAGGGCTACTATAGCTGCTAAGCACTCCTGTTCGGTCACGGTATAGTTCCTCTGCGCACGATTTAATTTCTTCGAAACAAAAGCTATCGGACGTTCGTCTCCCTCTTGAGATAATTGTACCAAGACGGCACCGACACCAGTCTTGCTAGCGTCACAATGGATGGCGAACGGCTTAGAAAAATCCGGGCTACTCAATACCGGAGCTTCACTAAGACGACTCTTCAGCGCTTCGAATGCCTTCAGTGCTTCAGGAGTCAAACAGAATTTACGTTTTGTTGTCATCAAGTCGGTTAAGGGAGAAGCGAGAGAGGCAAAATTTGGTACAAATTTGCGATACCAGCCGCATAATCCCATAAAACTCCTTAAACCTCGTAAAGTTTTAGGAACAGGAAATTCGGTAATTGCTTTGACCTTATCAGGATCTGTTCGGATTCCGCCATCGCCAATAATATGGCCAAGATAACGCACCCGTCGCATACAGAAATGACTTTTGCCAATATTGATTGTCAATCCTGCACGCTTGATGTGAAATGCGATCTCTCTGAGAACGTCAAGATGACTGTTAAAGTTGGAGGAAACTACAAGAAGATCGTCTAAATAAACGAATACTTCGTTTCTTAGATGCGCTGGAACGACTTTGTCCATTAAGCGAGACATGGTACTTGTGGCATTGCATAGGCCAAAAGGCATTACCTTAAATTGGTAAAGAGGCCTACCGGGGACTGTAAACGCAGTCTTGTCTCGAGAATTAATTTCTAAAGGCACCTGCCAATAAGCATCTTTCAAGTCCAAGCTTGAAATATATTCCGCCTTAGGCAAACGACTCAAAATTCCGCTGATTTGAGGAAGCTGATATGCGTCTTTCTCTGTAAAGCTATTGACTTTTCGACAATCTAAACAAATTCTAACTTTACCAGGTTTGGTAACCATCACTATAGGGGAAGACCAAGCGCTTTCCGACTCTTCAATTACGCCCAATTGCAACATCCTGTCAATTTCGGCGTACATACTCTTCTCAACAGCTGGCGACACTGGAAAATGGCGCTGTTTAATCGGCTTTGCTCCACCCACATCTATTGAATGAGTTATTAAATTCGTTTTTCCAAGTCCTTCCTGCGTGAATGACGGGAAACAATTGATGACATTGCCAAGCTTTGCTTTTTCCTCAGCAGACAAGTCGTGTTGATCAACTTCGACCTTGCTGCTAGCTTCGATAGTAGTTTCTAACTCTGATATATTAAGGTTTTTGGGGAGAAGATCATATAGTCTCCAAAAATCTATACCTAAATAAAGATCATGTTTCAAAGACGGTACTAGGTAAATATTTAAAGGTTTTCTCTTGTCTCCATATTCTACGTCAATTTTCATTCTTCCTACTACTTGCTGAGGTCGTCCATCTGCTGTTTTGGCTTTAATGTTTAATGGCTTGTATTCGGTATCATTCGCCATAACTTCTTTAGCTAGATCTCCTCCAATACAACTTATTGAGGCCCCTGAGTCCAGCAAACCAAAAACAGTACGGTCTAATAAGCGAATCGGCAGAAATGGTCGTGGATCTCTTGATCCCGTAGGGAGAGAACAAATATATTTCAACCCGAGCCTACAGCTTTTAACATTCTGCCAAAACCTTTTAATTCTTTCGGAGCTGCGAGACTTACGGATTTCTAAGAGATGTTCAGAAAACACAGTAGGAGTTAAAATCTGAGGTAACTTTTTAAGTTTACAATGCAGTAGAGAGCCGACATTGCTTTTTGATACGTCCGGGGAAGTTGGTGATGCGACTAATGGTGCATTCACATCTGATCGGTCATAGTTGATTGGTGACGAGAGGCATTCAAAGTCTTCGGTTTGAACTGCGACTTCGAACTGCCGGGCTTTAAGTTTTTTGAGCACTTAACGCAGTTTGGCTTATAGGTGTTAGCGGTTCCGCAACCGTAACAAAATACGCGCTTCTCTGATAAGCAATCTTGGTATCTGTGCCCTTCTTTGCGGCAATTCCAGCATACCAAGGAAAATGCGTCCACCTCTAATTCACTTTCGGATTCGGACCCATTCTGAGAATCTGGCTCTTGAATAAGCTCTGAGACTTCTCGTCTAAACGGTGTGTTTTTACTGTATCCGTGAGAGCGTTTGACATCGTCTAGAAAAGCTTCGCGTCGACGACAAGTTTCTCTCAACTCAGATACTGAAGAAATGTCAACATTCAACAATTCATGGCGTATTTCGGGTCTCAAATTGTTTTTGAGAATTCGGACAAGTTTTCTCGGCGACCATGGTACTTCTAACTGATCGACTAATACGTTTACACTATCGTAAAAACTATCAAAAGATTCATTGGGCTTTTGTTTTCTGTTTCTGATTAACTCTTCTACATCAATATCGTCCCTTTTTTGACGAAATTGCAATCGCAAGGCAGAACATAATCTATCCCAACGTACTTCGGTTACCGATTTATGGTAACGCCAATAAAATTCGTTGGCTTTGCCCTCGAATAAGACGCTAGCATTTCTGCAAAGCACTGAGAAGTTGCCTTCAAGTGTCTGATGCGTCAGCGCTTCGACTCTGTAAATAAAATTGTCTATCGATACACCTGATCCGGAATATTTTATCTTCCATCCATTCAGGATATGCACGACCTTGTCGGGTCTATTTAAGAGATCAGAAGGGATACTTCTATGAGAACTTGGAGAACCTAAGTTAGGCGCGACAAAATTTGTGTTTTGGATATGTTCATTGCCAGAAATTGGTCGGTCTAAGGGTGGTGGAGTAGCTGACCTATCTCTGTCATTCGCATTGGAGCTAGATGGAGGGGAGATTAATCTCTGAATACTGTCACTCACTGAAGTTTGTATTAACTCAGTCATTTTCTCTGACAACACTGTGAGCAGTCTTCGCTCCATTGAGAGTAACGTCATTGCATTAGCAACATTAGCTGGATCTACATCCCTACTGCTACTACTATGAGCGCCTCCTGACGTACCAGGGACGTTTTCAGATATATTTCTATCATCAATACTTTCTGTGCCACGACTTTTAGATTGGGATCGCGTTTGTAAACCTTTACTCTCGGCTACTGGCCTGCAAGAAATTCTGCATACTGGACAGCTTTCACTTTTCTTCAAATGTGCCTCAATACATTTCTTGTGAAATTCGTGATGGCATACAGTTTCAAATAAATCGGTTGCTGCCTTAATATCTGCTTTACATAACGGACAGACTGGCTTTGCACCTCCTTGCGATGCTTTTCCCGGAGAACGGTCTAATCCCATTTTGAAAATTTATAAAAATATAACAAAAGCAAAAAAAACAAAATGTTGTATCCTTAATTTCCAACGATTTAAACAACAGCTCAAAACCAAAATAATTTAAAACCAAAATGTTGTATCATTAATACCAAATGATTTCAACAACAGCTCAAAAAGAAATAAAAAGATAAAAAAAAAAATGTTGTATCATTAATATCAAATGATTTCAACAACAATCGGTAACTCTCACGATATAAACTGTGGTTATAATAATAAAGATAAAGCTTTAACTCTAGCTTGATGTCCACAACTCGTAGGATAAAAATTTTATTTACTACTAACATTTCTCAGGAAAGAAGAAAAGAATACAGATGAAGTGAATTTCTTGCCTTTCTTACTACAAGAAAATTCAATAAGGGAAGTAATTAGGCTTTAATAAATATGAAACGGATAAGTTATTCTTAAAAAAAAAGTTCTTATGTTCCAGTCTCAACTCACATAAGTCTAATTCCTCTAAGAAAAAATTATAAATAATTCTTTCTAAAAGTCAACCGTGGATAGGGCACTTCAGTAAAACAATGCCTCTATTTTCCGAAACGCCTAAGCTTGAAGAAAGCATTTATTTAAGTAAGTGTGAATATTGTAGTGATTTGGTAAACCAGCAAGGGCCAGAAGATCAATCGCAATTTGATACTCTCTGTATTTTCCTCAGACTAAGTTTTCCTTATCATCACATACAAAAGGAAGGAAAATTCTTACACGGACTTTTAATTAAGGCCAGACGGAAACTAATGTTCACTTGCTCTGTTATCCATAATAAATAAAAATCAACATAAGAGATTTTGATCAGAAGTTAAAGTTGAAATAAATGAAAGAAAGAAAAGAGATTGAATTTATCTATCGGTGAGTCTTAATGAGGTAATACTGTACTCACTAAGGCCCCACACGTTGGCCGCCACCTTACTTAATAATAATAATAATAATAATAATGATATTATAACTGTAGCGTGTAACGAAGGTATTCTGTGGTGAGTTCTAGGATCTGTCCTTGCGGGTGCACACTATAGGGTCCGGCTCTCGCTCGTCTGCTTTGGGGGTGGAGGTCTTGCTTAGACAAATCCGCACACTAGCTACATATTATTATTTTTAAGACCAGAATTGAGTGTGCTGACGAAAATAAATGCGAGATATCAAAATCAGAAGAGAAATAGATAAAATTCAAAAAAAACAAGAGATAGAAAAGATCGAGAAAAGTTAGAATCAGCGATGCCACAGATGTTGTCGTGGTCGCGAAATGCCCACCCTACCTATGATCACCATCCTTCAGAGCTAAACTCCGGTGACCCCTAATACCCTACGATTGTGGAAGCATCAGCCGAGTTAAAAAAAACGTGAACTACTCGAAATTCATTTCAAATACAATTTAATTAATAGTTATACAAGAATTCATTATTGTTATTTGCTAACAGGTAGATACTACAAATTTTATATAAATATAATAAATGATATACAGGCGATAAAAATACTATTTAGATACTTAAATATTTAAATGATGTTATCCTCATAAATTAAAGTAGTTATAATGTTCGTATATATTTAAAAAGATAAGAAATAAGAAAAATATAGGGTATTCAGATATCGTACTTCACCAATAAAAAATATTACTCTGGTATAACAATAGATATTTAAATTTCATTGCTTTAATTTATTTTTTTTATTTCACTAAATCATCTTCATTCTGTTTGATATCTTTTTGTTTAATTTAATTTAGTTTAGTGAGGCTATCGGTTCAGGGTTCTTTTAAATTCACAGTTTCATTCAAGTAGATTGTTAAAAATTATTTCATAGAGTATTTCGCAATAAGATATAAATAGAATAGATATAAATGCAATAATGAGAATAATAAACTCACAGCTTATACGTTGTTCCAGCGGCGAAAGATCGATCTCCCGGGCAGGTGGCTGTAAAGGGTGAAATTGGGGCTCGAAAACACAAAACTATTCTATAAAAATCTTTTAACTTGGAACCCTTTTAGGCATACATATTTTACTGAGAACCGACTGTGATATCTTCACTTAACCACATTTTTAAATTTAATATTCACTATTGTTTCTTATCAGAAGTTGCTGTTTTCAAATTATATCTAAATTTACAAAAAAAAATAAATATTTAATTTATCGCTTTTAAGTCATAGTTGAGCGAATTTTCCAAAACAAAATCGATGCGTAAATAACTCCACTCGTGAAAAATTAAGTTTTAAATTTAATTTAATTTAAATATTACGTTTTAGACTGAATCATTCAGACTTTAGAAAATATCACTTAAACTTGATTTTTACGGCATGTTGCTATCTTTGATTCATTAAATTTTCTTCACTTTGGCACGTTTCAAAACTTTCAAATTTTTAATTATAATATTTCACTTAAAAAAAAATCGCAGTAGCGGCTTAAAAGCAATTCCAGGTTATATATTCCCTTTTGTGTCCATATTTGGCTATACTAAATCTGCTGCTGCTGCTGCCGTGGGTAGAGAGGGTTAAACATCTCTCTAAATCACTTCTTTAATGCCGCATTCTTGAATTTAATTCCAGCTGAAACTCCTCATTTTTCTTGTCCGATTTTTATTCCTTAATTTTCCTTTAATTCCGATTCTTATTCCTTAATTTTCCTTATCCGATTTAATTTGGGGCACGATATACAATCATGCCCCCCACTGTCTTGAAGGGGTGCTCCCACGGATGCCAATATTGATGGCCACGTGAGAAATATATATATCATATATATCTAAAGAAAATCTGGGGTTAGAATTGATAAAAAATCTACTTCCACCACTTACATCGCAATAGTTTTCCAAAATTAATCACAAAAATATTATTCAGCTAGGCTCGCTGCACTTATTCCTCTTATTATTTTCCACGATTTCAATATATAGTGTTTAAACAAAACTTTGTTGACGTTGAGAAAAATTGGCACGTCTGCTCATATCGGATGTCAATCAGAAAAGAACCTTACCAAATATAGGTAGTGTTGGGCTAGGGTATGGTCGGAAGTTCGCCACAGATGATAACACCATATGTCTAAGACGAGCTTCCCACTGCATCTCTGTTACAGCTGATTTATCGAACATATGTGTAATTAGCTAAGACACTAAGCCGAGCTTAGATATATTTTAAAGCATGCTTCTAGGCCGAACTAAACTATCTGGTCGCTACAGGCGCCGTTACAGAATAAGTAAAATGTTCAAATTTAAATATTCATTATCTGAAATTGCCAATTAGTTGCAAAATACTTGTAACTAATTATAAAAGTATTTAAAATAACTAACTCGTTAGAATGATTTGCATACAAAGTTTAATATTTATGCTACATTTATTACCAATGCTTAATATCTTCTTAAATTGTGATTGTACACAAAGAAACCTTTTGCATATAGTTGTTGTAAACTTTGGTATCCGTATATCCCCAATGAATCAATCAAGTTATTCAGAAAGTTATTTCAACCATAAAGTTTACAGTTCGAAACTTAAACCAAACTTTTCAGTTGGTCAAAGAAATGTGGCGAGCGGGGAGGAAATCAAAGTTTCCAGACTTTGTTCCAGCGCCAAAGCAACCCCCCAGAAATCGCCCAACTTCCCCTGCTGCGATTGCCATGTACAGAAATAAACTAGATTACTAATACGCCGTGTTGTGCCACATTGTGCTCGGGTTATTTACAGTCAGCAATTGCAACAATTTACTCAGTGCAGCCAGACAAAATGGCGGCAACGCCAGTTCATAAGTATTGGTGTCTATGTCCATGTAACTATGAGTGTGTGCGTGTGTGTGTGTGTGTGCTTGCAACCTCGCTGACAGCATTTGGTGCGTGCCATTTAACTTGACAAGCTCATTTGTTGCAACAGCAAGTACGGCAAATACAGCAGCGGAGCAGCGGAGCAGTGAAGCAGTGGAGCAGTGGAACTGCAGCAGCAACAGCCAGCTGTACATATGCCAAGCCAGCAAAAAACGAACATTTGTTTACAATATTTATTTATTTACTAACATTCATTCCAATTGCCATTGCTTTGGCAGGCAGTCCGACAATGTCAGCCGCGATTTGGCAGCGAACTCAGCGCGATTCGCTGAGAGCAAACAATTTCAATTGTCGGGTAATATATATGCGCATAAAGCGATACTCGCTCGCATATATGTTCGCGGGCAGGGGGAAGTCGAATCTGGTAATGGGAGTAGTAAAGCACCTTGATAACAGAACTCGTGTGGCGCTCGGCTTCGCCGTCCATAAATCCCGCGAATCGCTTGCCGCACTCCAAAGTCCGGACGAATGGTTATATCCATCTTTATTTTTTTGGGTCCGAGTGCGAGGGGGTTAAGATGAGCAATTTGTAGTCGCAATTTCACACAAATTATGCAGATGACGGCGAGTATACCCCCAAGCTTTTAGTTTTACGCTCCCCTGGCTCATTTGTATGTAAATGTATTAATGTGCATTTATGTATTTCCTATGCAAAGTCCATGAAAACTTGTAAGAAAAAAAAAAACACGAAACAAAAACTGCGTTGCCCATAAAAATGGAAGCAAAATTTGTGATAATCATATGTTAATTTCAAATCAACGCTGACGTTCATGTTGTTGCTCCGGCACTCCAATCATAAACAGACTAATTTATATGAGTTTAGCGGGCCTCTATATCTGTACGTCAATAACAATGGAAATAAAAAATACACACAGTATATGTTTATCAGATAGATATCTCTTCGAAAAACTCAGGGAAAACTGCTCGGGAAAACTAAGCTCTTGAAAAGACAACATAAAACTAAAGAAGTTTTACAGGAAAATTGAATTTGATAAAAAGGCTACCAATACAAAAAATAGTAAGGCATTGTTGAAAGTCTTCTAAACTAACATGTAACTCAAATTTTAAACAAATATAAATACAGTTAAGCTTCTTGAAAGTTAAGCGCCATAAAACAAACACTTCCGATTGTGTAACTTCCACGAAAGGCAAACAACGCTTTCCCGCTGTCAAAGATCGATCTGTTCATTAGCTTCGACTTGTCACTAGAATTTAGAGCAGCCGGGATTTGGTCTGTCATTGTTGCTGTAATTGAATTAACACCTCCGGGGCATCGTCTCTGGCCGTCTTTGTGGCAGGTTCAACATCACGACACCGAACTAATCGACAGGCAAACAAACACTCAGCCGCGAGCCAATCAAAGGCGGACGAAGCTGATCAAGTGCAACTGCACTGCAATGTGAGTTGTCGTTGTCACACGGGACCCCTTTTTTTTCCTACCCAGCGATTGCATGTCTGAGCTGAAACGCTGAAATCGTATAGGCAAGATATATGAGCACATCAACGTGAATTAACAGACACATTAACCGATAACCGATCTCCAAACACGAAACACACGGACCCATAACGAAAGACTCTGGCAACGAACCCAAACGAAAGACTCTAGAAACGAACTGAGAAGAGCCGAGAAGAAGAGGAAGAAACGGAAGTCTAGACCTCAGTGGCGAACTGAATCACGGCTGCGGAATGTAGTGCCATATGCCATATGCACGGCCGATCGCATCGCACTCCGCATATAGAGGTAATATTTTTTATTGCCATATCAAATTTCAGGCAGCAGCAGCAGCAGCAGAAAAGAACAGAAAAGAACAGAGTAGAGCAGAGCGAAAAAGAAAAACACAGAAATATCGTCAGCAGAATCGTTTCGCGTCGAGCAAAACGGAACAGAACTGGCTGTGGCGCCCAAGTGTTGCCCCCGGCACCTGTCCCATTCAGCTGCCCCTTTTGGCCAACACCCCGGGCGTTTTGTCTTGGCCACAAAGCCCGGCTGAAAATATTCAAACAATTCGCATTTGCGTGCTAATCAATAAATTTGCCTGTGAAAACCATTTTGATTGCTGGTATCAAACGAAACTTGTAAGCAATCAGCGCAGGTTTTTTGAACGAAGTTGGTATGCCCTTCTTAAAAACTTTTAGTGAAAGATTCTTTAAAAAAATCTTAGTCTTGCTTACTATGATAATTTTTAGTTTATCAACATAAATTATGTTAAATGGGCTGTAAGGTATTTTCTATTCAAAATAGTTAATAAATAATGTTAATGAAAAGCCTAATAAAGAATTTATTCCTTTCCATGGAACAGTTTGTAAATTAAATAGCATCCAGCTCCATAAAACAAATCTAGTACAACAGACATAGTTTAAAGTACATTTATATTTTTTCCGGTTCAGATAAAAAGAGCGCTCATTATTGATAGCAGTTTCCGAGAATTTGTATATTTTTTCTCTGCCATTTCAGAGATTGTCATTAAACAAATGTGCCAGAAGCGGCTACCAATTCACAACGACAACAAAAATATCATAAAATCGGGTTCCGCACGTCACTCGCTGGAATTCCCGTAAATCGTCTGCTCAAAATTTGTTGTTTTGTTGTTTCTTTTTTTACTGATGTTTTTTGTTTGGCCCGTTGGTTGGTTGTTTCTAAAAAATTGTTTACAGCTATACAGCCTCATCTTCGATCAATAAATCCGGTTTTTTTTTCGAACAAAACAAAAAGAAGGCAACGAATATTTTGCATACGTAGTTTTTTGATTAACTTTCGCCTAAATAATTGCACAATAAAAATTGTGTGGAATTTCGCTTGTTGTTTTGATCGAATTTTTTTGCTATGTTCGACTTGGCAAAAGTTCGACTTTGGATTGGCCCCAAACACACAGATACACACGCCCACAAGCGCGGACTGTGTCTGTGTATCAATTAATTGTTCTGTTTGGCTATTTTTAGATTTTGCGGTAAATTCGCTAATAATACTCAAATTTCAACAAGCCAGCACCCGCACTCTAACGCCAATGCCCCCCATCCATCTTTTCCCCCACCATATTTGCCCCGGGTTTATTAATAATTTGCAAGCCGAACCCAATGAGCAGTTAAGAACAATAAAAATCATTTTATATGATCCATGATTCATGGCCATGACAAGTCTGTGCAGAGACTCCGGCTGGGCTTATATGGCCAAGAATCGGCCGAGATTCTGCAGTGACTAAGCGCCGAAGGAAATATCGTAGGATCGAAGTAATCTGGTGGCGACTCCGAAAACGGCAGTGAGCTAAATGGCTTATGCTGATTGGCTCGGCAATCAACAGATGATCAAACATTGTCCACACAACCATAAATAGAATTTTGCAGATTTTTAAATATGAATTTCAATCGCTGAAATGAGAAAGAACTAATTTGGGCAATTAATACTGAAGCCATAGTTAAATAAATTTAATCTTTTAACTCTCAATTTGTATTTCCAGCTATTTATGAACATTGATTGGTAATCGGTATTAAATACACCGATTTAATTAAAGGAAACTAGCTTTAATTAGGAAAATAGCATTTGCTTTGCATTATTTTGAGCAATAATCTTTTAATGTACTTTTAACGGGCTTTAAACTTTAAAAGATATTAATGATATAAATATTTTTAATGTAACTTCGTGGCTATAAATATTAATTTTGACTTTAGCAAGGTCCCCGAAAAAATTGAGAAAACATGTTTTGAATAACGAAACCAAGTTCGGTTGAATTTTATAAGCTAGTTCTCTTGAGTTGAGTTTTCACACAAGTTTTCCTTACTTAAAATTAAGTTTCTTTTGCTAAGTTCAATAGCATTTCATTAAATGTACAAAATTAATTTCCAATAAAAATGGAAAGACAAGATTTCCCAGATTTTCAAATGTATATGCACTATAAAACTAAACTGCGATATTTATGTCAAAACATTAAAATGAGACAACTTTCATTAAATAAGTTGTAAAATGCAAAGTTTATTTGTTTGAAAATATATTTAAATTAAAGAAAACAAGTTTTAATCAAACTAGTGACTGTCTTTTTATTAAACCACAACTCTTTCAATAGAAAAAGCCAGGTTTTTTGAAACCCTCTTTCCAAAGACATCTCCTTTCATTAAACTGTATGATGTGCGACTTTTATGGAGCACTTATTCTGGCACATTTGGGTTCGGCTTTCCCTGTTGTGTTCTGTTCAGTTGCTTTTTGTTCGGTTTGGCAATGATTCGAATGCTATTAAAATCGCATTACCCCAACGGGAGAGTGGGAATCGGCGGTAGATGGAGGACAGGACCAGTTTAAGGTCGGTCTTCCCTGTGGTCCTGACTTTTTGCAGTTGGGCTGGGCCCCATCGAAGATGATGATGATCATGATGATGATGATGGCTAATAGCTTTGTTAGCTTTTATACGTTTGTCTGTTCGCTTGTGACTTTATTATGTCGTTCAATGCATTCGTTTTCCTCCTTTCCCCTGAAATCCCCAATCCCCAATCCGAATCCCCATCCCAACTCCAATCCCATTCCCATTCGCATTCACTCCCCGGCATTCGAAATTGGTTAACTCTCGTTGTTGGCCCATTGTCTTGGGCAATCGTCAACGTCATGGATATTGCTCTGCGTTTGGGCCTTGTCTTCATCTCGGCTGCAGCTGTAATCGGTTTTTCAGTTTTGGTTTCGGTTTCGGGTTTTTGGATTCGGTTTCGGTTTCTGTTTCTGTCAGATGGAATTGTACCAAATAAAGCTGAATTCCCGAGCCCGTCTTGCCCCGAAGGTTTGGCCATTTGACAAATGTGCGTTTTTAGCCATCTCATTGTTGTGGCAAACACAGACTTCGATATGCAAATACATTGAAATTAGTTGCCAGGCGGCAGCGGCTCGGAATCAGCGGGGAACTTCGATCCAAGGCTCGTGGACTGGTGGACTGGTGGACTCGTGGATTCGGAATCGTGTCTTGTAGTTGGCCTGTGGAATTTGCATGATTTGCCAAAGTTTTTCGGTGGGGGGCTCTCTTTTTTGGCGCCGCTTGCGGGGGATTACCACTGATCTCTCGGGGGCTTAATGGCCATGTGGCTGTAGGTTGTAAGTCGTAGGCATTCCGCTGTTAATTGAATTAAGCCAGCGCGACATGGTCCACTCCGAAGGTAATTGGCAGGAGGCAGGCCAGCCAGCCAGCCGGGCTTTTAAGTGGAATTCGCGATGCGATGGCGAGAGTGTGATAAGGATGGAGCCCGAGGACTCCACTAGGCCTAAATGTATATGTATATAGTGTATCGTGTATACCTACCGCCGATCATTAGAGGCTCCGTCTAGACGCCGTCTGCGTGCCGTGCGTAACCCTTTTGGGTAGCCAAGAAACCAGAACTAGAGAACTTGAGAACTTGAGGGCTTGGGAGAACCCTAACCAATTTGCTGCAGTTGAAGTGCAACCCCGAGAGCTGGCTTAATTGCCCGGGCCTTGTCGGTCGGTTGGGTTGACGCCATGTCGGAACCATTAGAAACCCCAACGCCAGCCCATAATCACCGGCCCTCGGCCAATTTAATTGGCACGACATCGTCTAAGTCTGACTCATGTAATGCCGCCGACGGGCCACCAATTACACACATTACAGAAAATGATACGAAGGGCCGAGATCTTAGGAACTGGACCTCAAATTAAGTGCCCCTGCTAATTCCCACTATTGCCTGTCTATTTTGGGATCAACCTTAGGACCCAGAAGACGACTACTACGACGACGACGACGATTTCTCATTTCTCAACTCATTCACTCAATCGCACATTAACCCCAGATTCGAAAGACCAACTGATTTGGCGATTTGGCGGTTTGGAAATTGCGTACACTGCACACATGTGGCACGATCATCATCAGCCCCATCATCATCATCATCACCATCATCGCCATCATCGCCATGGGCATTTAAAACATGAACAATGAACCCACACGATAAGCCGAGAACCCAGGCGATCGAATTGAAATCACTTGGAGCTCGCGGCCCTTGACCAAAATCAAGAATCGTATTTGGAATGGCACTCGAAGAGTGCTCTTGACTTGAGCGATGTGATGATGGGGAATCACGGCGACATTGAAGCTCGCCGTTACATAATCTCCGACAAAGACGGCGACTTGCCTCTTCCGAGGCACACAAAAATTCCTAATGGCGATTATTACGAGCACTTCCACTTAGTCAAAGTCATGTGATTTTATGGGCGAACAAAGAGCACCACTTCCTCGAAGTATAGAAATTAATTTCTTGCGGCATACGCAGCATTTAGTAGTTCTAGTTCCCAGTTTCGATTTGCATTGTCCTTGTCAACTGCGAGACGGTTGACAAATTGCACCTAATCGCAGGGAGCGGGCACATTGGCTCCACCACTTGAACCGATCGTCACGTACTCGATCGCTGCACTTGCTACTTTTCGCAAGTGCTACTTTTTTCAAGTGCAGAAATTAACATATAATATTATTCAGAGCCCCACATACATATGTATAGTATACGTATGTATAGTCCAACATGAGCTTAGGCCTTATCAGGTCGGGCACTGCGACAAGTACCGATTGTTGGGGGTTACATGGGCCACCAAAACGGAGGGGAATTCCTAATAAGGTATATGGTTGTATATGATTTTTACCTTATAATGGTACATATAGTACATTGGCAGATTTTAGTACTAGTAAGTAACAAGTCTGATATTCATCATCATTAAACATTTTTAAAATTTAAGATTGAATTTTAAGTCTTACAGTCAACTTAAAGGAGAAAGGTGAAAACAACAAATATCATATTCTTTTTTGATATTTAAAGATTGCTTACCTAGGTTTTATTTCAAAACTAATGAGTTGTGATTATTTTAAATAATTCTATATATTTCCATAAGGTTTAAGATATTAGGGTACCTGTGATTCCATCACTTTCCCTGGCCATTGGCACTTGTTCGAGTGCCGCTGACATTTGTTAGGTCAAGCACCGATTTTGGTCGGCCAATCTCTCTTTTTCGAGCTCTCCCGATCGCCGCTGGGTGTGTCACACGATCTCCGATTGGGAATCGAACCGGGGCTTGGGATTACGCCGGGGATTGGGATTAGCGCTTAGTGATTCACTGAGATTCGTATCCGCATTTCGGTGCGTTCGGCGTTTGGTTGGCGCCACTTTGAAGCTGCCAGAAAACAATAAAAAACAAGAAAGGAAGCTAGCTTCGGCAAGCCGAAGCTTATATACCCTTGCAGCCATCAAACAAATCGAACAAAATACATAAAGGCTAACAACCTCGAAGCTATGACGACTTTTCTATTAATTTTCCATATTTTCGACTGTTGTTCATATGGCAGCTATATGATATAGTAGTCCGATTTTTATGAAATTTTTTTCTCGGTTCAAGGGTAGTTCATAAAGTCGATGTTGTAAAAATCATGCTCGTGGAATAAAAAACAACAACGTTATGATTATTTTGCCATTATTTCTATATATATTTTTGATCTTTCCTATGGCAGCTATATCATAGGGCTATCCGATTTTGATAAAATTTAATCCGAAATTCAATAACCGTTAGAAAACGCCATCTTGAAGAATTCAAGTCGATCTGATCAAAAACAACGGCGTAATAATTTTTTATCCTTTATTTTTTTGACCTCTTGTATGGGAGCTATCCGATATAGTCGGCCGACCCGGCTCGTTCCGACTTATATACTGCGTGCAACAACTACACAACTTTTGGGAAAGTTTCAGCACGATAGCTTTAAAACTGAGAGACTAGTTTGCGCGGAAACGGACAGACGGACAGACGGACAGACGGACAGACGGACAGACGTACATACATATTTCGATTCAGATGGTGATGCTGATCAAGAATATATATACTTTATGGGGTCTGAGGTGTCTCCTTCACTGCGTTGCAAACTTCTGACTGAAATTATAATACCCTTTGCTCTGCAAGGGTATAAAAAAGGTAGAAAACAACCAAACAGAGACGCTGAACGACAACAAATCTTTGGCGAAAATCGTAGTGCTGAAGTTGTTCGTGTGTTGTCTGTGGTGTGCCAGTTCAAGACAAATAATAAAATATTATGCGCCATCGAAATTAATTATAACTCAAACAAGCATTACAATATTCCCTGGCTGGCGCCAGCCCGTCAAAGATCATTAACATTTTTATGATCCGCCAGGCGAACAAAGAGCCACCACACATAAGGCTCGTATCTGTTGTTACCTGAACCACCACCACCAAATGCTTAGACACACATAGATACACACACGGATATGGCTCTGCGTACGCACCCATAAATCGCAAAACTAATAATGTCCAGGTTGTCTTAACACCTCCCAAAGGGGGCGTGGCGAGGGCTGTGCTGATGATTCGCAGAATTCGGACAGCGCCTCTATCTACAGCCTCATCTCGTTTTTGGGTTCCGGGCAGGAGTCGTAAAACCCGAAAACGGTATGATTTACTGCCCAAAATTTCACCCTGGGCGGCAAGTGCACGGACCGTCTCTCTCCAAAAAAAAAAAAAAAATAATAATAACAACAGTTGTTGCACGGGCACACACAGACACTGACACGCTGACAAATCGGTTCTAAATTTAATTTGAACAACAAAGTTGTAGGTACAAATTGGTACGAGACACCTGCAGAATATCCAAACAAATCTATTTTCGCCCGCTGCGCTGTTATTTTTAAACTAACCGGCTTGATCGTGATCTTTCTCCACCAAAACACAAATTTCTTTCCAGTCATAATTCACGCGAGCCGCAACCACAAAAAAAAAACATACGGAAAGCAAAGCATTTAACGAGAATTGTGCAGAGGAAAAACTAATAGAGATTTCGGCGAACATCGAGCGATTGTGAAAATGTGTTGCCAATCAAGTGGCCAGTGGAAATCTTCTGCGCAGCAGCCCAAGGAATCAGCGACGCCAAGACGGCATCACCACGGATTTTGCCCAAGGACCGAGGTCCTAATCCTCACCGTTATCCTGCTGGCCGTGCTCCAAATCCAGACAGTTGTCGCCGGAGTGGGCGACAGTCTTTCCGGTAAGTTACCATTCAATAGATTAGACAAAATTTGTTTAAATAGTTTGAATTTTTATGATTTCACTGTACAGTTTTCATTTCTTAATTAATTAAGTGATCTATAGATTCTTTATAAATTAAGTGATAGTATTTTTATTCTTTAAAGAAAGAACCTTTCCAAGAAGAAACTTAATTAGCTCGTAAATAATATTTTTACGATCTTTTGAGGACCATTTCAAATTAGATAATTGTTTTATCACTTCTTTGGCCATAAATTTCTCTCCAAATCCGCTCGTTAAACTTTCAACTAACCTTGATGAAGATCCACATTCTTCCCGGGTTGGGAAAATATTCAAAAAAGTCGCCCAGATGTGTACATTAAAAAGGCTTGCCGGACTTACTACAGCTTATGACTATGAATCATGGAATATAGCTGATTTTTACGAGCTTATAACAGCTTTGACTGCCAATGCGATCGGCTATAAAGCTGGGTTAAATACATAGTTATATCGACCGCTTTTCTACGGAATTTTTTTGTGATTATATGAACTGAGTCACAGTCGACTTATTCGACCTTTCACTGGCCGTTATTTCTATTAATTTGAAATAAATAACTGAGAAATATGAAAAACTATTTTTAATAAGCAAGGCCAAATAAAAAATAAAAAATAAGCCAAAAGAGGTCAAGTTCAATTTTGGTTTTTTGATTCTATTATTTCTGTAATAAAAATTAAATTAGCTAATGTGCCAATATTTGAATTTTTAGTTTGATGACAATAATTTTTGATTGTTGGTAAATATTAGAAAAATTATCGTTTCTTTTTTCCGTATTTTTACAATATAAATTGATATTGATTTTAATATTTTTTGTTGGCTTTTGATTGAAACCCGCTCTGTTCTTAGAAGTACGCCCGTAAATACCGCTCAAACACGTGCCATCGTCAGGCGCTCCTCTTAACCCCTCACCTCCCGCCGATATCTCCACTGCCCCCTCTTAATCCCCTTTCCAGTCAATTGGCTGGCGCTTAATCTGCGACTGTGATTAATCGGCGAGCGTCGCCAACGCCAACAGTGGAGGGAGGGGGGCTTTAATCGAGGGGCTGGAGGGTCCGGCGGGATTAGCTACTGAGTGAGCATATTCAAGCGCTGGCTCCACTTTATTTTTGCTGTTTTCAGTCTGGGCTCCTCTAAAAAACACTTTGAGTGGGCTTTTTATGGGTTTTCGAGTGTGTTAAATGAAAATAAAAATCGCATAAATTAGATATATTGCAATGTCGATATCGGGTTACTTGAACCAAGTTCATTAACTGTTCTAGTCAAAAAGAGAAAGGAATGTAGAAAGTCCCCAGCGGCGAACAAGATATTTGTTTTTGATTCGGAAGAGGGGAAAATTCCATTGATTTGGTGTGGTACATGGGAAGGAGCGGGAAAACAGCAGGACACATTCGAATAACAGGAAATAGTGGTCCAAAATCAACAATCATCTTAAGTCCAGCATCAAAGAACAAAGCAAACCACAAACAAACAAGCGACCAAATTACACATCTTCTTTCTTGAGGGGATAGGGCAGTGATCAAGTAGGAGGGACCACGATAATAATGCAGAATAAAACAAAGTCCTAAAGCCGCCCACAGAGATCAGAAGAAGAACAAGCAGAGAACAAGAAGGTAGCTCGAATGGATCAGAACTCCCCACCAATCGTTTTTTTAAGAACTTCGTACAGAGAGAAGTATTTAAGTGTATCCATATTTCTCTTTTTTTATAATATTGACCTGCAATCTATAATTTAAAAAAATGCTTAGAACAATCGCCAATCGCTAATAAAGTTTTTAAATATGAGTGGTAGTACTACATAAGTCCAAATTGCATAAAGAACGAAAGAATATTGAATACTTTGTGAACTAAAGTTTTTTTCTGTGTAGCGCCGGCGTCTTTATTTCCCGCGAACCGGCGGGTGATAGTGAGAGGGACGGAGCGAGTGCCTGTGTGTTGATCAGCACATTGCAGGTGGTCCTCGCTATTCGGGAAGAAGAAGAGCCGGCTCAGCCTGGGGTCGTGTCTCTCCCACTCTCTCTCACTCCCGCTATACCTGTATCTCCCTCTCCGTTTCCGTTTACCTTTTGCTCTGTTGCCCCATTGTTGTTATTGCTGCAGTTGCTGCTGTTGTTTTTGTTGTTCGGGAACATGTTTAACATGCAACGGTTGGCTACTTTTGACTTAAGCGCCAGCAGCGACGCCGACAGAGACGCCAGCAGAGCACCGGCAAAGGAAAAGGTAGAAACCAAACAAAGAAAACAACTTTAACAACAAATCGGAGAAGAAGAGTGCTTGCACAGAAACAAATAATAATTATTATTGCAAATATGAAATATGTACTTTGATATTTTGTATTTATTTATAAATTCATTGGTGTAAAATACAAAGGTATAAGGAGAAATTCTAAATAATTGGCTTGCAATACACAAACAAAAACAAATGCAAGAACATAGATTTTATAAAGGTCTTTAGGATATGATTTCATTTTTTTCCGTGTAAAGTAAACACTCATGAACATAAATCCAGTGGCCTAATCTCATTGACCTGCAGAAGAAGATCATCGGAGGGTAGGGAAGAGTCCATTTTGGGTCACGTGCTCGGATAAGATCTCAGTCGGTGGGCAATTTCCGGCGTTGGTACATGCAATGAATCGTCTTTTTGTTTGTGTTTGTTTGGTATTATTACATCAAGAGTCAACGTCAGAGGCAGGAAATGCAGTGGGAGGGGTCCCAGTGGGGATTAACTGCTGACATCAGATGGGCATATCACTAATCTGCACTCCAATATTTTTCTTTTAGGCGTACGTCAATCCTGCTCGAATGAGGGAGAAGAAGTGCAGCTGAAGAATCAACCCAAGATTTTCACTTGCTTCAAGTGCGAATGCCAGGTGAGTTGAATACAAGTGTTGCCACTTTAGTTTCCCATTTATCCCGGATAACCCCGACCTCCTCTCGACTTTTTTATGGCTCCACGGATCCTTGCCAAACTTTTGAGCTGCTTTTTGGCCTCGATAAAAGTCACTTAAAGCGAAATGAAACAAAATGAAATAACATAAACATGCTTGCTGAAATAAATCTCTTGTACTTGTTCCGTCCTTTTCCGTTTTGCTTCCATCTGTCTCCCTTTCTCTCTCTCTATCTATCTCATTCTCAGCATGGGGCGACGCCAGTGTCCAGCCAGCAGGACATTCAGACTCATGTCTTTGCAGCTACATCCTTAGCCGCCTGCCAAAATGAAAAATACCGAAAATGCCTCGAATATTTCAACGAGCCGACACTTGCACACTCGAACATTTGTGCACCGTTAACCTTACAGAGAAAAAATTTATTTCATTTGGAAAAATATTGTATTTCCGAAGTGTAAGCGATATACAAATGTTCCCCTACTCTCACTATTTAATGCTATACTCCTATAGTAATAAAAGTAGTTTTACTACTACTCTTATTTTCTTTTAATTATTTGGAAAAAGACTTTGCACCTTTGCACATTTTCTTTCCTGTGTACCGAAAAAAAGAATTTAAAGCGGCTAAAAAATATTGCCGGAATCTGTCGGAATGTTTGAGTTTGTTTGCATTTGTTTGGCTTCGCTTCGCCTCTTCCTCTCGCCAACTCGCTGTCTCCCTTCCCCTTATAGTCGTCCCCGTTGGGTGAATTTTTTATGATCCAAGGTCGTCAAACGGGTTTCGCACCGTCATCCGCCGTGTGGGACGGGTATCACGGGTACCGCGGTATTGGCAAGGGTATTCGGTTCGGTGTTGGCTGGGTCGGTGGATCGATCTCGGCACTCGATCGTTTGACAAACACTTGGCGCCGCCGATGTGATTTTTCGTCGCCAGCTTCCCAGCGACAGACCCTCTCTCTTTCACTCGCTCACCCCGTCCGGCAGTCTCTTTCCCTTTCTGGCGCGGCTCAAACGGCGACTTCGTGTCGTCATTAAGCGAGCGCGTGCTCATCTGGCTGATCGATAGAAAGAGAGAGGTAGAACAGGGCACAGGTGGATTGGGGTGGAGGCAGGGTTGTCAGGACACGGAAAAAAAAATATTTAACGAGTTCTATTTTACCTTTTTTAAGGGCTTTCTCATACGAATTAATTTACAAATTAAAAATATACAATAACTCAGTGAGATACTGAAACGTTAGATTTTATAAATGGTAAAGGTTTTTTCATATTTATTTTTGATGCCAAAAAAGAAACATCTAGACTTTAAATCTATAAATCTTATTATAAGCATTTATGTAAATTGGTAAATGTGTTTCAGTGGCAACACCCAAGTTTAAGAAGTAATTTTCACTGTGGGGCTGTCGTGAGCCTGTTGCTAATTTAGCACTAAGCGCTGCTAAACGCCGCTGCTCCAATTTGACCGGCAAGCGTTCAAGCTGGCGCCGAGCGATCGGTCGGGCGATCGGATCGATCGGAGCGATCCAACGATTGAAGCAATCGAAGCGATTCAAGCCGATCCAACCGATCGATCGATCGTTGAATCTTTTTTCGCCTGCGGCTGAGCTGAGCTTCGCCCCGCTTCGTTGTTATTATTATTTCCATTGTTGCTGCGGTTGCTGCTGCTGCTGCTGCTGTCGTCGTCGTCAAGTGGGCGTAACCGAAATTAAAAAGCAGCAGCAAAATCAGCGGGGGGAGCTGAACAAAATACGATACTGGCGCCACCTTACTGGGAAGGCGCCATCACTATCTCCGTCCCTTTCCGGTGCGACATTATTGTGCATCTCTGTCGCACGCGCTGTGGATTCGCCGCTCGACTCATTAAAAGTTCATGAAATCGAATTTAACCCGAGTCCGATGCGATTTCTCTTAGCTTTGCTCTTAAGGCACCAAATCAAAACGCTCCCCATTGAAGCGTGCAAAGCGTTAAGCTGTAATCGCGGCTTAAACACATAAAACCGATAAATAATGCCCGCTTACTGGGCTCCCGTACTTTAACTCCCGCATTATTCCCACCCATTCAAGTCGAATCTTTACGACTGGCGTTTATTGTTCAAAATAAATGAATATATAGAACCGACTTACACTCACATTCGTTGGTTAGTTCCAAATCGTCAAGGACTATCAAGGAAAACAGTACTCTCACCCCTGAAAATGGCAACAAATTTTGGCTTTTATGCGAATATTATGCTGAATCCGCTGAATTTCGCACTTAATGGCTTATGATTTAAACGGTTTTCGTGGGGATTTCCTCATCCAAGCAGACAGACAGGACTTTTATGAGTGTACATATTTGCAAATTAAATTTTTCCTCTGGAAATGGGTAAACATGTGATTAGAGGATTCTGTCATTGATTGATAAATATTAACTAGGTACCGTCTTTGAATTAATATTAATGAAAAAATGTATAATATTGAAGTGGGTTTAGCATTTTTTCCTTTACTTCTGTATTAATATTAATGAAGGATTTACGATCGCCAGGGGCAAATCAGTAAATTTGAATCATTAGAGCTGCTTTAGTGTGCATAACTTTAGCGAAATAAATTCACTTTTGCGAATATGGAATTCTAGAGCACGGGCAAACCAGATTTGGCCAAAATATTTCAAACAGGTCTGCCAACTCCTTTCCTGAAAATTCTTGGGCAATCCGTTCTAAACCCGATGCTGATTTGAAGTCCAATTCCAAATCCAATTCCGATTCCGATTTGAGCCGTCTTAGCCCACAAGTGACAAAATACACATGACCATAAAACCACAAGACAGTCATTACCATATTCACTCCGTGTCTAGAGCGGCAGACTCCAACCTGGCCAACTTAACTCCGAGATGGCCAACACACCAACAACCAACAACGAGCGAAAAGAGAGGCTCAGACGGAGACGGTGTTAAAACCGATCATGTTTTGTCAAACGCAAGGTCGTTAGAGGCCGTTTGCAAATGTGGTTCTGCCACTGTGGCACACACACACACACTAACACACACATGCATACATTTAAGCCCGGAGTAACCAACTTGTTGTTGTGAATTGCCGCTGGGCAAGAAGCTCGGCAACAACAACTACATCCTCCATCCAATCTCCATCGTACAATGCTACTTAGCAGCTCGGGTTGCCATCGTGGCGCCTTTGGCTCTGGCTTTGGCAATCTCTCGCAGAAAAAATGCCTCAACTTTCATGTTGGCTTGGCATTTTTTCCATACCGGTTCCCGATTAGAAAGAAAGAATTCCAAAGCATAAACAGCTGGATGCGAGTTGGCCGATACCACCGGCTCGCAGCTCTGGCCGGATTTCGAGAGCATGTGAACTTTGATCCGTGAGATACGACGAGTGATTAGACTGATACTCAATCTGTCAGCTTGCTGCATTTCAAAATGTGCACAGAACCCAAAAAGAGGCAAAAGTTTAAAATATTAGATAATTTTTATTCCTTAAAATGTAATTTAAGTCTTGCATTAGAAAAATAATATTAAAGAGATTGGCTAAAACACGTGTTTTGCTTCATTAATGAAACCCTATGAAAAGATAACTATCAGTTTAATAAGTTTTTTGTAGAACAATATCAACTGAACCTTAACTTGGGATAATTTGTTTTTCGTGTAGAAATGGGAGGCTGGGGGGGAGTTACGACAATGCCGCACTAAAGTGCCATTAAAATTCCAACTAACAACTGCCATTAAAACTAATACGATGATAAACATCTCGCAGCCAGAGTCGCGGTGACTGCGACTCTCGAGATTTTCATTTTCATAACAATTGCAAATTTTGCACGTTGCGGCCCCATCCAAATTGAGATCCAATCTGGTTTGCTTGCACTAAATTATACACACACAGATACTCACCAACATTGTTTCGCAGCCAACTGCATACAAATTAGTGAAATATTTTGCCTGTTTTTGGTCGACATCTATCTAGATTTATAGATACATTTACAATTAGTGTCGGGGCTCCGCGACTGCGACTGCGACTGCGGCTCCGACTCTAGCCGAGCCGAGCTCTATTATTACCTTACGGCCTGGCTGGATCTGGCTTTAACCTGTCACTGCCAGCGAACAGCTGGCACTGCTCCATAGCCGCAGCACTCAAGGGTTAAAGTTAAACTTAAAGCCAAAGCCAAAGCCATTGGCAATTGCACAAGCCGGCCAAGTTGCAACAGTTTGACTTATGATCGACATCAATTGCAATGCACCCCGCTGCAGCTGTCAGCATGTCGTTAACAGCCAAACAGCCGCGGCTAGAAAATCCAGATGCATAGATACCAGCGTACGTACATATATACGAGTAAGTATATGTACGATATATCTGGGCCGATTTGGCGCTGCTTACCTGTGGGCAGGCAATCAGCCGAGGGATCAACTAACGAGTTACAATCGCAGCGACGGGGATTTCGCTCTTAAGGATAATTTACTGCAGCATAAATTAGACGACTTTGCATAATCCCAGCTCATTATTTACCTCCAAGTTTGCAATAAAAGACTTAAAGACAATGTTCAATTACGAATGCATTAGTAACAATAAAAAATTAGTGACTTTAAAATACGATTTACTATACCTAATCTGCAAGCATAATTGGGATATATTTTTCTGTGTAGCTAACCCCAAAGTCGAACCAATCGCCGCGCCCAAAGTAAATTACTTTGAAGGTCAGAGTGCAGAGCTTCATTGAGCAATGGCGATTTCGAAAGCAATTGCTGGTCAGTGAATCAGGTGGAGGTGTTTTTTATGGAGAAGGGAAGTGGGAATATATATCTGTCGAGTGCACACACCAATCATCGGCTCAGCTGCTCGGTGACAGCCATCTTTCACATGGCTTAGCGCATTTGTGCAAATTGCGCATACGCCACATGGGGCAGCAGAATAATCTCAGCCATAAGACTAATTTATTGTGTCGCTTTTCGTTTTAATTTTTTTTTCAGAACGGATTCGTGAATTGCCGCGATACCTGTCCGCCCGTCAACGATTGCTATATTCTGGATAAGTCGAACGGCACGTGTTGTCGTAGGTGCAAAGGTGAGTTAAATAAAATATATATTTTAAATAAAAGTAGAATACAGTTTAAAGACTTAATGTGCAGATATTTCAATGAATATTAAGTTGAAACTCTTATCTAAAGAAACCTTTCTATATACTTTTCCTTTCAGGTTGCAGTTTTCGTGGCATGTCCTATGAAAGTGGTTCGGAGTGGAGTGACCCCGAGGATCCTTGTAAGACGTACAAGTGCGTGGCCACCGTGGTCACCGAAACAATCCAGAAGTGCTATTCGCAGTGCGATGACAACCAGCTGCAGAAGCCGCGCCCCGGCGAATGCTGTCCCACCTGTCAGGGTGAGTCTATTAGCCCCTCCGATTAAATCCAGACCAGTCCCCAGTCCCCGGTAGCATCACTCACTAAAATTAGCCAAAGATCCCACTAATGCCTCATAATCGTTAGACAATAGAGAGCCCAACCAGATGGACAATCAACAAAAACAACAAAAACAAAAGCGGTACGGCTGCTCTAACCGAACGGGTATTACGAATTCAGCATAAAATATGTTAAAACGCACGTTTCGAAATTCATAATTATTACAGGCATATAAAAAACAGCCTCAATCATTGCCCAACGCAAAGTAGATCAGCGCAGATAGTGCCAGCAAGTTTATGTCTCTATTACCAAAATGATTTATTCATGGGGCATTCCGATATTCGCCCCATCTGCGATCAAATCTTTGGTGATCTGCTGCGATCTGTTTTGATCGGTTCAACGCGACGCTGCCTGCTGTTATTGTTGGCTCTGCTTATTTATGGGCTTTAAATTGTCTATTAAGGCGACAATGTCGCCCCGCATATTCGCATTGCGATCTGCGGCTGAGCAAACAAAAACAAATACACGAAAATCTTATTGGGGGGGCCCTCCTATGACGTTGCCTATGCAAATGCGGTAAATGCCGCTTGGAAACCCGTTTCGCCTTGTGGAAAATTTCTTGGCCCGCGGCCAAGCAAATCAAAACCCCAACTAAATCATAAGTGTCTGATGTCTAATGTCTGATGTTCTAATATCCGATGGGATGGCCTGTCTTTCAGGCTGCAAGATCAACGGACAGACGGTGGCCGAGGGCCAGGAGGTGGACGCCTCCATCGACGATCGCTGTCTGGTGTGCCAGTGCCGGGGGAACCAGTTGACCTGCTCCAAGAAGACCTGCCCCGTGCTCCCCTGTCCCATGTCCAAGCAGATAAAGCGTCCCGACGAGTGCTGTCCACGATGTCCCCAGAATCACAGCTTTCTGCCCGTTCCAGGTGAGTTATTTAATTATCCACTTTACTTATTATTTTCCCAAAAAATGTCTATCAACTCGGGAGACTAAACCACACGTTGAACATAAAAAGATTTGTAAATTCTAGATATAATCATAAATTGTTAGCCTAATAAAACAGCATGGTCCATAAATTTACTTGATGTATACGTAGCTAGACAAATTTTATTTTAAATTCGTGCTGCATTTAAATATAGCAATATGTGATTGCAAATTAAGCTCTTGCTCGTGTTTTAAAGCAGAGAATATTATAAAAGGCAAATTGATATAAAATGATAAAATAGGAAATACTATTTATATATTTTTGCCTTTAAATCATAGGTATTCCTAGAGGCAAAACTTTTTTTCAAATTGTATTATATTAATTTATATCTATTCAAACGTTATTAAATCAATATACCTTAAAATTATTTAAGAATGCAACCAATATTACTTGTAAACTTTCTGTATTTAACAATTTTGTACTTCAAATTTTCTTTCCACAGGCAAATGCCTCTTCAACAAAAGTGTTTACCCCGAGAAGACGCAGTTTATGCCGGACAGGTGCACCAACTGCACCTGCCTGAACGGAACCTCCGTGTGCCAACGACCCACCTGTCCGATCCTGGAGTGCTCTCCGGAGTTCCAGGAGCCGGATGGCTGCTGTCCACGCTGCGCCGTCGCCGAAGTGCGGAGCGAGTGCAGCTTGGATGGGGTGATCTACCAGAACAACGAGACCTGGGACATGGGTCCATGTCGCAGCTGCCGCTGCAACGGGGGCACCATCCGCTGTGCCCAGATGCGCTGTCCGGCGGTCAAGTGCCGGGCGAATGAGGAACTGAAGCAGCCGCCAGGAGAATGTTGCCAGCGATGCGTGGAAACCGCCGGAACTTGCACCGTTTTCGGGGATCCCCACTTCCGCACCTTCGACGGGAAGTTCTTCAGCTTCCAGGGCAGTTGCAAGTACCTCCTGGCCTCCGATTGCCAGGGAAAGACCTTCCACATTCGACTGACGAACGAGGGTCGAAACACGCGACACGCCAGTTGGGCAAAAACCGTAACCTTGAGTCTGCGAAACTTGAAAGTTAATCTCGGCCAGCGGATGAGGGTCAAGGTGAATGGAACGAGGGTTACGTTGCCCTATTTCGGCATGGCTGGTGGCCAGAACATCACAATCGAGAGATTGCCAGACGGAGGAGCCGTGATGCTGAGATCCGAGATGGGTTTGACCCTCGAGTGGAATGGAGCTGGCTTCCTGCAGGTTTCGGTGCCCGCGAAATTCAAGCAAAGACTGTGCGGCCTGTGTGGCAACTTCAATGGCAGTTCGCGGGACGATCTGACCGGCAAGGATGGACGCACCCATGGGGACGACGAGGTCTGGCACTTCGCCAACTCCTGGAAGGTTGGTGGCCCGAAGTCCTGTTCCCGCAAGCGTGAAAGCCTGGCGGCCACGCCCACCTGCGACAAGCGCAAGTCGAACTTCTACTGCCATCCGTTGAGCGTTCCCTCGCTCTTCGGCGATTGCCACGAGCGCCTGAATCCGGAGAACTACAAGGTGGCCTGCCGGATGGACGTGTGCGAGTGTCCCTCCGGCGACTGCCACTGCGATAGCTTCGCTGCCTACGCCCACGAGTGCCGGAGATTGGGAGTCCCCCTGCCGGACTGGAGAACGGCCACCAATTGTCCGGCCGGCTGGCGACGGAATGCCACGCTGTCGAGCTTCAAGGGCAACCAGTTCTACGGGGATCCCAGCTTCCATCGGTTCAAGGGTCGCCGGCAGAAGAACCATCTGCTGCGACTGCAGCAGCAGCAGCAGCACCAGCAGCAGAGCAAACAGGGCCAAAAGGGGCGGCATCGGCAGAGTGCGGGGCACAACCAGCTGGACAAGCAGGGCCACCATCGACTGGACAAGGACCAGCTGGACAGGGAGTTCATCCTGAAGCACGTGCCCAGCAGTTTCCTCTATCCACGTGCGCCGGATCGCACGCCGCCGCCCCCTCCATTAAGTTACTTAACCGTTTAACTTTAGTTACCCATTTAGTTACTACACACACACACCCATACATGAGCACGCCCATCCACACAGATACTCTCGCAGGGAAGGGGCCTTAAAAAAAAGATAGCATACTTTTGGCGGCCCCAAAAAGCCGAGAGAACCGTGCGGGAAACCTAGTTGAATTCGCTCCCATGACAGCCAGGCCACAGTATTAAGCTGAAAGTCCTCCGGAGTAGGCAGATATATATACACACACACACATAAACACACCGAACTATATGTAGCACCCACACACACAAACACACACACACACAGCATCGAACAAGAACTCATCCTGTCGCCATTTCTCGTGTAGCCTAAGTTTTATTTATTTTAGCTTTAGTAAGTGGAGTTTTATTCGGAGAGCCTGTGCTGTTTGTGTGCCTGATTTGTATTTGTATTCCTGTATGTGTGTTTCGTCGCTGCGCTGAACTAAACTGATCTAAAACCTAAACTATAACTATAACTATAACTATAACTAAAACTAAACATAAGCTAAGCTTTAGCTAAGTGTACTTAGAACATAACGCAGTCCTAGCTAAAGTACTTGATAATGTTTGCTTAAAATTTAAGCTCTAGGAAGGGACGAGGAGAAGGACCTACCCAACTACTATGAGAATTGCACAACAGTATTTTTGCTTAGTTGAAAACTTGAACGAGCCCCAGATCCCGAACTCAACTCAATCCCCAAAACAAAACAAAAACCTACTTAACCAACTCGAAATTCCGCTTATCTCAAATCGGGGCGAGCGCCCCTCGCAGATTTAACCAACTTTTACCCAAACTGTGTTAATATTTATACAACAACAACAACTATCGCCAACTATTTATGCACTTAACCAGCGGAAAAGGGAGACAACTCTTTGCCATCTTTCAATTTTACAAATTAATCAAGTTTACAGTTTAAAGTTAAATGTAATGTACTATAATAACTTCTTCATATACTATACTACTTGTATGGCTGGATCTGTAAATTTACGACACATTTGAATATCCCAAAAGATGAAGAAAAGAACAAAAACAAAACAAAAAGTAATGCCACAAATGCAAGTGGATAAAATCAAATTGAAATATATGAAAAAAAACAATTTAACTTGTGTGTTTGCTATGGAAAAAAGGGTCATTAGAAATAATGGAAATTAATAGAATGATTTGAGTTCGATCAACTAATTTAAAGAAAACTCTATCAAATGCAGTTAAATTTGAAGGAAAATTTCCCGTTGCCGTGGGGGAAACCAATCTTTAAGCCATTAAAAGCGATGGCAGTTGACCAGCTCGCAAAGAGGGAATCGAATTGCCTGTGGGAACTTCAACTGCTGACTCTTGGCTTCCTCCGCGCTGCTCTCAAGTGGAGGATCCCCGGCCAAGTTGTGTTTATTGTTCTCTGCTCGTGTGTGGCATCAGTTTCAGAGGCACGAACTCCAACTCTCCGCGACGACACTGCGTCTGGGGTGGCATGTGGCAGGCAGCTCGCACTCCGATGGCTCCGAATCGGATTCCATGGCCGCGGAAGGAAGTGGAGTGCAGAGCGAGTGCCAACGGCCAAGGGCCACTCCAGTCCAGACTCCAGAGTCCAGTGAGATTGGAGCTTCGCTATCGGGGAGCGAAACTCAGTCTGGCTGGCGTCGAATTACGGGGCATGGCCATTAGCCATTTGCCAGTGGAAGAGTGGAAGAAGTGGAAGCAGTGGGGGCAATGCCAATTTATGCATGTTTGCTTAGCAATAATTGTCAGCGATGTCTAGGGTCGGCCAGCCAATTCCCATTCCCATTCCGTGTCCAATTCCCAGGGCAAGATTGTCTGTAATTCGAATCGAACTTACTGCTCAGCCTGGAGAATTCTGAGAACGAGGCGGGCGCTCGTAAATTCAAGCGATCCGATCGCCAGCGATTTAGACGGAAAACACAATCTGGCATGGCCCCTGGATCATGACGTTTGGCTCATTGAGGAAAGCATTATACACAGAAAGAAATTCATATAGTAAATGTTGATATATTTCAAATTGCAATTATAAAACTTTGGTATTGATATTAAGCTGTTTATAAATAAAGTTCCGCAAAAGGCAAATTAAAATAAAATTCATAATTCATATTGTCATTTTATTACTTCAAGTAATATTTATTTATAAATTTATTATGCTGCCTTTTGAAGTTCAACAAAAGCTCACATTGTGTTTTAAAAAAGGAGTTGAAGTAATATAAATATCAATTTGTTTAATTACTTATAATATCGATTTATAGATCATTTGTTTTTTACTTTATCAGGTGTTTTTTTGGTTTACAGTGATTTCTCTTTTTATTGTGTACAAAAAAAGATCCCTGATGACTGCATTATAAATCTTAAATTTGTGTTAAGATCACCAGTTATCATTAAAGCTTTTATCGGACAATATTTTTCCGAGTGCATTACCACGCAGCAGGCACGTGCACTGAATTCGCAAGCAAGTCGATCGATCAGGTTGATGCCACATCCAATTGCAAGTGCCCGCTGCCTGATTGATGTCCGTCCCGTGGCTTCTCTGGAAATCTAGAGGCACTTAGACTGGATCTTGGACCACGGTGACATCTGCCCGCTCGGATCGCCTTTGAGCGTTTCCGCGTGTCGCTCCTCGGGAGACGCCGGCGACGCGTGCTCGCTCCTTATCGGGCGGCAACCTGTCCATATCGGACCATCTGCCACTCGGCCACCTATTCCACCTATTCCACTGGGCATCCGCCGGCCAAGCCAACGATGGTGTGGCGCCATGGCGTGAGCCAAATTTGGCATTTGGTGAAATGTTTTCTGTCCCGCGACGAGTGGCGTTTACTGCATTCCCCAAGGGGCGGCATTAGACGACGGACCCGTGTTCATAACTCATAATTTGAAGTCCCAACCCCATCCCAGCTCTTCTTGCTGGTAGCCACTTAAATTCCACAATTTATCAATTTCTCTGGCAGGACTCTGGACTGGCTGCGATGAGACGATGAGCTGTCCGCCGATAAGCCGCTCCAAGCAAGGACATTCCAATCCGTTGCTCATGCATCATCTGCCACACAGAGGATTACAATTAAGTTAATAAAAATTTATAAAAATATAATAAGCATACCTTAAGAGGAGAATATTTAAATTATGTATGATTGTAAAGTTAATGCTTTTTATAGCATAAAATACTCAACAAAACACAAGTAATGTTACAGCATTTTAATAAGTATAATAAACAAAGTTACTTAGCATTGTAAACAAATGAAAGATTAGATTGAATTTAATAAAAATTTAAATATATAAAATACAATATTTTGACTAAGTAAGTTTTGAAAGCAATTAATTTTAGATTTGTTTAATATTTTTTTCTGGAAATTACAGTACAAACTTCCTCTCTTTTTTCTCCGTGTAAAACCAGCATCCAAGGATGCGACTCCTAAGTGTGCATAAGCAAGTGGAAACGCATGAATCACTTGGCGGATGCGTGGGAGCAGCCATTGTCATCGGTTTTGGCCATTAGCGCGTACAGCCATATGTCAGCGGCTTCCAGAGGAAAGCCACCCACGTCCAAATGGCTCAAGGGCTGCACTTCGTCTTTGGGGGGTTGAAATCGAAGGGGTGGCGGATTGGAGCGAGCTAATGCCATTTTCCGGATGCGGGAAACCAAAGCTGTTGACAGAACTGGACAAATGAAGCATTATTTATGTTATTGATACGGCGGCGAAAGAGTGAGATGTATTTGAGTAGAAAAGAAAGGGGGCCATAATTTGTGGCATACTCTTCGGCGTTGACCTAAATGACCCACAAGCGGGGTGGCAATTCCGAGCGATTCACCAGCTAAATGTGGGGAGAAATAAATGTAAAAAATTAAATTGGATGCTAGAAAAACAATAATTCGATTCGAAAATAGTTGGTTGTTTTCTAAGGTGTGGGAATGGAATTTTATAATAACTAAAATTTTATTGATATTTAAAATTTCCATAATCCTTGTTTCTCGCTTTAAAGGAATTTTTTTTGAGACATAACACAAATTTCGGAGTAGAAATTTCATAAAATATCCTAAATTTAATTCTTTAAAACGTGTTTTGAAAAATGTTTAGTTATTTAACCGCTATTCATTCTTGTGGTTTTGTGTTTAGATAATTAACATACATTTTTGTTTGATATTTGACACGCTCCAGATTGCTTCTACGAATTGATTTTATTAGCAAGCAATTTAATGTGGTGACTAATTAACAATTAGCGTTCTTTATTTTGGCATGCTCTATGTGGCATTAATGATAGTTATATTTTGTAACCAATTTAGTTTTTACATTGATTCCCACTCCTATCATAGCTCACTAATTAAGTTGTCTTGGTTCCACTTAATTAGCTGAGCAAATTAGTTATTAAGTGCTGACACCTCCCCCACCCCAACCCTCACCCACTCAGCTGTCAATCAGCGTCGAGCGGGTCGTTAAAAATACAAATGCCTGGGAAGATTTGTTTGGGCTTACACGAGATGAATGTCTGAATGAATTGTGAATTAATGGATATCTGCCTCGGTCTATCTGCGATACTCCATCGCCCTCTCCCCCGATTCTTACTATATGTGTTTTGACTAATTTAATTGGCAATTAAGTATTCAGTGTTGGCTTAAATGGCAATGGCGTGTGTCTGAATGGGGAAAGCAATCCCACAAGAATCGAAACACAATTAATTGCCTAGTTATTGGTCATTTGAATAATTGTGTAGTTGGAGATAGGATAGGATAGAATTCAGGACCTTCTATACAAAAATCTGAATTTCTATTCCACAATCTCAAATTCCCGCCGACATTTGCTTAAGCAATTCAACAGACAGAAAGGCGTCAACATCAACTGTTTTGTTTAATCTTTTTTAATATTTTTTTGTATCGGCTTTGGCCAGCGGAAACTGGTTGGCATTCATCAGATTTCGGATAAATTTTGGCACATGCCGGTCGGGAACAATACCGTTTATTAATTATATTAAATGATTCCGCTTGTTCTCCGGTTTACTTGTAGCGATTTATATCGTTCCGAGCCTCATCACAATCAGATGTAATTATGCAAACTGCACTCGACTGTGGTGTTGGCTCATGACGGAAGTTGTTGCAGTGCCATCGGTATTGGGTATTAATTGCCATTATCTAATCTTGTAATCTGAGTTCGCTGGAGGTGGGGAGATAATGGCGCATCAATCAGTGAGTTCAGATTTTGATCGGTGGGAACAAAAACAGCCGCAAATCATACAAGATTGATCACTTATTAGTTACATAATATTATGTGTCAATAGAAATAATAATCATAATAATCATATACATACCTAATATTTTATTTTGAATATTCTTTTTTAAAAAAAGGCTTCATTAAGCATAATTGCATTAATCTTTATAAGTTTTAGAATATGTTAAAGAGGTATATATGTATATTTTGAAAAATCCCTAATGGGTTTAGATTCCATACTTTCCCATTCCCCAGGCTTTATAGGGTAACCAAACACATGCTACAACCCATCAATTAGCAGCATTGAGACTCACCTTTCTTCTCGAATTTCTCCACCATAAATCTATGAAAAGCAACTTAAATCACGCGTCGCTCTTAAGTGCCGCCTTATCGGGCATAATCGCTGATGAAATTTGCATACTGAGGCCACTAAATTTAGTCTAATAGGTTCTGAGCCTGACCGAAGGAGTTTTAGCTTTAGAGAGCTCCGGTACTGGTCGGATGTATGTGTCAATAAAAGTCGGGCAATTAATTGCGCGCCCCCCGAAATAGATAGTCGCCGTTTCCCAAGCACTCAAATCGGTAAATATAGCTGGAGCATGCGAGTATATATGGATCGGATCGACTAACGATCGCATTAACATCAAACGCGCACATTTTATGGCCTGTCAACCGATCGTTGTCCACATAGATCGATCGATAGCTCCCAGCTCGTGGCAACAATGAACCTCCAGACTCTCTCCCCTCTTTTTTTTATGATTTTTTTTCCCCTTTTTTGGTTAAGTTTGGGCAATTTTAGAATCACGATTTTAGAAACAAAAGTTGGAGCGGGATGAAATGGAACCGAGAGACCGAGAGACCGGGAAGATTCACTCATCCTCCGCTCGGCTGGCCCTCAAATTAATATTTATATTTATTATCATTATTTTGTGCAAACTTGTTCTTGGCCGTTTCGTTTCGAAACGTGTTAGAAAGGCTTGGTCTGGCTAAGTCGGGCTTTGCGAAATGGCATTAGAATCGGCCGGAGAGAGATATATAAAAAGTCGGCTTGGCAGCCGAGCTCTCTTGTTAAGTTAAGGTCTTAGTCCCCGATCTCGGTTCTGTGATCATTCAAACGGAAACATCCAATAAAGACGGCCACGCTTATTGGCCAGAATCTGATAGGAAGTGCCAAAATTGATAGACATTCTTAGTTTAATTCTATAAGTTTGTAAAAATAATTATTTAAATATGGTAGCTGTAATCTGTGGAAATGCCTGCCTGGCCATCTTCTTTCTGATGATGCAGTTGGTCCTGGCCAAGGAATATAGCTGGTGCGATCCCACTCTGTGCGAGAATGGTGTCAAACACATTGCCTGCCGAAATACTGGAGTGAGTTTGGGATGAATATATTATACAATAATCGGTTATAAAAACCAAACGTCAAATTATGAAATCGTGAATATTAATCGAATGCATATTAGGGAAAGAACGATAAAACATTTGTAAAAATGGCTACGATCCGAAAATATATGGCAAAGCTCAAGGCCTTTGTCTCGCTAATTTATGTATATTTAAATTGTATCGCCACAAATCTTTAATTAGAAAGGGGAGGGTATCTTAAAAAGAGATTCAATTTTCGGGATCTCAAACGTTTAACATTTTAAGCTGCACGTTTTGTGAATAAAACTTTCTCAAATTTTAAAAGGATTGGTTTTTATTAAACGAAAAGTTACTATTATATATTTAGAACTGAACTTTAATGACTTTTTCCATAGCAATTTGCCAGACGTTGTCAGCCAGATGCTGTCCAAGTGGATGTAAGTCATAATAAGGCGGACTTCCTGCATGCCCACAACAAAAGGCGAAACTTTTTGGCCTTAGGAAAAGTGCCAGGATATTATCCGGCCGCAAGAATGGCCACAATGGTAGGGAATATTATTAAATTTAAATAAATGTTAGTAACATTTGATATCCTTAGGTTTGGGACGATGAGCTGCAGTATCTTTCCATGCTGAATTCCCGGACTTGTAAACTGGATCACGATGATTGCCACAACACCTACCGATATGCCAATTCTGGTCAAAATCTTTGCGCTGTTTGGCGGCCAAGAGATCCTTATGTGAATGTAACCAGTTTGGTGGAGGAGTGCCTGGGTCTCTGGTTCAATGAATACTCCTTAATAGACAGCACTTTTATTGATGCCTTCAAAGTTACCTCTATTTTGTGAGTTGAAAATAGGTAGCTATTATTAAATCATATTTAATTAAATTTATTTCTTAAACAGTGAGGACTACGGCCACTTTGCGGAGATGAGTGTGGACAAGAGCTTTGCGCTGGGCTGCTCCATCATGAGATTTACACGTCCCGACTATCCTTCAGTATATATCTACAACTTTATCTGCAACTATGCTTCACTTTATGCTCTGGGAGCTCCTGTTTATGAGAAGGGTCGAGCGGCTTCTCGTTGCACCACGGGAAAGAGCCACTTCTATCCAGGATTGTGCTCCACCCGAGAGGTGTACGATCCGAATTGGTAATAGCAATCGAAGGGGGATTCCCGCCCTCCACTCAGGTTCCACCACCAAGAGTATTTAGCAAACTCTAGAATAAGTTTAAATAGAAATCAATAAATGATCGCATCGATTCCAGACACTCTGCATAATTTATTTAAATTGACTGTCGTCATTGGGAGTCTGCCGCTGACTTCTGACCCGGCTTTTGAATTGCATAATCAGAGTTGAGTTATAAACCCACTGGCTGTGCTGTAAGACAGCGGAGCTCGACCAAAATAAACAATGCCAGTCTACAAAGAAAGCCAGTCCCCGTCTTCTAAGACTGGTTTGGCACACAGAACTTTCGTTTATTATTGGCCAGCAACTCATAAAGATGTTCCCCCTCGAACAGCATATGCAAATGGCTGTTTTTATTTGATTTGTGCGCAGAAGTTATTGATTTCTCCTTTGTGATCGAGAACCTGTCCGGGGATCTTTTAATACGAAGCTTAGCGTGTGCAACAGGCAAAAAACAAGAAGATTAATACATAATACATAATAATACCTGATAGTCGGAACCACCAATTGGGTCAATGTCAGTGTCAGAGACTCGAAACTCTCGAATTATAGAGTCACTGAACTGAGCGAAACACCCACGTAGTTAATTTTATGTTGAATGTTTTAAATTTGAATGATCTGAATTTTGGCTTAGAATCTTAAATGATTTGTTAGCACCTTAAGTTTATTAGCTTATGTCGCTGAAACCTGTTAGGTGGTCTTTGTAATTTATGCTAAACTATCTGCATTAATTTCACTAATATAATAATGGGTTCCTATGTAGGAGATAAATCTCCATTTTTCACAGGCTTCGTATAACCAAACTGACGAAAGCTCAAACTTTAACTAAACGCGTGTACTTAGCTTTCTCTATTCTGAACTTAACTCGGAGATTAACGATCGAGTTAAATAGTCTAATTTTGGATGGGGAGCTGGTCGCGTGGAGCTTCTTCCCCTGGGCTCTTCTCTGGGGTTTATTGCTCGAGTTTTCCTAGAAGTCGTGCACTTTGAAGTTTCGGTGTGAACGCTCTTTGGAGATAAAAGCAGAAAGACAGACTGTAATTGAGACAAAGACAACGGCCCCCCAAAATGGAAATGATTCATAAAACGTCGCTTGAACTTTCTCAAGCTGCGGTTTCGTTTTCGTATTGAGATCGGGATCGGAATCGGATTGGTAAATACCTGCCGAACATAAGCACCTGCAAATCAAAAATTTCGTTATAAATAACGCCTTGCCGGTGGTCAGGATTTGCACTTGCACTTGAGCATTTAGTGAGATTCAGTGGAGATGGAATCCGGAAGATTTATAACGATCGGCTGCCTGCTGATGATCCTGGGCACTGCGTTATCCCAACCTTTATCCTGGTGCGATCCGGAATTGTGTCCCGATAATACAGTGCATATAGCTTGTAATAATGATGGAGTGAGTCAAATTAAATCCCTTTGAGTGCTGATTTATGACTGATTTTATCCTTAAGCAATTCCACGAGAGTTGCTCTCCGGATGCCACAATGGTGGACATGAAACCATATCGCAATTTCATCGTGGATGAGCACAACAAGCGGAGGAACTATATAGCTTCTGGATCCCTGCCTGGTTATTATCCCGCCACCCGAATGGCCACCATGGTGTGGGACGAGGAACTGGAGTACCTGGCCACCTTGAATCTGAAGACCTGCTACTTGGAGCACGATGACTGCCACAATAGCTTCCGCTTCCGGAATTTGGGTCAGAATCTCTGTGGTGTTGATCGTCCGCGGAATTGGCAGATGAACGTGACCAACTTGGTGGAGCAGTCGATGGGCTTGTGGTTCGGGGAACACAAGCTGATTGACAGCAGTTACATAACCGACTTTAAGCTCACCAGGAATCTGTAAGTCCCTTTGACACTTCCCCACTGACCTAACCCACTAACTTTAAATGTATTTCATCAGTGAAAAGTACGGACACTTTGTGGAAACTGTGGTGGACAGGAACACCCATGTGGGCTGTGCCATGATGCGATTCACCAATCCCCAGTATCCCTTCCTCTATATCTACAATACTGCCTGCAATTACGCCAGTGTCTATGCCATCGGAGTTCCTGTTTACAATGCCGGAAAGCCCGCCTCCGAATGTAAAACGGGCAGCAATCCGGAGTATCCCGCCCTCTGTTCTATTAAGGAGCAATACAACCCCAACTATAATTTGTACTAGCTAATGACCAAATGATAAACAAGCAATTAAAATACATGATACCTAATGAACCTAATCAAAACAGCTTGATTTTTATTACCGCCGTTCGACAATTGCGCCCACTGATTGATACGTCAAGTTTTGTTTATCGCCGTTCCGGCTGCTAAATTTGGCTCGTTGCTAATTGCCAATTCAGCGGACACTCATTTATTGATGTTAACGGAAATAATCGAAAGCGGTTCTCGGACATTGGGACTGAATGTCAGAAATCTCCTTAAAAAATGTTACTCCTTAAACAAAATTTAAGTTAATATAAACGAGAATTATGAACACTTAATTGTTAAACTTTGGCTTATATCTTCTTCGAAATTGGTTGATAAGGACGAAAATTTTTGGTAAACAATATTTTTAACTACTCAGAATTCTGACAAATGAAACTCTTATTTACAAAGTAATCACCTTCAGCCCAATGTGCATTTGGTAATTTTTCACGCCTCACTGCATGTGACTGACCTACCCTGCATTTGTAAAAATCGAATCGATGACGAGTGCGTCCCTTCATCCGACCGCAAATTAATTTTTAATTACTCAGGATTACATTAAAAAGCAGTTAATTTATCAATGAGCCAGCTGCACCGCCCGAATAACAACAGTCCGTCAACGAGCGGCGCATAAACAATGTACTCAATGCACCCGATAATGACGTAGAGCGATTCGGTTTCAATCTTGGCAACAAATACAGGCCCAGATTTAAGGACAGACCTGACATTCCAGCAGTCAATTGTGGGCAATTTACGGTCCAGCAACTGGAGCTGGAGCCTAGATCAGACAGAGACTTCTATAACTCAGCTGGCCATGTGTGTGGGATTGCATGTGGAGCAGACAAGGGATCGCAGCAGCTGTCCCAGCTAGAGTTTCACAGGGAAAAATATATATAATATAGATATATTATATTAGAAAGATGAAAGGCTATGAAAATTACAATTGAAAAGCCTTAAATGCAGCACCAAAAACCTTTAAACAAATAATATTTAAAATAACAAAAGCTGTCACCGATTATAAATCCACATTGTAATATTCTGTATCCGCGGTGATTCACAAATGTTAATTAATTAATTTGCAATTTGTTCGGAAGAGAACTCAAATTCAGGCATTTAAAATTTAAATGATAATAAAATGTATATAATTATTTTTTAAGTGCATTCCGTCCTCCACACACTGCCCACTTTGTAGCGGGCCACAGTGAAGCCTCTGCCCTGACTTTTATCTTGCTTTATCTGCGGCTATGCATCATAAACGAGTCTGCTTTCCAGTTCCTGTCCAGTCCAGTCCAGTCCGGTCCACCGACTGTCCCGACCTGTACCGTCCTGTCCTGTGCTGTCCCGTCCTGTCCACACAAATCTCCGCACTCCCACAGATTCTGGATTTGGATGGCTGGCTGTCGTTGCTGGTTATGCAAATTCCGATTACGAAGCTTTATCGCCGCCACAATCGCAGATCTGGGGACCCAGCAGCTGTCGCCCTGTCATTCTGTCGACTGGAGACTGCAGAGTGAGCCAATAAAGATCTCTGTTTTGACAGTTTGCACGTTTATTGGACCAGGAAAGCCGCCCCTCACCCAATCCCCTTTTTCCTCTACCACCAGATGCCCAGATCGCTGAACAGCTCCTCGGTGGTGGGCAACTCAAAGTCCTCGTTGACCCACTCGGATCTCTTTTTGTTGGTGGGGTTCTTCTCGTCGGTTGCTCCGTACTCCTTGCGGTAGCCCACATCCTGGCGGAGATCCTCCTCGTCGTACTCCTCATCATCCTCCACTGCCTCCAAGGAGCTGCTCATATTGGGCTTTCGTTTCGGTGGACCCAGTGGTAAACCCTTATCGCCCAGCATTCGTTGCATGTTCCCGATTTCATCCACCTGCTGGTTTGCCGGTTGATTCTCCATCTTCGCGGCTTCTTCAGTGGGTTTTTCGGGACAAACTGCCACCGGTGAGGAGGCCAGTCTTACAATCCTATCGAAAAGAGTGGCGAAATGTCGTCTAAATCGGCTGTAGTCAAAGCTGTCCCTGGATCCAGAAGTGGCATCCAGTAATCCGTGTGTGGATGTGGACTTCGAGCGAGTAAGTGGCCCAAAATGATGCAGCATATCAATGCCGGGCGCCATCGATTCCTCCCAACTCTAGCGAAATAATTTTAATTAATTTTTAATGCATCTTTAGTGTATTAATTTTTAAAGGACTCACCAATTCCGTCCAGTCCTCGATGGGAACGCTTAGCACTGAGTTGACAACGTTGACTACGCGTTCCTCCAGGTTCAAGGCATGAATAATCCATTTGGCTAATGCCACGGCGCAGTTTAGGTCGCAGCGCTGTCTGAAATCGATAAAAAAAATAGATAGAAGGATATAAGTAAGTTATTGCGTTGCAGGAAATACAATACTAAAATAGCGATTTCAATATGTGCAAAACTAACAACTTTTAAAGTTTTCAATAAAGAAAAAATCTTACCAATAAAATATTCTTACAATTTTGTTACAAATGTATATTACTAATTGAGATATTTTTTTCTAACGTTTTTAAACATGTTGTTAACCATTTATTTGAAACGTATTAATAATAAAATTATTATTTAAGGGTAAAAAATATTAGAAATGGAAAAATATACCCTTTATCCTTTAGCAACTGCTGGGTATCAACATGTCAATTATTTTTATAGGTTCAGAGCTTGGTGGTGGTGTCAAAATAGAAGGACTCAGTGTGCGGGTAATTATAGAACGCTACATGTGTACGTACTTCCTTTCGTCCCGCCGTATCTCCACCAGTTTATCGCCCTCCAGGATTAATTGGTCGTAGTTGGACTCTATTTGCATGGTGAGGGCCTCCTTGGGCTCACCCTCCGACTGCTCCTGCAATTGGCGCTGAAGGGTCTTGAACTGCTGCCACAGATCTTCCAGTTGGTCCTAAAGATAACAAATTTAAATCACTTTATAATATTAATTTTTTAAAGAATTGAAGTTCCCCAACTCACCGTTTGTTTTCTTATGCTCTGCTGTGTCTCATGGTGAACATCAATCCTATGAAGAATTGGTTGCGCGGGTAGAAAAGGAGCCGCCATCAGGCGTTCCACACAGCGATTAAGTACTCCTCGCTTTGGTTTCTTTTTGTCCATTTTAATCAGACCAGCGGAGCTGTCCAACTGGAGCGTTCTCTCCACAATCCTTTCCAGGATCATGGCGAAGGTCTCCACATAATCGGACTGTATGCGAAAGCGATTCGAGTTCTTGGCCGCCACCACAGTTATTATTTCACTCTGCTTCTCAAGACCGGGACACAGAAGCTGGAGACCGAGAGCATGAGTGTCGCTATTCTCCTCCAGAAACTCCCCGAAAAAGGTGGCCAACTTGGGGGTCACATGCCGACTGGTGATGCTGTAGGTTAACTTGATTCCTGCTGCTTTTTGGGGCTGACAAACGCGATAAAACATAGAGAGAGGGAGATTGGCGCTCTGCTGGATGACCCTTGGAATCCCCTGATAAGGATTAGATAGGAGATTGAGCAGATGAAACTCAAAAGAACTTTGTTTTACTCACCCTGGGTGTCAAAAAAGAGGCCACCACTTCCACCTTGGTGCTATGAACATGTAGCAGTTCACCAATATAAAAGTCCAGTTTAAATTCCTTGCTTGTCCCCGCTGGCACATCGACAAAGCTCAAGGTATCCTGGCTGCATCGAACTCCATTGGCAGTCTGGAACACCAGCTGCAACTCGGCCAGTTCCACTTTAATCTTGCAGCGGAGTAAACCCTTGGCCGAGGGCAACTCCTTCACAGCCACATCTGCAGGAACATCTAAAAGCAGGGTATCCAGATCATCACTTGCCTCCGGTTCGATGGTGAAACTCAGTCGCACTTGATCCGCTGCTTGTTGATTGAGGGCATCCATGTCCCGCACATCCACCGCCTCCTTGATCTCGTCCTCAAGTTGCTGCAACTCCTTGTGAGCCTGTGCAAAACTCAACTCGTCCACTTTCAGGGGCTGCACCTGAAACTGGAAGGGCTCGGCTCCAAGGTAACCCACCTCCAATTGTCCTTTGGCTCCAAGAGTTACAATTCCACCAGCTAAATTCTGGACATTGGAGCGCTGAATGGCCACAGGAGCGGGTAATTGGTTTGGCCATTGGGCAGCCCAAATTATGTTGGCCTCTTCATAAATATGTAGCTTAGAGGATTCCGAAATGATGGCGCTTATAAGACGTGCTCCGGGCTCTAGAAATTCACTTATTTTTAAAAAGGGTTTACGAAGAGTTTATTAAGGAATAACTTACCCCAGTAGTAGCCCACCACAAAGCTGGTAAAACATTTTGGAGCATAGTCCAGTTTCAGCATAAAGTTAAATTTTCCATTGTCATCCAGTGAGATAAAATTGCGTTCTCCCAGGATCATGATATATGAACAGTTCCTAAAGGATAAAATATCAATATCAAGTAAATTATAGCATACTTTCAGGTTAATATATTTTTTTTTTTTTTTTTTTTATTATAAAAAGTAAAAAGTGTAAATTTATTAATTAACGGGTATACTGCTACCTATGTGGCAGCTTGAGCAGGTTGTAACTATAGGGGATAACAAAGGGTTGGTATACAGATTATACATTAAATCTATTAGTGTGTAGTTTAATTATATCAGTCTTCAAGTGTGTTAAATGTGTCTTAATGGAAGGTCATGTGGGTGGAACCTTTTAAGTCTTCTTCTTCTTGGTCTCCTAATTAGCCTCTTCGCCAGGGAGTTAGGATGAGAGCCAAGGCGTCTGAAGTAGCTTTCAGCATGTGCGCGACAAACATCGCCAAACTAAGGATGCAGGTGATTGGGGAACTATTTCACAAGCATTTTAAGGTACATATACCAATTCAAAATCGGAAAGCATTAAGTTATGGTCCTTGAAGTGCTGGTTTTAGGGCATTTTCCGAAAAATAGACTCGAGCATTAAACAGATACTTACTCCTTCACCTGCACCACTCGCATATCGACAATGCCCTCGCCGACGCACTGCGTCCAGGTGGGCTGGTAGCTACTCTTCGTGACCAGAGAGTGGGACAGATCCTGGTAGCTGAAGCACTGCAGATCCCAGGTGGCGCTGAACCGAAAGAAGCTATCGGTTCGCTCGCAATATGCCACCGGAGCAGGAAGAGCCCTGTGTCCAGGGAATCGGCACTCGTAGGAGATGCCATCCTGCTCGAAGAAAGTCAACGTGCCATCCAGATGCACCACGCAGAAGAACTCCCTGCCCTTCACCTGACCGAAGTGACCTTGGCAGAGACCAAAGGACACGCGCTGGAACTTATGCTCCGCCTGCAACTGAAGACGCAACTGAGCGCCATGATCCGCCAGTCCTCCGATGGCCACCACATTGTAAATAACGATGGCGTTGGGCAGGAGCACACCCAACTGGTTGGCGTTCTCGTTGCGAACGTTTCTGAGGTATAAGTGCAGATGTAATGGAAATCCTCTCCTGGAATCCCCTCCACACTCACCCACTAAACTTTCCAGCATATAACCCAATAATGGGAGCCGCCATCTGGGACTCCAACAGCAAATCGGTGGCATCGTAGCCCCTGCGGTGCGGATAGTAGATGCTCAGCTGTCCCGTCTGGGAGCCCACTATAATGTAGTCCTTTTCCTGGGCCTCCAGACCAAAGCGGGCGCACAACAGACTCGCCACATCGTATTCCTCGCCAGGATCGGAGCACTGGGCTTTCCACCAGCTGCAGACGTTGAAAAGCGACATGTTCCAACTGATTTTTCGGAACCATTCAACTCTGGAGTTAGTTGTGGCCATCAGGAAATGCGTTGCCTTGGAAACCATTTAAATATTTTTTTTATACAATAAGGGTATTCACCTTACCAAACCGTTCACAAAAAGGATTTTACATATTTTCTTTATTTGCATTTGTTCAGTAAACTAGAGCATAAATTATTGGTAGGTAAAAACTATATGTGTATAAGTATATATTAGGATTATTATGTAGTATCTGGTAGATCTGAATTAGATTTACGAATGTACATACTGCACTACAGGAATTAAGGGCCGAGACCTTAGTTAACTACGATTTACAAATTGAATTTAAAGCAGTGGGCCTACGAACTAGGCTCTCTTCTCCTCATTAAAACTAAGATGGTAATATGAATATTTTACAGTAAGTTTCCACTTAAGTTAAAAGGATTATATCTAGGGATCAGTAATATTAGTAATACGGCGGCCACGCCTTGAGCTGATCGAAGCCATCATCGTGGGCATCTTCAGCGTTTCAGCATCAGCTCATCATCCTCCGTCCAGAGCAAGCGGTTAGATCGTATCGCTGCGATCGCCATTCGCTCATGGCTGCAAAACCAATCGACAGAAATTGAGATCAATTTAGCAATGACTGATTGACTGACTGACTGACTGACTGATTGAATGCATGAGGATCGGCGTGGGATGAGCTATTGAGATTTGTTCGATCTTGAAATTCGAAAGGATCAGATTGATTGGCTGTTGACTGAGACTGATTTGGTGGTGCTTGATTTTGTGGTGGTTGTGGTGGGGTTTGGATCTGATTCTGAATCTGAATTGGTGTGTTGTAGGTGGCAGTGGCGGTGGCGGTGGCGGTGGCAGTGGAGGTGATGCTCGAGATGCTCCGCCGGTGACGTAGTCTGGCGGCTTTGCTCGAGCGTTATTCTTTCTCGCTGCGTATCAGGATCTTTTTCTGCACCAGCTTGCGTACCTGTTGCGTTGTGGGCTGCGAAATGCCGCCCTGTTGCTGCTGTTGTTGTTGCTGCTGCTGCTGCTGCTGCTGTTGCTGTTGCTGCTGCTGCTGCTGTTGTTGCTGCTGCTGCAGGCTACCCACCGTTGGCAATGTGGTGGTGGTCTGCGTTATGGTCATCACCTCCGCTGGTCCAGCTGTGGGTCCTGCAATGCTCGTGTGTTGCTGCTGCTGTTGCTGTTGCACAACTGCCAGGAGATTGCCTCCCTGGGTGGTCTGCAAACGCACAGGACTTGCGTTCTGTCGCTGGTTATGCTGCAGTGCAGCAATCAGGGTCTGCTGCGTAGTCTGCCCGCCAGCTCCTCCGGAGGCGGCCACCTTTAGGGCACTGGCGATGCTCGGACCAGCGACATGGGTTCGCAGGTTTCCTGCAGCCAGAGCCTGAGCGGAAGCAGCTGAAACAACCTAAAGATAAAGAATATTAAGTTAATTTATATATTCATGAAATTTATTTATGATTTAACCCACCTGAATTGTTTGTCGTTGGTTGGCCTGCGACGCCACCGACACGGGAATCACCCGGCCGACGCTCGTCTTGCCCAAAACCAGATTGGTGGTGGCCAGTGTGCCCTGCTGACCACTGCGCATCACCTGCTGGATCTGCTGCACGGTCACCGAGTTCGGCAGCGCCTTTGTGTTCTGAATGTGCAACAACTGTGCCTGCACACTGTTTCCACCGCCCACCTTCTGCTGATGCTGCTGCTGTTGCTGCTGGCCAGCAACTGTGGGCAAGGTGCCGCCGCCGGAGACAGTGACTCCCTGCTGCTGTTGCTGCTGCTGGGGACCAGTGGTCGTCACTATATTCGTGGCCGTTGGCTGACCACTGGCACTGACCAGCTGCGTCATCCGGCTGATCTTTCGCGGCATCGTTAGCTGCTGTTGCATTTGCAGATGTCGCATCTGGTTGGGCATGGTCACCTTGATCTGGCTGCCTGGCTTCAGCTGGGGCAGGGTCATATTCACGCTTCCCGCCTGGACAGTGGGATTAGTGGCTGATACAGTGACTCCGCCAGCATTGACACTACTTCCGCTGGCTGCCGCCGCCGTAGAAGCTTTCACCAGGGAGGCGATCTGCTGCTGGGTCACCTGCTGCGGCTGCCCGGCCACCGGGAGTTGACCCTGCTGCTGTTGCTGCTGCTGCTGGCCAGTGGTGGTGGTAAAGAGTGCTCCAGACGCTTGCTGCGCCTTCTGGGCGGCCAGAATATTGTGCCGCTTAACCAACAACATATCTCCTGTTCCCGCTGTGGTGGTTGTTCCATCGGCAGCCACAACTTGGCGCTGCAGTTGCTGTTTTCCGGCCGCCATCTGCTTGATGAACTGCGTCCTGGCCTGGCCGTGCATCTGCACGCTACTCACAACGTTACCCGCCTGCACGGTGGTGGAGGTACCCGGCATTCCAGAAACCGCCACCTTTTGGCTAGTCACGTGCGTGGCCATATTGCTAGCCTGGATTATGGTGCCTCCTGCTTGCACCAGATTGGCTGTAGTGCCTCCAGCTGAACCTGCTGGTACCGCCTGAGTCGTCGTTTGCAAAACCTTCAAGCTGCGCTGACGGTAGAGCTGGATATGTGCTCCTCCTGGTTGCTGAGTACCCGGTATCACCGTAGCCTTTCCACCTTGCTGCAAGGCGCTCACCGGGATTCCCTTGGTGGTCACTAGCTGAGTGGTCTGCGTGGCTGGAGATGTGGGCACGGCAGCTAGGCGGAGCTGCGTCTGGAACTGTGCCGGACTCACGCCTTGTCCCAAATTAGGCATGGACACAATCGACTGACCGCCGGCAGTGGTTCGCTGTTGAAGAGTATTTCCCGCCGCAGTCGATACAATCCGCTGGCCACGCAGCATGGCGGTGTTCAGAGTGGTCACCGCTGTGGTCTGATGCTGTTGCTGCTGCTGGCTGGCGGTGGTGGTCAGCACAGTGCCAACGGTGGGCAGGGTGCTGACGGAAACCACCTGCGGCAGCGACTGCGTCTGCACAATGCTGCCCAGCTGCGGGGAACTGTTAACCGGCAGCGTCTGCGAGGAGATGGACACGATCTGGGCACCCGAGCCGATCTGCGGCTGCACCACCGCCGGAAGGGTCTGCACCGGAGTGGTGAGGACCACACTCACACTTGACTGACCACCAGAAGCGGCGGCCGACTGTTGCGCCAACTGTTGCAACTGGCCCGTCAGGCTGGAGGATGTGCCCACTATCGTCTTGACCAACTGCTGCGTGGTGGTTTGTCCCGCCTGGCCAGGATGCGTGCGCAACTGTTGCTGCGGTTGGTGGAGCAGGATGGCTGTCTGCTGACCGGGAGAGACCGTGGAACTGGTCAAGTGTTGAATCTGCAGCTGCTGCAACTGACCAGCGGCGGGCACAGCCACCGTTGTCGTCGTGCTGGGCTGCTGCTGCACCAGCTCCACCGTCTGTTGAACCGGCAGGGTTTGCTGAACGGTCGAAACAGTGGGCAGTTGTTGCTGCACCACCTGCTGCTGCTGCTGTTGCACCTGCTGGACCACTTGTTGTGGTTGCGGCTGCTGCTGTTGCTGCTGCGGCGGAAGTGGAGCTGGCTGTTGTTGCTGCTGCGCTTGCGGTTGCACCTGCTGAACGCCCACTCCCACGCCAACTGGAGGCTGCGGCATCTGCTGTCCGCGCTGCTTCTCGCGAATCTTGTTCGCCTTCATGGCCGCAATGTTTTGCGGCGGCACCGGCTGATCGTAGTTCTGGATGCCGAACTGCTGCAGCACCTCCATGTGCTTGGGATTCATCAGGCTGGGAGCACTGAATTGGCGTTTTGGAGGCGGTGCCTTCTTTAGATAAGCCGTCTTGATGCTGTCGAAGCGGGAACGCATCGTCTTGTAAAAGGAGGCGTTGTTGTCGCTCACATACATCTGGGTGGTGCGCAAATATCGCAGCGGACTCTTCAGGTACTCGGTGCGCAGGGTGGGCTTGATCTTCTTCTGCTTCTTGGGACTCTCCACCACTTTGCCTTCCTCGCGCGGCTGAATGTGCGTCTCGTATCTCCAGCGGCACTGCCTCGCCGAGCGGTAGGTCTTCGAGCAGAAGTTCACCATTTCGGACACAAGATCCCAGTTGGGTGTTTGGCCCGGCGATAGAAGCATCAGACTGCAAGGCAGCCCCTGGAGATTAACTAGCACGTGCAGAATGGCAATGTCCTCGAAGACGCCCCACTCGGCCATGGCCTCCGGTTCAGTGAGTGGCTTAGCCGGCAATTGCGGTTTCAGCCCTGGAATCGGTGAGTTCGGCTTGAAGCTTCCGCGGAAGCGCTGAGCCTTCAACTCGCGACGCAAGCGAGCGAGCTGCGGAGTTGGACGATCGAAGAGCGATCTGGGCGGCACGTAGTTATCCTCCCGACGCATCTTGTTGGGCCTTCTGCTGCCATCGTAACCAGCATCCGTGCGCGAACGCTTGTGCTCCTTGCGCACGTAAACTGGCGGCAGATCCATCTCCGCAATCGGCTCCAAGTCGTACATGAACGACAGCGAGTAGTCGATATATATGTCATTATCGTTATCCTGCGGCGGCGTTGGGGGACACCACATCTAATCAAGGGATCATAAGATATTAGCACCATGATCTTAAAATCATATAGCACAACCACTTGAACTTACCGGCATCTGTTCCATGGTGTTGCGAGAAATCCAGACCTGCACCAGAACGTTGCCAAGAAAGTTAAAGAAAAGAATAGACGTTCCACATTATTTTCAAGATATAGCAACTCTGTTTTGGTGTTGGCTTAGAAACTACTTCTGATTCAAGGTATTGCTTTTGATTTGAACTGAATTGAAATTGATTAAATTGATGGCGTTGTAGCTTTCATTCCGAACAGTTTCTATCTTTCGTACGGCGCTTGGTGGATAAGATTATAACTTAAGAGGGATTCATTAATTAACAAGCAAACAGATCGTAGACTTAGACAGAATTACACTAATTGTAATGATTGGAAAGTTTTTGCGACACCAAAACAGAATTCTACATTTGATTTGAGAAAATAATATTTAACAATCATTGGATGATTTCCGCTTATTCTTTTCCGACTTTCTTCTTTTAGGGAATAAATGCATTTCTTTTTTTTGACAACGCACGAAAATAGTCCGTAAATAAAAACCACAACGTCTTTTAGTTTTGATTCAGATTTAGCTTTGTTTGGGTTTTTTTTTATGTTATCTTGTTACACAATCAATGGATTTTTATACTTTTAAAAGCATACGACTTGAGTTCTGTTTTATTAATTAGTCAATCTATGCTCATAGTCTTTAGATTGTTAATGATTCGTTTAAGTTAGAGTACAAAATAAATTATAGAATGCAAAAATATTTAACAATATCCAGTATACCTATGGTCTTAAGACTAAAGCAGTTTTTGGGAGAAGAGTGTGTTCGTTCTGGTTTCTCGATTTGTATTTGACAAACATAATTTAACAACAACGATCAAGGATGTGGTAATTTGGATGATTACAGTAGAATGATGGATACTTTGAGTCGTCTAATTACCTCTATGTACAAACTGAGATGGCTTACGGTGCTAACCCAGAAGTTGTGAACTCCCCGGTGAACTACATCTACGCTATATACTATACGCTATATCATGGGCCCAAGCCCCTCGCACAATCAAACGATCTTCTCGATCGAACTAAGTTAAATTTGTTATCCTAGTCTCTCGCATTGGTTCCGCCGCCTAACTAACTTAGTTCATATGATAGAAGGAAACTCGTTACAGTCTATAAATACTCAATTTTAATCAGTTGGCAGCAGCCACCTGGCAGTAGTAACAGGCCGGTGGACCCGTCTCCCTGCGGATGATTTATCGCCCACTAAAACGCACACAGCACACACAGCTGATAATACTGACTGAGGGAGGAGAGCGAGCATCATCACCTGGTTGACCCGCTCGCAGAAGCAGTGGCTCCCGAAACTCCGCTCACAACTGACGAGGAAACAGAACTGGCGGGTGTTCCGGGAGTGGACCGTAGCATCACCCTAGGCGACTTAGTTATCCACCTGTGCAAAGTGTTCACATTGCTGGTGGACTTGTTATTGGTGTCCTCTTTTTTCGTCAGCACCCGCTGGGCTACCCTTCTCCTTGGCTCGCTCTGAGACTGCTTGGGCGTGGACTCGATTCTGGGCGTCTTTTTCACGCTCCGATTTGCGGTACTTTTGTTCAATGTGCTGACAACGGGACTCGTGTCCAGGGTCCACAGGTTTATCTTCACCGATCCGCGCGATCGAGTGCGTGGCGTGTGACCCACAACTTCGCTCTCATCGCTCTTATCGGAATGCTGCGGTGGCTCCTTGCTCTCCACTTTCGCATCGTGGTGTTGTTCATCCGTGTCCGACTCCTCGCTCACATTGTAGTACGTGGAGCTAGTCATGGTGGTGTCCTGCACCTGCTCGTGTGCATCCCAGCCATCGACGCTTTCGTTTTCCACATCGTCATTACCATCGCCTGCTGTGGCATAAGTGGAATTGGATTTAATATCCGCTTCTGTGTCTTCGGTGTCAGCATCAACTGCTTCCTCCTCTTCGCCTTCTTCCTCATCGTCATTATCGTCGTCATCGTTTGTTTGCGACTCGGTTTGTGTGGTCTCTTCCTCGAGTTCCGAGCCCGCTGTCACCTCTTCCTCCTCCACAGTGCCTTCCGCGTCCTCATTTTCTGTATCGTCTTCTTCTGACTCCTGCTTCTCATCCTCCTCATCTTCGTCACTTTCATCATCCATGTGTTTTAAAGGCGCCGCAATGGTGGCTCTTCTCTCCAGCAGTTTTCTGCGAGTGGCGGTTATGGAAACACTGTCCCTTCGTCCTCGTTTGGGTGGAGTTGTCTTCACACTATTGTTGCTTGCCGCATTCGATTTAAGAGGCGTCTTCATCATCTTGCTCATGGCAATGTTGGCCGACTGCCTTTTGGGGCGTTCTTCGATGACAATAGAGGAATCCTCTAGAGCGGATGCGGCTGCAGAAGCAGCCAAAGCCGTGCGTGTTGTCTTTCTAGTGGGCGGTGTGGGAACATTGGCCATGTTGACCGCGCCCAGCGAGTGGAGACGGGTGTGCCGGCGAACTGTCGATACGGCAACTGTACTTTTGCCTCCTGTCGTTGACCTCTTGTGGTTACTACTGCCTCGGCTACTGCTGCTGCTGACCCCCACCCCTGTTCTTTTCCCTGCTCCTATTCCCGATCCCACCGGTGCACTCGAATTGAGGCTGTTCTGGCGAGTACCCCGCATCGGTGCTGATCTCTTGTTCTTGCCGTTGCTACTAGTACTACTGATACTCCTGCTGAGCTTCTGAGCTGAGTCGCTTCGCTTTGCCCTAACCATTGGTCGCCTATTGGTATTGGAATCTTGTTTGGTATTAACCTGATTGCTCGAATCCTTGCGACTGTAGGTGAGCATCTCCTCGGCTTCCGTTTCCTGTTTAAGCAGCTCCTCCTCCTTGTGCATTGCCGCCAGACGATTGGCCTCCCACTCGCGCTTCTGCGCCTCCAGCTCAGCCTCCGCGGCACGCAGTTGCTCCGCTGTCCAGGCTGCTCCAGTGGCTTCCACAAAGCGCATGGCATAACGCTCGATAGGCGAGAGCTGTTAAAGGATAAGATATATATAAGTATTTAGTAGGTAAGAAAATAATCGCATAAAAAAAGTTTAAGGTGATATTTAAATATGTTAGACAATGAGTGATACAATCGAGGCGTGGGTTAGGTCGCTTCAACTATGTCTGAAGGTCTACTTTCCAAGGGAAAGTTTTTCTTGGCAACACTTGCTGCATCAAAATCGTAAAGAAATACAAATTTCAATAAGATCTGCAAGAGCTGCCTTATATTTATCAAAAAAAATAGCAAAGAAATTTAGAAATTAAAATTTTTATGACATCAAAACCATAAACTCACCTGTTTGACCAAGTTCTGCATTTCCAGATCAGCCTTGCTGAGTTCCACTTGAGCGCCTCCTTCCCCATTCGCATCTTCCGTTGCAATGGGAATGTTCTCGTCGAACTCAGCCAGATCTGCTGCCACCTCGGCCTTGGCCGTCTTAGTGGCCTGCACATCCTGCTCATCTTCGGCGGCGGCCAACGCGTGCTCGAAGGCGCGCAATGACTGCTTCTCGGTTTCCACAACTGTAGTTTCTGTCTCCACAAGGGTTGTGGTTGTCGTAGGCACAATCTTATCATTTCCTTCGGTTTTTTCCTGACTTGAATCGTCCTGCTCGGTCTGGTCCATCGTAAAAAGATCCTTGATTGTGGAACTCTTGAAGAAACTGGTAGTGAAGTTTCCACCCTCGATGGCCATGTCGCTGAGCATTCGCTTTTGATTTGCCTTTTTGAGTATATTAACCTCAATGGATCTTTCGGAGACGAGTCGGTATATGTGCACATCGCGTGTCTGGCCAATTCGATGGCACCGATCCTGGGCCTGCGCATCCATGGTGGGATTCCAGTCGGAGTCGTAAAAGATCACAGTATCGGCACCCGTCAAATTGATGCCCACTCCACCAGATCGCGTGGATAGAATGAAGCAGAAGATCCTTTTGTCGCCATTGAAGCGCTCCATAAGGATTTGCCGCTGTTCCACCCGCGTGGATCCATCCAATCGCAGATAAATGTGGCCGTGGTAGTTAAGGAAGGCCTCCAAAACATCCAACATCTTGGTCATCTGGGTGAAGATAAGTACGCGATGACCCTCAGCCTTCAGCTGTCGCAGCAAACGATCCATTGTCTGCAGCTTGCCACAATCGTACTGAATGAGTCGGGGGTCCGGGAACTGCGTAGTCATCGCCGAAATAATTGGATGCAGCAGGGCCAACTTAGGCAGAAGCGCCCGGCTCACTGTGTCTTCGATTTGACGTTCGTACTGCCATTTTGTCGAGGCGAGATTCTGCACATAGCAACGGATCCGTGGCGCACACACGGAAGGAACATAGATCACAAAGTTGGCAAAAAGCGGGCTTAGCTCCGCACATCTTTCCTCGAAGCTCTTCAGCAAATGGTTGAGAGACCAGCCATCCCTGTGCACCATAGCCGTGCAGCAATTGGCATAGCCACGAGTCTGCCATGTGGATCGCTTAAGCGATCGCGTCGCTTGCATACAACGCTCAATGGCTCCACGGCAATCCTCACCGTATATGGGAGTGGCATCGGTACGCCGACGATTTATCATGGCCATTCGTTTGAGAGAGGCCAATCGCTGTTCCTTGCGCATCTGAATCAGCTCCTGCACCTTGTAGGGATCCTCGGTTTCAGTTTCTTCCTCGGGCTCGGTTTTTCCGTTAGCAATACTTTGCTTATGAGCCGTGGTCTTAACATGCGTTGCCAGATCCTTTACGATGGGATCTCTGATCAGTTGCTGGGTAGCCGTTGGTGATGCGGTTGCTGTTGTTCCGGAACTCGTCGTGGCCGCCATAGCTGTGGTTTTGCTGGTCAGTGTCAGACGCGCTCCAGCTGCTCCCGAATTCGTTGCCGGAGTGAGGTAGAAAAATGGCTTGCCGTCCTGCATCGTTTTTGCCACTTTGGCGGGCGTTGGTGCATTAATTTGCGAGCGTGCCCCGAGCATTTTGGAATTGCTGAGTACACTCAATGCCCCAGTAGGCGAGGATGCCGCGGTCGATGACGCTGTGGTCACCACACTATTAATCACCACTGGTTTCAAAGCCATGTTCACAGGGTTAATGGAGCCGCTGACTCGTTTCAGAACCCTTCCGCTTGGTACTAAACTGCGCATTGGCACAACCTTCGAGCCCTCCATTCGCATGGCAGGACTGGCTCCTATTCTTACGGCATTCAACTTAATGCGCTGCGCCAGCTCCGCACTGCGTACTCGAATGTGAAAGCGGTATTTGCCATTCGGACAACGTGGAGCCGGCTGCGGAGCTGTATCGATTTCCTCGATAAGCTTGCGAGGCGGGGCGAGCAGGCGGGATTTGTGCGAGACGTAGGCGGTCATCGTTTGCTCCAGATGCATCAGCAAAAGGTTCACCGTCTCTAGATTAATTTGCTATAACGAGATACATAACTTTATTAGTTAAATTCATTTCTCTTGTTGTCTTAAAAATATTTTTGTTAAAAATCGAATCAGACAAATGCCTCGTAAACGAGCACATCCTGGGAAAAGTTTACGACTCTCTCAAAAATAGATTGAATCCAACTATCAGTGACAATTTAGCATCAATAGTAAACAAAAAAAAAGGTAAACATTTTTTGGGAGCTCACTCCTTTGACTCACCGTAAACGGATCATACTCCATTATGTCGCAGACGAGACGCGGAGTGTGGAATGTGATGCCCTCCATTTGAAATGGTGAGATGGTAGGACGCACCTCGAACATATTCGGGTGATTGCACACCTTACGCAGCTGCATCAAAACGTTGATCACGCTCAGCAAGTTTCCGGTTTGCAAGGTTTCCCGAGTACTGAAAAAGATTAAAAAATAGGTTAATAATGTGTGGATCAGTCGTTTAAAATATGAAAACTTACTTGGCGCGACTCATGAAATCGTCGTAGAGAAAACGCTGGCGATTCGACAGGCGGCACATGACCACGTGCTCATACTTCTTTGGCATTTGTTTTTCCACCTCCTTTTTAAGGCGTCGAAGTAGGAACGGACGAATCACCTGCACGGAGAAACAAGTGCAATATGCTAATTACTGCGCATTTAGTTTGAAATGAAGGGAAATTTTTACTAATAATCCTGTCAGGTGCGTTTTCAATGTGAACAGCTTGATGGAAACTTGACCACATGGATAAGACGCACCCCCTTAATCTGGCAAACTAACAAATTGTCATCACACGAGGATATATTTAATGTGACACAGAGTGCATTTGCCTAAACTGAGCCAGCCAAATTTCAGATAATGAAGAGGTCTGTTCACAATGTAAACGGATTAGAGTTAAAGAACAAAAATCACTTGCTATTGTGAAGATTGATATTGCACACATCTACGATTTTCAAGAGCATTTAACAGGCTGGCAAGAAAACGCTTTTAGGTGCATAACTATATACTATTTCTGATTGTAAGTTGTGTTTTCAATGTAATCGCCTTGGTAAGGCATTGACCACATGGATAAGACGCAACCCCTTGATCTGGCAAACTAACAAATTGTCATCACATGTGGTTTGAATTCAATGTGACACAGAGTGCATTTGCCTAACCTAATATTTACAATATATTTTTAAAAGATGTTCACAACGTAAACGGATTGAAGTTATAAAGAACTAATATCACTTGCTATTGTGAAAATTGATTTTGCACACATCTACGATTTTCAAGAGCATTTAATAGGCTTGCAAGAAAACGCTTTTAGGTGCAAACATCCAAAATTAAATATATAGTCAGCAATATGGAATTCTGTCATTAAATAAAGCAGAAACACTTGCAACTGAGCTTTGCTCTGGCACACAACTACGATCTTCAAGAGCATTTAATGGGCTGTCAGGAAAACGCTTTTTAGGTGCTTTAACACACAAAAACGAAAGCTAATCTTAAACTGAATGATAAGCTTACCTTGTGCAAACGCGTAATCAATGTCTCGTTGTACTCCATGTTGCCCTCAATCATGCCTGTCATTGGATTGGAGAACCATTCCTTGAACTCCCGATGTGATGAGAAGACATACGGCATGAGGAAATGCATCAAGGACCACAATTCCATCAGGTCGTTCTGAAGTGGGGTTCCAGTCAACAACAGACGTCTGAAAAAAGAAAAAAAAGCTGTTATTAAATCTATCCGTTTAAGTGGCTTTTTGTTTATGTCTCGAAACAAGGCCACAAGCATTCTAGGGCTGGATTAGCATGCTCTGGTTTAGTATGCGGCGTTATAGCGAAATTATTTTTAGCACCCAAGCGTAGTCGCCATGCTAGTTTAGCAATCGCATGGTTACTGATTTTGGTGCTGGCTGGCTTAGCAATTGAAATACTTCACTTACCTCTCGGTGGAAAAATTAAGTAGCAGTTGCCAACGCTGCGATTTGAAGTTCTTAATGTTTTGCGCTTCATCCAAGATCAGATATTTCCACTTCTTGCGGCGGAAGCTTTGCTGATCTTGCACTACCAGCTTGTAAGACGTGATGCAAACATGGAAAGCATTTGGCTTAGTCCAGCCCACGCGCTTAAGCTTGCGCTCCTTTTGGGATCCATAGTAGGTGAGTATCTTGAAGCCGGGACACCACTTCTTGAACTCCATTTCCCAGTTGAGCATCACAGATGAAGGCACCACAATAAGATGAGGTCCCCAGTTGCCCTTAGCGCAGGCGAGATGGGCCAACAGAGCTATAGTTTGGATGGTCTTGCCCAGACCCATCTCGTCGGCCAGGATGCCGTTTAACTTGCGCTCATTCATTGTAACCAACCAATCGAGTCCGATGTGCTGGTATTCACGCAGGGAGTGCTTCAGCAGGAATGGCACTGGGGTAACAACATTGGTCGAGGACAAGGTGTTTCCCTTGGGCTGAAGACTCTCGGCCAGGGCGGCGGCATCGTTAAGCATGTCGTCCTTGTTGGTACTGGTTCCTGTGTTGCTTCCGCTACCAGCAGCTCCACCAGGCGCGTCGGCATCCGTCATTAGACTTTTAAGGCCGTCCTCCTGTTCGTCCTGCTCCTCCACATCCGAATCAGTTTTAATAGTTGACATGTCTTCATCATCGGTGGCCTCCTCTTCACTTTCTTCGGTAGAATCATCAACAGCCGTCGAATCATCATCCGAGTCCAGCTCAGGTCCACGAGGCGCCAGCTTTCGTCGCTTTGGACTTGGCGGCTGGTCACTGGCTGTGCCCGACTTGTATTTCGCCAGCAACTGTTCCACTGAGAGATCATTGTCCGCCTCTAGTTGATCGATCTCCTTCTTGTGGTCAATTTCCTGTTCGGCCTCTTCCTGTTTGCTGATGGTATTCTCATCGTCTTCACTCTCTTCCTTTGCCTCAAACTCGCTATCATCGCTATCTTCCGGAGTTTCGGCTTTTACAGCCGAACTTTGCTCCTCCTCCATAAGCTTATCACGATTCTCCAGATAGCCAGGTGGCAGATCATTAAGGAAGTCATCAAAGTCCATCTCTGACTCCTTGGCCAGCGCAGTAACCTCTTCTTTAACATCCGCATCTTCCTCCTCGGCCTTGGCGATGGTCTGCTCGTCGTCTTCAGAGCCAGATTCAGGGCGGAAATCGTCTGCAAGGATAAAAGGAATACAATGAGTAATTGTTTCACTCTATGTTGTACTATTTAGATATATTTAAAGAAAATGTGCATCAGACAAATGCCTCGCGAATGCGACCATCCTAGGGTAACATCGAAGTGTTCAAATATAGTACACAACAACGTTTCAGTGTGGTTTTATCATCAGGTGCTAAATTCTCTTAGTCTAAGGAGCAGGTCTACGGGATAACTCACCATCGGACTCCCGTTTGGGCGATGTTAGACGGCTGGAATTGAGACTGGGCGTTTCCGCCACACTCTTGTTCATTCCCTCGGCGAGCTGCTGCGAAAACTTCTCCGTCTGGTCTACAATGAAGCTCAGATGCTGGTCCAAAGCCTGTTTGCGTTTCTCTTCGATCTTTGTCTGGTGCTTGTATTCAACCAGCTTCTCCACATTTGACCAGAAGCTTTTCACTTCGCGCGCAATGAAGGATGCCACTCGCTTTAGATGCAGTTCCTGAGCCTTCTCCGCTCGCTGGGCGGCTGTCGCCTTGTCCTGGAAATACTTTTGCACCATCTTGGCGCATTTTTTCGCCGCGTTCTTCTTCCACTTTCGCTCCTGTGCAAAGTCGGCCGCCAGCCAGACCATCTCCTCCAAGAGATAGTCCCAGTGAGCTTTGGGGCGGCTGGGTTCCTGCAGCTTGGGCAGTCGCCGCTCAGTCCATAATCCCTCTCGCTGTAGTTCCGATATACGCTGCATCACGTACACCTCCTGCTTCGCCTTCACCGAGAACTCTTGCGCCGCACTAGTGGGCGTGCCAGAGCCACCGGCCATCGCAGGGCTAAGCAGACTGCCGGATGTTGGAGTTCCGGGCGTGAGGGCCCCACTGCCGCCCAACGCTGCCGGGCCATTTCCCGTATATAGCGGCGTCGGTGTGCCGCTTCCTCCTCCTCCAGCAGCCACGGAGGTTCCGCTGGCGGCATTGCTCTGACCCTGCGGTCGCCGCAGCGCCGTCGATCCCACTGATGCACTGCAGGGTAACAGCGGGGTGCCACCTTAGAAAATAAGCCAAATAAAAAGACAATTAGCAATTAGCATTAATAAGTTACAGTTCGGTGATAAAGGATCAACTCTTGGCATGCTGGAAAGTGCATCAAGTACAAAAGAGCTACCAGGAAAGCAATAATGGATTAATGGAATAGAATAAACATGAGAATCGTTTGCGAATCAGTTGCTAAAAGAAAGATATGGGAACTGCATGCAAACTTAGTCTTAGTGTGGAGCCCGAATTCAATGCGGCAGCTGGGAAGATCGTTGCCACATGGATAAGCGAAGCACCGCCTTTCTCTGGCAAGCTTACAAATTGTCATCACATGAGGCTGGATATCGATGTGACACAGAGTGCGCTTGCCCTTTCCGCCCGAGTTAGAGATACAGATACGGATACTTAAGTGAGCCCAGCTTAAATTGGACCTGATTCATTTGTGGATCCAGGTCACATGCAACTGTGACGGCTGCTCTGGCACACATCTACGATTTTCGAGAGCATTTAACGGGCTGGCAAGAAAACGCTTTTAGGTGCATCCCCGGGGATCACTTGTTGTCAGCTATATGGATATCTGCCATTAAGATCGGCCGAATCACTTGCAACTGAGCTTTGCTCTGGCACACATCTACGATTTTCAAGAGCATTTAACGGGCTGGCAAGAAAACGCTTTTAGGTGCGAGATACAACTAGACTAGAGCTAATGATAAGTCATTGAGGGTGAGTAGGTGGCTAGGATGGTGAGAAATGAACCCCATCCCGGTGATATGAGTCCTAAAGATCGACGCGTTCTCTAGTTTTGCTAAGTATGCTTAAGTTTGCTAACTTGCTTACAAATCAACGCAATCAATAAAACGATACATTCATCAATTATTTATCAATTCAAACTGAACTAAAAAGTATTAAGCAGGTTTACCAATCAAAACTAAGGGCAATAACACCAATTCTAGAAATCAATTTACAAATTTAAAAAGAATCTTATGCACATCAATCAATGCACTACTTTGCTTGGCAAATGATAAAATGCTTCAATATTTAACACACAAACTTGTTTAAATAGGAATGGAAATAAAAAGAACAAAATTTTAGCTGTGAAAGATTTTTGATATTTTTTTTTTTTTTGTTTGCGAACGATAAGCACCTGGCACCAAAGGTACAGAAGGGTTTCCTACGGCAGCAGGAGGAGCGGGTATTTGACCGAAGACCATACCGTGACGACCTCCTAAAGGTCTACCGGGTATGTGACCTATATTATAACGATAACGATACAATTATGGTGAGTTGAGAGCGTGTGCGTTATAGGAGGATGTGGGCAGCATTAATGTGGTAACAGAAATCGGAAAAGAAATAAAGTTTGTAAATAATAAACAGCAGTACGGACTAATCGGTTATGTAGTTATGCTTGTGTTTTAGTAGGTGGTGTGTGTGTGTGTGTGTGTGTTTGTGGTGATAAACTTACAAAATAATCTTAGCATTTTGTGAGTTTAGTTTGCTTTTTGGTATTATGTATTAGTAATGCACAAAATTTGGTTTTTAGTGCAGGACGTGCGTTGGCGGTTGGCGCGGTTTTAGTTTCAGTTTCGCAGTTACAGGATTTGGTATGCAGTTGGCTAAAGTTTTTGCATTGATTTTACAATTTGAATTTGGCATAATTGTTGGGACGAACGTAACAATTAAAAACAAGGAAAAATACAATTTTGTTTGGTCCAAACGAACACAACAAAAACACAAAAGATTTCATAACAATGAGGAAGACAAAAGTTTGTGATCGTGAACACGGTGTATTTACCTTGTTGCGTTAGCTGGACAACGGCGGCAGGAAGTTTTGTTGAAATAGCCACCGGGGTGGCTCCAACAGCAGGGATTTTGATTTCCGCTTCTCGTGGCAGGACATTACCACTTGCTTCGACCGAACTCCCAGTTGTGGTGGTGAGGGTTGCAGTTGCAGCAGTTCCTGTTACTGTGCTACTTGCTGTTGCTGCTGGACTTGAGGTTGTGTGGCTGCCAATCTTGCTTGGCGCTTGAGATTGCGTATTCTGTAAGAACGAAGAATGGAAATAATTAGTAAATGGCCAACACATTACAAACAAAGGATAATTAATTGCTTCAATCAGACAAATGCCTCGCATTGCGACATCCCTTTAACAGGCCAGAACCAATCAAAAATAGATCGATAACGGCGCTCAGTTTGATTTTATCATCACTATGATTGCTCAAGCTAAACATTGTCCTGGTGATGCGTACCGTTTTCACTGTGGTATTGCTAATGTTGCCATCCAATGGTGCTGCTGCAATTGTTCCTGTAGTGTTCCCGCTGTCCACTGACACTTCTAATGTGGCTGTTTGCTGGGTAGTTAATTTCTGAGACTGATTTTGAGCCGCAGCTGCTGCTGCTGATGTGCTCGGCTTATCCTCGTGTATCAGCTGATCTATACGATTCGCATTGCTATAGCTGATGAACTGCGGGGTTGGTGTCTTCTTGCGCCACGCAGGGTAGTCCATCATACTGCCGCCGTTTTGTAGGTAAAAGTATTCCGACACATTTTCAAGATGCCTAATGATGGAAAACAAACCAGGTATTACATGGCCAAAGCGAAGAAGGTGAAAATAACACTCACCTTTCCTTAAGATTACGCAAGATCTGCAACTTTTGCTGGAGTATGCGCTTTTTCAGGGCATTCAGGTCCTGTAGGGCCGTGGATGAAAGCCCGCCGAGCTCGCTGGTGGAGGCCACAGATGCAGGGAGCAGGGAGCCAACAATGTTGGTGCTCCCAGCGGTCCCAACAATGCTGCTGGTGCTCGTCCTATCCTCGTTGTTGTCCAAACGCTGACGCTTGGCCTGCGGCGGCGAAACAGAGGCTTCTATCGTGGCGGTGGTATTAGATGAGGCGGATGGATTGGAGTAAGCTGAGTGGGCGGGTGCTGCTGCTGCTGCCGTTGCCTCTGTCGTTTGCTGTTGTTGTTGTTGCGGCAAGGGCGACAGCGGCACAGGCAGCTGCGCACTGGGCAGCTGTTTCTGTTTGCTACTGCTGGCGATTCCTTTTGCTTGGCTGGCAAGGTGATGGTGGTGATGGCGGGTGGCCGGCAAGGCTGCTCCTGCTGCCGATCCTGTACCTGATGGCCCTGTCGTGGTCGTGGTTTTGGTTGTCGCAACTAGTTTTTCCGTTAAATGTGGAGTTACGCGGTCAGGCACAGCAGGAGGGGCCGGGCTGAGCCCTTCATGCCCCCCTCCTGCTGAATTACCTTCATTCATGTTTGAGACATCTGTAAAAACAAACAAAAAAGGGGAAGGGGGTGTGAGTTCCCAGTATTATTTTGAACAGACAAACGTTGGCGGGAAAAAAAACGTGGACTGCCGGGCACATGTGTCGGCGCTGCAGCCCTGGTCAGACTTTAGAACCAATATTAGTTCGCAAACGACGATGATCTTAGCATTAACACTGCGTAATATCCATTATCAAAAAAGCTGAGCAAATAAAATCATAGTCATTAGAAAAAAAAACTAAATGCTTATCAAACCGAATGCACCCCTTGAAAACCCGGAAAATGCAACCCTGCGTCTTGGTTTTTTCCATGTCGCACACACACGTATTTTTCCGATTTCCGCATGAGGCAAAGTGGAAACCTAATAGTTCTTCCATTAAATTTTCCATTGCTCGCATGATTTTTAAATTTTCACCAGATTTCAACGCTCAAAATAAGCACTTTTCACACACACAGTAGCGGGGTACTATATCGCTGCAGCTAAAGCGAGATGACTATACATAGCGCGATGGCGGCGTCGCCTCTTTGTGTTGGTGTGCGCGTCAATTCTCCGCGCGGCAGACATTTTTTTTCATTTTTCGTACCTCAGACGGGGAGAATTTTAATCACAATATTTCACCATCTCTGCAAGGCATCCGGGCTTGAAAATAGTGCGGATGCGTTGTGAAAAATGTGCCGCACTCGTTGGACCGTAATCTAAACCGAATTTCCTGCACATTTATTAAGATATTTTTTCGCAGAAGTGCGCGAGCACGTCTGCTCGTGTTCGAAACAACAAGAAAATTGGTGTGACCGTTGATGAGGGTCTGATTTTGGTGTGTCTTTTGGACAACACTGATAAAATACCAACTTTTTAGCTATTTTTCATAAGGAAAAAAGTCCTATGAGACGTTTATCACAACAGTAAAAATTCAATAATGTGCATATAGGACTTATAGGATAAAAATGGTAAAAAAAAAAGCAAGCGCCCTATTTATTAGTGAAGTATAATTAAAAACACACATTTTACGACATTTTCCGATCAAATTTGATCATATTTTTAGAAAAGTCGCCGTTCTGAACATTTACCGACCCTTGCAACACATCTTAGGTAATTGTTTACAAGTGCGGTGCACGGTAAAAAAACGACTTTACAAAATAAAGTAAAATATGCAAATACGATCACTCAGATCCGAATTTGTACTACAAATCGCATCTTAAATTGTTAATAACAAAAAAAAACGTTGCAAAATTTTCACTTTCCGCCAACGGGTTTCAAAATTTTAGAAAAAAAAACACATAATTTGGCTATTTTACTTTATTTTTTAAAGCCGTTTTTACCGTGCACCGCACTTGTAAACATTTACCACATATTAATATGAGGAAAACTTTTAGTTGACTTATATAAAATTGCGCCCAATGAAATGAAACCCCGTTGAGGCCGCCACTGCCAAGACAACATAAATATCCGTTTTGCCTGAGCTAATTCAAAAGCTTCCAACTGGTCACACTGGCTAACAATGGTGACGACACAACAAATTCGTTTTAAAACTTTCTTGCGGCGGTAAAAATGCGCATGCACGCTGTTAGCGCAACGTACGCACTTGTAATTGGAACAAATGTTTCCTGAATCACATCCGCCCACTCAATGTAAGCGCCAACGTTTCTTCCACCGCCGCCGCCGTCGTCGTCGCCGCCGGACTATTTTGTTTACAATTTTGCTTACACAAGTGCAGTCGTCGATAGCCTTTAATTTCGGAGTGACAAGTACGTAGTTTCCGCCGTACCATATCGCTATCTAAAAGTCACAGGTTGGTGGTAATCAGTACGTCGCAGCTCTTTGGCTGTCTATCGTTTTTGCATACGCGGCCTGGCGCCCACAAGAAACCAAAACAGAAACCGAATTCCAAATCCGGAAACCAGTGAAAGTACGGTGAATACCGGGCAAGATGTTAGCTCATTCCGCCCATGTGATGACGCTGGCCAACAGCATCATAGGCGTCGGCATCCTGGCTATGCCCTTCTGTTTCCAGAAGTGCGGCATCGTGCTGTCCATCTTGCTCCTTGTGCTTAGCAATGGAATCACTCGGGTCTGCTGTCACTATCTAATCAAAACCTCGCTGCTGACACGTAGGAAGAGCTTCGAGATGCTGGGTCTCCATGCTTTTGGCGCTTCCGGAAAGTTGCTGGTGGAGCTGTGCATCATTGGGTACCTGATTGGAACTTGCATCACGTACTTCGTAGTCGTGGGCGATCTGGGGCCACAGATAATCGCTAAGATTTTTGCCCTGAACGTGGCGGATCACCTGCATCTGCGCAGCTTGGTAAGAAACAGATGTGCGTAACTAGATTAGATTGATATAATAATACCTATATTTCAGGTCATGATCGTAGTGACAGTGGTTTGCATAGTGCCGCTTGGCATGCTTCGAAATGTGGACAGTTTGTCGGCCGTGTGCACCGCCTCTATAGGTTTCTATGTCTGCCTCATTCTCAAGATTGTGCTGGAGGCCCAGCCGCACATAACGGCCAACGACTGGACGGAGAAGGTACTCTACTGGGAGCCGGCGGGCGTGCTCCAGTGCCTGCCCATCTTCAGCATGGCGCTTTCATGCCAAATGTGTGTACACCAGTTTTCTTTGTTCTGTAGATATCGTCAAATATTTGATCAATTTGTAGGCAGCTTTTTGAGGTCTTCGAAAGCATCAACAACCAGAGCCTTGACAAGTTGAATGGAATTGTGCGCAACGCCACTTGGATCTGTACGTTTGTTTACATATCCGTTGGTTTTTTCGGCTATGTAGCCTTCTGTACGCACACCTTTTCGGGTAAGCCAACCACCTTTTTGACGTACTGCATGAACTACATATTTCGCTTTGTATTTTTAGGAAATATTCTGGTTAATTTGTCGACCTCATTTGGCAGCGATGTTATCAAAATTGGCTTTGTGCTCTCTATTGCTTTTAGCTTTCCGTTGGTTATCTTTCCGTGCAGGGCCAGTCTCTATTCGCTGCTTTACAGAAAGGTAATTGAATGGTTTCTTTTTACTTAAATGCACACTCATAAATCGTTCCTTGACAGGGTCACTCGGAAAGCAGTAGTTACATACCTGAACAGCGGTTCCGATTCATCACTATCTTTATTGTTGTCTTTTCGCTATGCGTGGCATTGGTTATTCCCTCCGTCGAGCTGATCATTGGATTGGTGGGCTCCACAATTGGCGTTGCCATTTGCATTATGTTTCCGGCATCCAGTTTTCGTAAGATCATCAGAAAGGAATCAATGGAGCGCACACTGGCCCAGTTTGTTTTTGTGAGTGGATTTCTGTTGATGATTCTAGGCACTTATGCCAATCTGAGTGCGATCGATGAGAAGAGCTCGGGTCCGGAATTCGATATGGTTCCGATCGTCACTCCTTTGTATCCCGAGGGCCAAGTACCAGCCGTTGTTGGCGAACTACCCAAACACTTGGCCAAGGATCCGGCTGAAAATGAAAAGAATTTATTGCTGAAAAAGCTTGAGGTACAGAATCCAGAATTAGTCAAGGAACCTGTAGAGGAGAAGATAATCGACAAGCCAAAGGTAGTGCAAACTGCCTCCTCCGATAGCCCACCTTTACCCCCACTGCCAATCGACGAAGTTCATGTGGTTCCCTTAGAGAGTAACAAGGCTGCAAGTGATCCTAAAAAAACCCTTAAAGCAGCGGCAGAAATAGACCCACCAGAAGTTAAGCCCATCGATGATAATCTTACCGTTGAGAAGCCCAAGGAGAACCCACCAGCTGTCATTGCAGTACCATCAGAATCTCCAAAAATAGATTCTAGTCTGTTATCAGCAAGCAACACGATTGACGGAGCCGCCATCAAAAAAGAAGAGGAAGTGGCAGCCGAAGAGCAAAAGGAGAGTAAGGCTAGTGCGGATGAACTACTAAAGACTCAAAAAGAGCTGAAGGAGACAAAAAAACTCCTGGAGAAAACCGTAGGCGAGTTAAACGAAGAGCTGGCCAAAAAGAGTCCACTCAACCAGCAACCATCGGAGTTGGAAAAAAAGGAACCAGTGGAATCGGTAGTTAATGATGCTGAAGAGCCGAAAAAAGCTGAAAATATGCTCAAGGAGCCGCAACCTGTTGCTGGGGATAAGGAAGAGCGCAGGCCCAAGGCTTCGTTAATGGACATACTCACGGAAAATACTCACTTGCGTGATGAAAAAGAAGCCCATGCCGGCGTGTTCGAACCACTGTCCTACAAAACCGGTGAGCTGCTAAAGAACTCCAGCGTAGACAGAGAAGCTCTGGTCAAACGATTGCCTATCCCACTGGCTCTAATGATAAACGCTACTCTGCCAAAGGCAACAAATGACTCAGAGGTTAAGAAACCAAACCTCGAAGACAATGTGGAGGCCATCCGAAGAGAGCTACTTAATTTGCGAACTTCTGGAGATGCGACAGAGCAACCACTGGCGAGGATTAAACGTGAAGCCTCCAACGAGGAGAACTGCCTCCGCCAGCCAAAGCTGGATGAAGTTAACAACAATGTGGCCGCAGCTGCCTTAAGCTTGAATATGGAAAGTATTGGACGCGATCTCAAATCCATCAAAGATGACGATGTCGAGATAACCACTGAAAACGAATCCTACCAAGCGAGTCCGAATGGAACCCAAACTCCGCTGCTTACGTAGTGTGGATAGTCTACAAGTTATGCAAAGCTTTATGTACATAAACTTTACACGTATTTATTTAGTTTATAAGAGAATGTAGACTAGGAGTGTATACAAAATATATACCGTTTATATGACTTGGGAGCATTGTGTCAAATTTCTCATTTAGTTGCTAACAAAATTTTGTGTAGAAAACTAGCTCAGATATTTTGGTAACCCAGAAAAATGTCCATCGTTCTCGATGTTGTCCAGCATTTTGTGTTGCAAAAGGCTTACGATTTTACCAGCGAGGCCTTTATTCAAGCATTGCGAAGATGTGGCAATGTGAGTAGTTATCAAGTTCCCAAAACACTTGCTTATTATTCTTGATTCCTTTTTAAGCCAAGAATAGAGGATGATAAGTCCAAACTCAAGAAAGAAAAGATATTGCCAGAGCCTCCTGCCAAACCAGTTTCTGGAAAAGTCTTATCTATAAAGAAACCTCAGGTGCCAGAGGTTAAAAGAACCGTCAAGTTTGTGGGACGAGACCTTCCCCGAAAGAACTTTGGCTCCATTGATCCACCCCAGTGCTCTTGCATGCGTGTCTGCCGGGATAGCTACTTCTCTTAAACAAAAATCAATCCGTAGTTTAAAAACGATTGCAACTTTAATAGAATAGGAAAAATAGCAAAATTTTAAGCAGCATCTGGCAACAAATCTCCATCCATTCTATATCCGTAAAATTATCAAATGTAACACTAATAACAGTTTTTGGTAGCAACTAACAGGTCTGATCTTGAGTATTTAAGGTGGTTTAGGCCACATCCGCTCCCAGGGAGTGCAGGTCGTAGAGCACCTCCAGGATGGCAGCCACACTCCAAGCCTGCGTGCGACAGGAGTCACCGCAGTAGGCGCCATTATCGTTGGTCAACTCGGGCAATCCGCGCCAGTGGGAAGTCTGCAGCTCCCGGAGGTGGGCTCGCAGTATGGCCCACGTTTCGGCAATGGTCTCGTCCAGGTGGCCGCACTTCTTGGCAAAGATCAAGCGCGCTCTGAGGTAGAATCCAATGGGCCACACCCACTCGGGACCCTGGTGGTAATTTGCGCCATGGGCGACCGTGCAATCGGTGGAGTCATTTGCATTGTCATAGTTTGCCCTGTAGTTCCAGTCCTCGGGATCCAAGGTCTTCATGCCCAGCGGTCCCAGCAGATACTTCTTGGCCCGCTCCAGTGCCCGCCAAGCATTCTGGGGATTACACAGCTCCGGGGCCACGGTTAAAGTGATGGGGAAATTGCAGCGCAGCTGGAAGTCCGTCCAACTCTGGGTGGCTCCAACGCTGTCCTTGTAGATGAGCCTCTTGTTGGCCACTGAGCAGGTTTCCGTCTCGGACACAAAGAAGTGCCTGTCGAAGTTGTCCTTGATGCGATCGGCCCACTCCTTGTAGCTCCATTTGGTCACCTCGCCCGAAGGTCCCTTTCGCTCCACGCCAGTGTACGGTATGGCATCCTTTTCGGCCAGACTCTGCATGAACCGCAGTACGGCGTACTGCAGGCCAATTAGCTCCACGGCGGATCCATCGCGGGGAGTGCTGGGTCGCCCCTTGTTTCCGGCCTTTTGCGAGGAGCCCATCTTGTCCATCCAGGTGCCGCAGTTAAAGTTGTTGCCACCGAACACAAAGCCAGTCTCCGGGTGCACGCCAATGTGGTTGTTGAAACCCTGGTCCAGCATATGCGCATCGATCTCGTAGCCAGCGTTGCGTTCCCTGTACTGCAATCCCTGGAAATGCACCTGCAGCGCTTCCTGCATCACGTCGAACAGCAGCTGGTCAAAGGTTCCTGGAGCATTGGGCTCTGCATCGTCGTACGGGAAGATGCGAGACACCTTGTCTTTCAGGATCTCGGAACCCTTCGGCGCATCCTCCACGTACTGCTTGATGCAGTACATCCACCACCAGACGGCATCGCGGCAGTTAAACCTCGGCTTGGTGCCGTTGTCCAACAAATTCGGGATGAGACCGTGCCGCAGGGTCTGTCCGAATCCAATGATGATGTAGCGGGCTTCGTTGTAGCGACCGGTAAGGAACATCGAACCACGCAGGGCGATAAAGGTATCACGACCCCAGCAGCGCATGTATCCTGGAGAATAAAAGCAAATTTAGTTTAAAATGTTCTTATATAAATCTTTAAATATTTTACTTACCCGTTGAGAAATGCGGCAGACCAGCGGAGAGGGTCACACATTGCTTCGGAGGTTTGGGTGGATTTATGGCAGGACTGAAGCCTGGCAGATTGGCCGATTTGCAAACGGAAAGGAACTGCAACGTGGAGAGGGCCAGTGACTGGGTGAAGCTGTGACCATTCTTAATGAAACTGTCGAAAATCAAAACAAATTAGATAATTGCGAATTAAAATCAGATTTTCTGAAGGAACATACTCAGGCATTAGTTCGTTGACCTGGTTGATGAGAACATTGTACACTCCGCTGACAATGGCATCAAAGTAACAGGGTATGAGGTAGCGTGGAATATTCTTCAGGGGCTCGAAGGTAGCCTTAAACCAGGCTGAGAGAGGCTTAAGATCTTCGTAGCTGGTTAGGCGATCAGCAATGTAATCTGGGAGAAGATTTTAATAATCAGAAACTATTTACAAACTCGTTTTCCTTTAAATGCTTACCCATCATCCAGTTACCATCGCGCAGATTGCCACAGAATGGGTGACCTAAATCATTTTTGGGCGAAATCTCCGTTAGCAGTGAGACGAATCCTTGCAAACCGCAGTAAACAATCCTTCCGAAGTTTGGTATGTCGTAGGCAGAGCCACCGTTGCCAAGATCCCGCTCCTCCTCATCGCAGTTAAAGAGGGCACCGCTCAATGCCACCAGATCCAACTTGGAAACGATTGCCTGCAGCTGAGTCCACTCATCGCCGGATCCCAAACGCAGGGCATTTGTGATCTTCTGCAGCTTGTCGAAACTGGCACGCGGACCCGGATGCATGGACACTCTGATGGCCACCACTGTGCCAGGTCGCAAGTTGGCAAAGTTCAGCTGCGTGTTGTTGCCATCCACGTAGGATTGGGTCTGGAACACGGTCGACTTCGAAAGAGGTATATGCTCCTGCAGATTCAACTGGAACTGGGTGAAGCCATTGATCACGTTGGGATCCTTCTTGAACGGAGCGGGGCGATCGAAAGGCTTGTCGCTCTGCATGGTCAAACTGGCCTCCAAGATGATCTCGTCTAGAACACCTTCAAAGCGCAACGGTCTGATCCCTGTGGGTCCGGCATTCGGAGAGGGGTAACCAAAGGCAGTGTGGGCCACCAGAATAACCGACTGATGAGTGCTGGGTGAGTGACGCGTGACGGCCACCACATTCGGATCCATTTGGTCAACATACACCTGGCTAAAGCCCTCCTCAGCAAGCTGTCCATGCAGCAGGTTAAGTGCCCGCTTGGCTCCCATTATTCCAGATTTTGAGTCAACGCCCTTGCCCCATTCCTGATACAAACGTTCCTCGTCAACGACATGGATCTGGATAAAAAATATTGAGTCAGTTTAGGTGCACAGAACGAAAGCAATAATATATTCACATGATGGGGAACTAGCTCGTCGTATCCACGGTTACTTCCGGTGGCACAGCAGGCCATGGACACCAGTGCTGCAGAGGGCAAAAGGTCGTAAACCGAACGCTTCTCCACCGGAGACGGATTATCGTGGGTGAGGTCTAGGAAGAGGGCATGAGCCACACTGGTGGCCTCGTGGCGCGAAGGGTTCGCATAGAAGCCGCCAACTGGAACACCTCCATATCGGTAGACCAGTCGGCCTTGCTCATGAGAATCCCAAGCGGAAAGTGCTTCACGGATCAGGGAAGTGATGCCCAAGCGGTTAACGAACACGTTATCGGTGCCATCGGAGTTGGTGAACAATTCGGCCACCACATACAACTCCGGATTGATCTTGCGAGCTGCATCGAGCAGATACTCAGCCACATGCAAAGGCGTCGAGTGGCAGTTGTCCAGACGGACTCCGTCGAAGATCCGCGCCGTGGTCTCCACATACTCGGTCATGTGCTTCCACAGGTAGGGACTATCTTCTGGTTTCTTACCAAAGCGCAACTTTACACTATCGCCCCACGAAATTAACTCGCGTTTCAGGTAGACATTATCGCGTCCCGGCTGTTCCTCGGCGAAGTCCCTTAGCGGATCACTGGAGCCCATTACCCAGCCGTTGTGGGCCATGAAGAACTCTCCGGCTTTGGTGTACATATCCGCCTCAATCTCGGTGAGCGATTTGCCCTCAGTGCCAGTGTGCGTAAAGTATACCATAAAGACGGAGTGCTTCTCGGAGATCTCCTTCACGCGCGGTCCATCGGCCTGGACTCTTTCGTAGCGCACGCCGGCCAAAACGTTGTCGATGGCATAGTTTATATATCCTTGGACTTCGGCGCGCACTCGGTCGTTGAGGGAATCCAGATGACGACGAAGGGTCTCGGCGCACTTGCGGAACCGGGACTCCTCATCGAAACAGTCGCCATGAAAAGCATTAAAGATCTCCAGCGCCAACTCGAAATTTATGGTCGTGGCCAAGCGTCGATATTGCGGGTCCTGTATCAGTTGGATCTCATGGAAGCGATACTCGTTGGCCACATTTTTCGGTGGTTCGCGAGTTCGCACCTGAGTCATGAACTCGTTGACGTACTTCATCACGTCGCACTGATACAGCTCGTGTATATTGACCTTGGACATGTAGGAGGTGTGCAACTGGTACTTTAACGCTTCCAAATGGCACTCCTGATCGATGACCTGGGGCACGCCCACGTGCTCCAAGCTGCCCTCGGCTATGTCCGCTCCACATTGGGCGAAAGCGGCGTCCAACAAAAACGCTGGACGGAGGTAGGGACAGGTGGCACACGAGTAGGTGGCATCCGGATGTTGGAGGAGCCATTCCGACTCGTTGGCAGTGTGATTGAGCACAATGTCGCAGATGGAAGCCACCTGTAAAGAAGGAATGGATTAAAATTAGTGAGAGTTCAATGATTTTGACTAGTGATGCTCATTTTCTTACCCCCCATTCCTGGCGGCACTTCTTGATGACCTTTTCCACATCTTCGAAGCTGACCTTGCCTCCCTTCTGGTTCGCGTAAATCGAGCTGACCTTGAGTTGGTCCCGCAACGAATAGCAGGAGCGCGAGCCTCCCAACTCCTGGATGGGAGTAAAGTGGATCACATTGTAGCCCGCCTCCTTTGCCACACGTAGCTTGGCCTCCCAAGTGTTCAACGGTCCGAGGAGCTTGGTCAGCACCGTTTGGCAGCGTACCGAGTCCAGGGGAATGGTTTTTTGGGCACCCGGCGGACCAACATGCAGCGTGGGCTCCACTTGGACATAAAGAGCACCATCTGCTCCAGAGCTGCCAGTATCTGGTCTAGAATTGTTGAATAATTAATTAGTTTTGTATTTAACGACAAAGGAAACATGAAGAAGTTTGGTTTAAACTGTAATCATTACCTTTCCAAGTACCGGAAGTAGAAGTGATAGGTGCCGGATAACTTCAACTCCACCTCACTACGGATGTCCGTGTCCACGACGTGAGCTTCAGGATGCATTACGGAGGTCACCTGCTTGCCGTTGCTGAGTTGCCATCCCAGAACTCGGTACTCCGTTCGCACGAACTTCTGTCCATCGGCGGGATAGTTAGTATACAGCACGATCTTCCTTCCCAGTAAAGAGGCATCCGGATGAACACTCAGCTTGGAACCCCTTTTTAAACGATACAACACATGCTCGGCATTCTGACCCTCGGCAATGGGTATGCTGTGCGACTCCGTCTCCTTGCCCATGGTGCTCATCTAAAGGATTCCGGAGAGTTAAGACAGTTGAAGCATTACACAATCGAGAATGTCACTAATATTATACATGAACATGGGTATTATGCACGGAATGTACAGTTAAACATCTATCAGTTTATGTCTCTGAAAGTCAAACTAGTTCTAGCGCCAATTTAGATAAGGATTACACCTATACAATATAGGTTCTATATTTAGACGGGCACATAACAGAAAAATGTTATTAAGTAAGGGTTGATTGATTGTCATTTAAAACTTTATCTTCTGTAGCTTGTCACTAGTGAATTAAGGAATCTTCTTATCATTTCAAACATTTTTTGGCAATCCATTTGGAGTTAACTGTATAGAAGTTTCACTGTATAATATCTGTTAAAGTAATTCGCGATCGGAAAACGCACAGCCAAAGGCATCTTGTTAAAACACCACCACAGTCCAAGTAGAATTTTAGATGTTTGCCCGCTTAGTCGGCGCTTTAAGTAGCTGTTACTAGCTTAGTAATCCGGCTCAGACTGCAGCATCGCCGTACGGATTCCATGTTTTATATTCATGGCCGCGACACTCACACAACCACACCACACAGGCATACCCGGAATAAAACATATAGTTATGGATTATGGACACAACACTGGGACTCCGATCACTGGGCAACTGATGATAATACCTCACGGCGGCGGATGACTTGATTTGATACGATCTCGGCACTGCCTGCATTGCCCATTGCATTCGCATTTGCACTTGGAACGGTTCTAATCGCGACTGATTTTGATTTTCCGCTGGAAATGGCATTCTCCTCCAGATGCTGTTGCTTCTTCTTTCCGGGTGCTTCCTCTTCTTCGCTTTCGATTCGTAACGGTACCGGTGGTTCGGCGTTATCAACAATCGCTATTAAACCGTAGAGCCATCGGAAGAGCTGATAACGCATCAGGATCTGGAGCATGCTTCTCCAGAGCCAATGGAATCCCTCGTTCAGCATGACTGCAACTGCTGCAAATTCGATTTCGATGGTCTACGGAATGCCAGGAATTTTCAAACGCCACAATCTCAAATCGAGCATTAAAGAAATATTATGTACTTTTTAATCGCGATAACCGGCCACACAAACACACATTTGCACACAAAGGCGTCGATTCAGAGGGGGCTGTTTATAAATATGAAAGTACGGAACTGACAAACCTAAACCCTTGCCAATTTTTTTTTTGTTTTTTGTTGATGCAATATAATTGGCATGTGGCGCCTACGTGAGAATATATGGATTTCCACGATTAGCCGACCTTATCAACATTGAAATTTCACTAGCAGGTCAGGGAATAAAAATAAAGTTTGTGCACACACCAAGTTCACAGACGAACACACACACCCACATTTCACACTTGTGTTTCAATATGTAGGTCAATGAATTGCACTTGATCGCCGGTAGATGGCCTTAAAATATATATAAAGCTTTTTTAAGAGCAGTCCCGAATTTAGAACACAACAAAAACTGTTCCATGTGAGTAATCTTTTGATTTTTTTATCTGCACAAAACTTATCTGCCTACTTTCATTCACATTCACTCTCGGAAAGCTGTTTGTTTTGATGGGTATGCAAATTATATGATTTATTTCAATTTATTCACTGGTTTTGCGATGATTTTCCGTACTTTTTGGGCTGTGATGAAGCTGCAAAATTGAACTTAACGTTACCAGCCGAAATTCTTTAGCAATTGCTTCGATTCTATTCAGCTCAAGGTGACCTTTGAAGTTTTTGTGGTCATCAGCTGTTTAGGCGCTGAAAAACAGCCCCCCAACAACAACGCAACAACGAAGCTTGTAAACAAAAAACAGCTGCTTGTTTTTATTTACACTTAATCTGTATGTCTGTAGCTAATTACGCTGTTTTTAAAAACATCGATATGTTTTTACTAAGTTACTTGTTGACTTAATGATTTCACATGACACGCTTAATTGAAAAACCAACGGCACATTTAATTATAAATTATTTAATTGAGAACAATTTGGTCAATTAAAGAGTCGATAATCTGCTGTGGTGGGATTGGCGTTATCGATATATCAACAGGTTTCTCTGGCAGCACCTGGCACATCCACCCAGCATACCAAGGATGGACCAAATTCTATTCTGTAACATTTAAATAAGAACTTAAAGTGCAATCCCTACAATTTTTTATCAGATGAATAACATAATATATTTTAAAGTTTACCTCAAATCACGTGTTTAATAAGTATAAAATGCAACAGTTTGGGGAAAACCCTTGATACGTTCTGTAACTATCGGTACTTTAAACTGACATCTCTAACGCTTCATTTTTAACTGAGTGGGAAAAATTCAAAGGTGTCCGATTTCATTAATGAAAAAGTAAATACCAAAGTAGTTCTAAAAACAATGGATCCGATGGAAGTGATGGATCTACCTATAAAGGAAGAAATCAAAGTCGAGGAAGATGCCATCAACGAGGATGACGCCACTCCTCTAAGGGAAAGTACTGGCGAGTCTCCGCCTCATGCGTTTATGCCCGCGTTTCGGATGTCCGGATCCGGCTGGGATAGTGATCCAGAGGACAATGGCCAACGCTCTACGCCTCCCACTCCGGGTTCCCATTTGAAGGATAATCTGGAGGCCGTCGAACCGAAGGGAAAGATAAAGGAAGAGGATGAACCAGTTGAACACATGTTAGATGGGCTGCTTGAGGAAGAACTCTTCGAGCGTCCTGTGATTGCCGATGTTAAGCCGAATGTGAAATTGGAGGTAGTTGATCAGGGCAGACCTAATCGCGATGGACTTCCCAGCGATTTTACATCCCGAGATAGCATGAACGACATGGATTTGTGCAGTCTTGAAGCCACCAAGGAGCTGAAACTAAACGGACCCCAAACACGTATGGATTGTGATAAGCCTGAAGAAGAGCTGGAGTCAACTGACTCCTTCGATGATCTTGAACGTCATAAAATGGAGCTCCTAAAGAAGTTGGCAGAGGCTGATGGCAAGGAAAATGACAGGGAAAAGAAGAAGAAAAAGAAGCACAAGAAGGATCGTTCCCATCGCTCAAAGCGGAGGCGTAGTGACAGCTCACAGGATGAGACTCCAAAAGATAAAAGGCGTGTCGATCGTGACAGCTCACAGGATGAGACTCCAGAAGAAAAAAGACGTGTCGATCGGGACCATCGTGGTCGCAGGCACCGCGTGAAGACCGAAATTCCCGATGAAGAATTGGACTATGTGCCAGTGCGAGCCGATGAGAAGCCATTCCTAACTATTAACCCCTCCAAACTCTACGAGCGTCCACGGCCGAAACCTGAACCAAGTGCAGCGAATCTGTCCAAGGCTGATAAACGAAATCTTGGCGTGGCAAGGGCTGAACTGGTGCTTGAACTGTTCCAGAAGAAGGCGAACAAGGAGGAGGAGGTAGAGTGCCACATGGTGGACACCGTATGCAAGCTGTCCGTTAGCAAAAACTTCAGGGACCAGGGATGCTTCGAGAATCCCTCGCCCATTTGCAACAACATGAATGTGATCTACGAGTTCAATTCCACTCCTGGCACCAAGATCGATTTGGCACGGTGGGGCCTGGAAGTGGTGCCGCAGGCCACTAGGGAGCTGCTCTGCCTGCTGGGCATCGATGTGGCCCGCCTAAAGGAGATCCAGAGCTCAACCAAGCCATCGCACCGTATACTGAAGCTGAAGATGGAGCAAATGGAGCAGGGTCTGGCGCCTGTGGAAGAAGTATCGGGCACGCTATACAAGAATGCAGGAACACAGACGGAACGCAGAACCGCTTCGCATGATGCGGGCACCCAGGTCCGCATGGATAACAAACTTAAGGGAGCCTTCTGGCAGGATCCGGACTTTAACCAAATAAATTTGACCCATCAGCAATTGAACGTGATGTTTGCCCTTCAAGAGCTAAGCAGGAAGGTACCCAACTCTACCATTGCCATCAATCTCTACAAGGCACTCGAACCTGTTCTGGCCATTAAACGAGCGGCCTCGCGTCACTAACAGCGTTTTTGGAAAACAAGAAACTATGCCAAATACCTATGCCAAAAAACGAATTTCTTAGAATATTAAAATAGATGTTAATTACTTGTATTGCCTCAAGTGCCTAAACCTATTTCAAATATGTTGTATTTCTCAACTAAACAAATATATACTTGTATTTGTGAACCTCTCACTCGAAAGCAAAGCAGTTGAAAAATGACTGCAATAATCAAGTTAACATTTGTAAATCATCTCGCTCAATGTATTTTTCATTTCTTTGTACAATTAATAAATATTCATATGCACATGCATCATACATTTTTAACAAGTAGTGTCGTAAGTACCTTTGCAAACAAAGTGTCTTTTCCTAGCGTACCAAGTATACGATTATATCATTGTGTAACCCAAAAGTCCGAGTTAACACAAAGTCCTCTAGCTATTGGCTAATTGCACTAAACCTAATTTGTAATTAAGCGTAGCTGGCACTAAATGGCCATTCTCGTTGGCTCATATCACCTAGTAGAGAAGATTGTATCATTTGCGCACTGTAAACACGAACGGGGCGGCCTCCTCCTCCTCCTGCTGTTCCAGCAAAGTGGTTCTAATCGTGGTCCGGTGCTCCTGTGCCTCCACATCATCGTAGTCCACGGAGGATGAGCGCAGCAGCTGGAACTGTGAGTTGGAATCGTTTCTGGTGATGATCAGCGATGCGGGACGTGGTCCTGTAAAGGATAGGGAGTGTATTAGGTATGGTTTTAAATTAGAATTCAGTAAACATCACCTGGTGGCGGCTTTGTTGTCAAGCGCTTGCTGGCTCCTTGGGCTTCTGACTGTCGCTCGGAAACATATTCGACATTTGGTGTTAGCTTCGTGCTCGTCGCATTGTTGTTATTATTGGTCGCCGTCTGTTGGATCGATACCCGCTTGTCGGCCTTGACGCTTCCCTGCTGCTTCAAAATGGAGTCCCGACCCGCAGGCGGCTGCATCGGGCCGGAAGAAGTACCAAGCAATGGCGCCGTCATTGCGGCTCCGGCACTCGGTGTGTCGAGCTCTAAAAATCATACGGATGATTAAGATTTAGTTAGGGATCTGGGGCGAAAACCAGCTGTCCCAGAAAGATTATATCTAGTAACCAGGTGAATTAAAGCAACTATTGAATTCAGAACAGAGGTTAAAGGCAGAACATAAACACATTTATAGAGAAAGCTGAATAAAATGCAAGAGGCAACGAGTTGTTCATAAGATTTATCATTTATTTGATACTTCATCTCACGCTAGGAATAGACATAGGGTTTAGTTTGGGGGTACGATTAGAATACCATTCGGTTAGTTGTTTATGTTTCGTGGGCGTTTCACAATTTTAAATGTAACGTGTGTGTTGTGTGTGGGTGTGTGTGTGCTTGTGTGTGGCAAATAATTAATAACTAATCTTCGGCATATAACAGTTGGAATGATTTAGTAGTCGCAAAACTCAAGTATTAGTAACTGTAGATAATACTGACCGGATCAAAGCCAAGCCAAAGCAAGAGTAAAACAAATAATGCGTAAAAATAGGTTTCGGATGATATGCTATTTGGTTTTGGTTTTGGTTTTGGTTTTGGTCTGGTATCGTTTGACTCAGACATTGGTCCAGCTTTCAGTTTGTCAGACTTTAAAAGTTAAGTACGACTCATTCCCATGCAGCTTAATTGGTTGTGGGCATGGGTGCATCCTCTCACAGCTTGGTGTCGTCGTAGGCCTGTTCGCCGGAGGCATTGGGAATGACCACCACCATGGGCAGGGAGCTGGACTCGTTCAGCAGCTCGCTGCTTATCGAGATCTGGCGCGACGCCCGATGATAACCACCACCAAACACCGAGTCAACATGCATTAGATCGAGAGTGCTACCGCTAAGATCGTTACCATTGCCCAGGTGGAGTCCACCGCCACCCGAACCAGAACCACCAGAACCACCATGCCCACTCGGAGCACCCACCAGAGTGCTGAGACTCTGCAGGGAGTGCGAGCTGACGCTCCGATTGTACTCCGCATGCAAGTACTGGTTGTTGTTGTTGATGAGGTGGCCTATCTTCACCCCGAACTGCTTCTGATCGTCTGACGGCGATCCGAACTCGGAGGACTCGCGGATGGGTGCTAATTGCAGTTGTGCGGCTGCCGCCAACATCTCACCTGTGGGACTCGGTCGCTCGCTGCTGGCCACATCCTCGTAGGCCTCCTCGTTCAGAGTCTGCAACGTGCCGCAAATCATCTGCTCCTCCAGCGTGACCTAGCAATAAAGAAAGATTATTAGTTGAAGGGTCACATGGCGTATGCTTAATCTGGTATGGGGTTGCACAAATGTGGGCTTAGAATTTTGGGTTTCAGTCTGTGTCTTTTAGTGTCTCAGCTTTACCTGCAAGTACTCGTAGTCATGCACTTTTGACTGCATTTCGTTTCGGTTTGTTTAAAATGGTCGGAATAAGAATAGATCAAAGCACATGAGTTAGAGCGAATCGGTCTTATAAAGATGCTCCTGCCCGATCCTAGGGTTCCCAACCGCATGAGGTCTCATCTTACCTGTTTCTCCATATGACTAACGGAGTTCTTGCGCGACAAGGACTCTCTGGGCGGCTGCATTAGGGCATCAGTCACATCCTTGATCATGGGGACATTCGATGGCGCCTCCAGAGCGGCGGGCTGCTGCTGCTGACGCGGCTGCTTTCTGGGCAAACGCTCGCATTCCCTCAGTGTGGTGATCAGCAGGCGGAACAGCTCCCAGTGGCCAAAGCTCAGGCCCAGAACCTGTTAATCGAGTAATATTTAGTTGACTGGGAATATGTATTATAGACAGAACCCTCTACCGATTTCAGATCCGGCATATCACAGTGCTTCAGCACACGACCATTAATGGCATTCTCTCGGAGTACGGGCGCCAATTTGGCCAACGCGGGCTTTATGTCATCAATCCTCTCCAGCAGGCTGATGACTCCCTCCACGGTTAAATCAGTCAGCTTGGTTTGCAGGATGTCATCCTGTTATAAAAGTAATTATAAGCTTTATAATCAAGTGCTCTTTAAGTTAAAGAATATGAAACCTACACCAAACGAATCACTCGGTGAGTTTATCAGTGGCGTCACAGGCTCTGTGCTCGAACTGAGATTTCTGGAGCGTAACTCATTGCTAGGATACTCCGGGTTCTGGAACATTTGATAGGGTGGATAGGCCTGGGGCGAAGGCACATAGGTGGTAGGCGCTGGGAATTGACGCATGGTATTGGAAACGCTGGGTCTCGTTTGTATCACTAGGGAACCCTCGTCCTCGATGATTTGCTGATCCTCTGTTAAATAAATTATAATTAGTTGAAACGTTAGCTTAAGGTTTTCTGTAAGCCTACCCTTTAACACCTTTCTCAGATAAGGATCCAGATTAATGGTGAAGGGTAAAAAGATGCGGAGATCCGCCACGAGCAAATCGGATTTGTGCAGTTGCAGGAAGGCGTCCAGTTTTCGTTCATCGCGATCCAACTCCAATAGAGGAGCAGCCTCTCGCAAATAAGCCAGTTTTGGACGCAATCTAAAAGCAGAAATATAATATTAGATTCCTTCAAGATTAAATCGAGCTTTAAACTCACTTCTCGTAAACGCTTTGTAGGGAAACACTTTCATCCGCGTTGCCATCCATGAACTGATCGTGGTGCAGCACTATCATACTGGCCCGCAAAGGCCACTGTTCCGTGAGATTGATCCAGGAACTCAGGCGGTACCAGCTGAAGTCAATCTGGAAGGCCTTCAGCAGGCGCACGGTAATGTAGATCACGTTCATCAGGCGTCGCATACTTCGCGGATTCACATCGCTGAAATAGTCATCCGTGAGCACGATCCGCGACAGATCGAGTACGGTCTGCGGATTCTGGCCCAGTCGATGGAGATTGGAGCCCGTGGAACTGGCAACGGATTCGGATAGACGCAGCTTCTTGCCACCACCACCACGGGCGGGTCCGCGCAGCTTCTCCTGACTGGAGATGATCTCTGAGGCATTTGACAGACGACGAGCGGATACGGAGTGACCCAACGTGGGTCCATCATCTGTCTGGTAATCTCCTCCTCCACTTCGCTTGAATAGCAATGCTGTCATCTGCGCTCGCTGCACCTTTCGTAGTCCGGAGTTTTGCAGATAAACTGGGAGATGCACCAGGTTCCTCAGGAAGTCATGTCCTCCGATTCCACCCTCCGTAAACAGACGTCGACTGTTGGCCTCCGCAGCTTTGGCGATGACATGGGGATCCACCGAAATGAGCAGCACAAATGGTCGGTTGGGTGAAGAAAGAAGGGTTTGCACAGCATTCAGAAGAGTGAGGATCCTCTCCGTGTCGCAGGAGTCCAAGGCATCGATCACACCCACCAAACGACTCTGCTGATTAGTGAAGGCATCCAAACACTTGACCATGTCCGTCATCACGGCCACTTCGGCACCCAACATGGTCAAAGGAGCCGATTCACTGGAGCGAACCGCCCTTTTCAGCAACCGGATGTGGGAGGTAAACAAGGATACAAACACCTTGGCCAGGACATGAAGATGGGTGCAGATGAGTGTGCCCATCACGGCGGCAATCACATAGAGTGATACGAGTATCTGCTCCTTCTGCTTCTCGCTGGCAAACGTGAAGTAGGCAACGGTCAGTGAGATGCCAGTGACCAGGGTGACGAGTGCCAGTTCGAAGACCAACACGATGGGAATGCAGCACATGCGACGCCACCGCCAGCCCACATCCACCTTCAAGCACTTGGGCCGAAAGGCTCGATACAATCTGGTGGCCAGCCATCCGTAGTGAGATTCGATGGCAACGAGAAGGGCGGCCAACATATGGGCCACTGCTCCGTCGCCTGTTGGTGATGCACTGTTCGCCTCCGCAAAGTGAAACCGCACGGGTTTCGCCTGTGAATCCGACTGTGGTCCTGGGGGATGGCAAAAGGCCACCTGCAGGATTAGACGCAATCTAGTTATCCTCTTCTCCAGGCCATGCTGCACGGAGTAGGCCCACTGCATGTCCATCTGGTAGTTGCAGTACCTCACAGCCGCCAAGAGCAAGTAAGCGAGCAGCATAAAGCCCACGGCTGCGGACACGCCCACCACCGCTGACCAGGTGCTCAAACCCACAATCGTTCCAATGAGCAATGCCAAGTGCAGGCAAACGATGAAAAGCAATCCACTGGTTCGAATCGGTGGTTCCGCCCATTGGCGGGCGAAGTTGTTCATCTCGTCGCGCAGCTTGTTCAGCAGGAAGCTCTTTCCACTGCCCCACTTGGCATACAGTCCGACAGTAATTGGTGTGGTTAACGTCGGCTCACTGAGCACATCCGCCAGGGCGGAGGAATACAGTTCGTAGCCCAGCATTCCCTCGGAATCCTCGTTGGTATTCAGCCGCCGGGCGCCAAACACCTGGCCCAAAATGGTCTTCTGGTGCAGGGAGTCAATGTTGTATGGCGTCTCGCCCGCTTTGTTGGCCCGGTAGAGCAGCTGACTGTGCTTGGGATTCCGCAGGAGGGCCTCCACAATTGCCTTGCTCCTCGCTCGCATCGCAATGTGCAGGCAGGTGTCGCCTCTTTTGTCGCTGGCAGTCACCTTGGCCTTCCGATCCAGCAGCAGGTGGACAATCTCCAGATTACGATTTCTCACGGCTCGCAGCAGGGGAGTATCGCCATCCTTGGTGCCGGATTCCAGGTCGGGATTCGTGGCCAGCAGCAGCTTAACGATCGGCGTGTGTCCCTTCTCCACCGCGGTGTAAATGGCCGTCTTGCGATCCTTTCCCTGTATGTCCACATCGGCGTGTTTCTTGAGCAGCGCCTCCACTACAGTTCGATGGCCTGCCTTCACGGCATGGATGAGGGGTGTATCCGCACCACGATCCTGGATGTTGATGTACGCACCGGCTGCTATAAGGGAGGCGGCGATGTCCTGGAAACCCTCTCGACTCGCTATGCAAAGCGCCGTCATTCCATCCTTGTCCAAGGCATTCACATTCGGTTTCTTTTCGAGGATGGAACTAACGCAATCCGTGTGACCACCGGCAGCTGCAACCAGCAGTGGTGTCCACGAATACATGCCCGCGGTGTCCACATTGGCTCCAGCCTTCAGTAAAGTGTCCACAATCTCCACATTGCCTCGCCTGCAGGCCCAAACCAGCGCAGTGGTTCCGTACTTATCGCCCACATTTACTTTGGCCCCGCGTTGCACGAGAAGCTCCACAATGTCCTTGTAGCCACGCCCCGCCGCCCACAATAGGGCACCCAGGTGGTAGTTACCATGAGCATTGCCATCGGCTCCTTTGTCCAGCAGAAGGCGCACCAACTCTGTGTGTCCGCGGTAGGCTGCCCACATTAAACTGGTCCAGCCACCCTGGAAAATATATTTGTGTTAACTCTAAAATATAGAATTCTTTGAAGGCAGGGACTCACCATATCACGATGCTCCACCTCGGCACCATGGTCTAGCAGCAGTTGAACCACGTCAAAGTGTCCGTTTCGGGAGGCACACAGAAGTGCAGTCCAGTTATCCAAATCCTCCGCCTGAACATCGGCACCACGGGCCAGGAATTCACGGACAAAGGCAGTAAGACCTCTCCCAGCAACAACCATCAACACTGTGGTGGCATTCTAAAGAAAATTTGAATATGGTGTTATTGTTTGAAAAGTTATAGATTTATTCTTAGAACCCACCTCATCCCGATCATCGATGGTGAGATGTCGGCTATCCAGAATAGCGCGCAGTCCGGAAATATCATTATTATCGATGTACTGCAGCAAGGCGCGATGTCCGAGCGAACCCATGGAGTCTCCGTAGCGATTTATGTTCTGCACAAAAGAACTTGAATTAGTCGGTTTCCCCAACCTCGGGTAATTGAATATCAATTAAAAATGTAACCGAACTCATGCAAATAAAAACTGTTGATTTTAGCAAAAACTTGTACCAGTTATTCGTGTTAAAAAGCCATTAAAAGACAGAAACTACAACTCTTATTTAAAAATGTTGTAACATTCGGTTGGGGGAATACATCGATTAGAGACCTCCGATGCCGCCAGAGGTCAGAGGTCAGAGTTGAACATTTCGCATGCCATACCGAATAAAGCCAAAGAACCACAACACTGGGCAGTAACTACTCTTAAACATACAAACAATGTTTATCTTAGTGCTAAATAATGGTGTACTGTTAAAATATCCATAGGTCCATGATTGAGTCAGCGAACTTCAGTGCCAATAAACTAATTATGTGGGTTATAAAAAGCCATCACCACCAATTGTCGATGGGTAATTGTGAAATCAACAGTTCTCCAAGAAATCAGTATACAAAGGAAGTTTATAAGCGATATCTATGGTAATGTTCTAAAAATATCGAAGGGTAGTTCCCGAAAAAAACACATCATAGTATTTGACACGCGAAAAATCGTGATATCTTCTAAACGACTACCCAGAGAACTCTGATCTCGTGCAAAAAGATGTTCATATACTTGGGTAATCGCACATCTTAACGATAACGTCACAGATTGCCTTATTTGTTATTTGAACAATTGCCAACCACCATCCCTCACGCATTGCAGTGGCTTGGCTTTAATTTATTTGTTTATTCTAATTAACATTAATAAACCTTCAGTCTTTATGGAGGGTGGTGAAACGTTCAATTTGATCAATAGAGCATCTACAGGTTTTCTATTGGCTGGGCGCTAACTCGGTCTCGTTGTATTCAGATTTAGATTATATCGCCTTCGCCATGGGTTTGGGTTTCATTCGAAGGTGTTAAAATGCACTCGGGCTTAACGAAGGGAAGTAAAACGGCAAAGTAAACACAAAATGGTAAACAAAGTTACCGCTGAGCTGAATCTACTTATGTTAGATCTAATTGCTGCTTTTTAAGCACCCTAGAACGAATCAAATAATTGCGTATCAGTAAGGAGATGTCTGGCCGAAAAGAATAGATAGAAATTAGATTAGTCAGATAGCTCCGATTTACGACTGCAAGTGTGCGGCCTGAGTAAATTATATTAGTCTCGACTATGTTTTATTAATATTTTTTATCTCTGAACCTTCGTTTAGGCAGTGGTATTTCCTTTCTTATAGAAAAGAGATTTCAATGTGTGTATGACTAATTTGTATCTCTGGCTAGTTTTTAAAGATTGGTATTTCCTTTCTAATAGGTAGAATCATATAATAATGCTTTACAAAGTATGTTTTTTTTTATCAATTTATCTATCAATAACTAATAACCCTGACTGATTTAATCAATGGGTGTTATTTACACTCGAATACTTTACATTTTTCCCCTTTTTCTTCGCCGGAGATCGCAAGTTATTCAGACTCAACCGGGAGGCACTCAGAATCAATTCATCGAAGCTCTTTGAAAGTTTCATTTTGTCAGCTGATTCTCGTTGAGCAGTCTCCAGTTTAGATTCTTTTTATTTTGATAAATTGCACTTGATTTGATGATATCGCTTTATGTTGCTTTCGTGGTCTTTTGTACGTGCGTCAAGCTGATAAAACGCAATGTAAACATGAAAATTCTTCGCCTCATTGGTCCGCCGAAAGATCACTAGTTACACTCTCACTGAATGGCACTTTAATTAGGTGCCAGTATGTGCATAATATTTCTTCATGTATTTATTATGCGTTTTTTTTTTTTTTCGCTGATATATTGTTTTTCCACACTGCCAACTAATTGACAAATTAATTCCTGTGGGTATTTATATTCTTGCTGCTTGGCCAGTGCAACCTGCCGCTTGAGTAGCTCGTCGACTTCTGACGACGGTCGGTTTATCAAGCGTTTTGTTACCGCTGCCGCTTCAACGGACAGTGAGAAATTAAGTTTACACGCAACCCGAAGTGAGCATCGCTTTTCTGGCCGATTACAGTCGGCGTCGGTGGGTGGTTAAGATACCGCTTTTGGTGATTTCGTGCCGCAAATATAGTAATTGGCCGAAAAAAAACACAGACAGCCGCCACTCGAAACGTGTTTGGCGATTTTGGAGCTATAGCTTTTTGCTGCTCCTGCTGCCACGAGCGTTGCACAAAGACTGATTGACCGACCAGGTTTTGTGGTCACATCGAGTCTGGTTGTTTTTGCACCGCCTTGCGTAAAGAGTTTCACTTGAATTTACGCTTAGAAGAAGGCCGACTGTAATGAAATTAATTCTGCTGACTTCATTGATTCCATTAGGTTATTGGAACGGCGTGTCCTTTGACCACAGTTGATTTGTCGTGCAATTATTTAATTTAAACACGCTAATTACTCGGTACACCCGGTGTAGAGTGCAGGTTACTTGATAGTTATGGCACACTTTGCCGATTAGCTTATACAGAAGTACGAGTTCTAGGAGTACCAACGACACTGACTGAAGGCGATCGATAATATGAAGACGTTAAATGACCGATTGCCAATTTGTGTGTTTGTTTTCCAAGTTGTCTCGAGTACTTCGAAATGATTTGTACGTCACTTGAACTCGAGTTCGCTTAATGGGTTCTCAGCGTCGAGAGCTCTGGTAATGGGTTAAGTTTCGCTGCGTCAGTGGAATCACAATCCAGAAGATCATCAGCCAAGAGCTCTCACAGCATCTGTTAACTTAATAGTTGATAGGTAACAAAACTGCATACACGTGTAAATCTTATTTATAAAGATAGGTATAAAGGTGTTTTAAAGCCCTTAAAATCTTAATTGATGATGCTGGTTATTCGATAAAGTCGATAAAGTCGTTAAACTAGAAATTCATTATAGTGCTGTGTTCTTGAATGCATCTGCAATTTGGTTTCCAACTATTTACTATATAGCTATAACTTATAGACATATATTGCTTTAATTATTATTTATTTACTGTCGTACTGGTTGGTCTCTCTACAAGACTAGTATAACTAGAAAATAACTAAGAGTGTGTCATTGGATTCATAGTTTCCATTTTGATGTGAGGTGCTAACACTGGGCTACACTTTGCTGCCCGCGACTGTCTACTTAAGCACTGTTCTTTTGGGTGTGCGAGCAGAGTAAAAGAGTGAAAGAAAGACCATTCTTGGGGCATTAGTGGCACAGAGAGAAGCAGTTAACCAAAGTCAGAAAGGAAGAAGCGACTGCAACTATAGAAGGTTTATTTTTAGATCCAGTGCACGAGACCCATACAGGTTTTTTGTTTTTTTTTTTTTTTGTTGCGATGAGAGTTACATACTCCCGATTGTGTGCGTTTGAGTGTTCGTGTTCGTGATTGCGGGTATCTGTGTATATATGAACATTTATGGGGTTAGGCCAATCTCGGGGGTTAGGATCCAAAAAGCGGAGCAGAGCAACAAGGTTACAACACCAACTTGGCCAGGATAATAGGCATTTACGTGGGCATGGATGTGGGAGAAGCGACGCAGGGCCAAATTGAAGTGACTGAAACGGCGGGAAGGACTTTGGTTCGCGTGCTCCTCGTGTTCCTGGCTGGCGATCTCCTTGCCCTCCGCCGCCGCCACCGCCGCGTCCGTCTCCTCCTCGATGTCGATCACGAATCGGGGCAGTGAGCTGTGGGGTTTCCTCTCGGTGCCGTAGCTCCGATGCGGCTGGCGGGGATTCCTGTGGTTGACCGCGCTTATCACCCGCTCCTCGATCTCCAGCAGCGGTTGGTGCAGGGACTGGAGGTCGTGGTGGTGCAGATTGCTGACCAGTGCTCCGATGGTCGAATGGCCGGCGGTTCTGGTGGGTGAACTGGGTGAGGCTGAAGTGACTGGTGGAGTGGTGGCTGTGGCCTCTGAGACTTCAGTTTCCTCGGCGATCGTCGCCTCTTTCTTTTGCGGCTTACGTGAGTGGCCATCTTTCGGCATGACTGGAGATCTGGGCTATTCTATACAGTACGATGATTTTCGGGTGACAATTGCGAGATGCCTTAGTGCTCTCGTTTATCTAGGACGTGGCTTAGTTAGTATATTATTATTTACGTGACTTAAATTGCTAAAAAAGCTCTGCGCTGTGCGGCAGTTTTGCTTTATGGAACTGTTAATGCCTTTATGACTGACATGTCTTGGTCTAATTAAGGCTGACTGAATGGAATAGCAATGAACGCCATTCCCTAAATGAACCACAATTGACTGATGACTGATGCAATTTCATTGGGGTGGACCTGAGGTAGCCTGTCGATCAAACTGGCTTTCGGGGGGATTCCCTTTGAGGAGCAGGGTGGACAGGCTGATAACACACACCTAATACTCGCGAATTGACAACAGTTGGATAACAGCAAGTGTTTTCTATCACATGATATCTGTAGCTAGTTTCGCTGATAGGAAGGGAGCGCATCTCGACTATAAAGTTCTTACTTGCACACAAATTTATCACGGTTTTAAGGGCAACACACCTCACTCCCACCCGGATTCGTCTTTAGGCGGGACTTGAACATTTTCGCCAAACTCTCGCCGCTTAGTTCCGTCTTGAAGGCCGCCTTTCAATCGATGGAAGAAATATAGTGTTCGAGTATATGTATTTGAAATTCGATTTGGGAACCGCAGAACGAACGTCGGGCATCGACCGCCGCCAGTAAACTGTCCGCACTTTGCATGGAAGCATCATATAAATGCCTTGGCGACGGGCACCAAACGATCCGCTCTCTATTTAGTTTTCATTAATTGGGCAAACAGCCAGCCTGATAGCCAGATAACTCGGATAAGCATTGGATACTGGCCCGTATATAACCGCTTCCTTATAAACAAAAGACAACACACAATGATTATCGTGTTAATTACCTTTTCTTTATTTCCCCCAAAGTCAAATAGAAGTTGGATTCACACCGGAAAGGGATGAGAGAATTTTCGGAAAAATGTAGGCAGTAATGGGTATGTCTAAAGCATAATAATAAATAATAGATTTTCAAAGTAACATTGGATTATTTAATTTGTGTAGGTGTTAACCCAACAAAACCCTTTTTCCTTTACATTTTATCACTAACATTTTATTGCATCTGGGCTTAAAGAATTAATGAAAACGCAGCATACTTTTGGGATTGAGCAGTAAACTTATTGTAGAATTCTTTCAGAAGAAAGTAATATTGATTTCTACATATACATGAAGATATATTTCTATATACAAGGGTGTGTGCGATTCGAGGCGCCGCGACTAATTGAGACGATAAAACAAACAGTTGGAAAGCCGTTTGCCTTATCGGTTGAACAATCTGCTTTTGCAAACGTATGGAGCAGTATCCGATAAGTATTCGCCATTATACGTAACATATGCCCACTAAGCTCTACTTCTGACCCGGATCACCCACCTGGCTGGGATTGCCACCCCGACCGAAGGAGCCGCGAAGCAGTCCGAAGGGGAAGATGCTGCCGTAGCCACCCTGATCGACCCGCCGATCCTGTCCAGCAGCGCTCGTCGTTGGGGAATCCTGCAGAGGATCCGGATTCAGGGGCGACATTTCCGAGTAGGCCCGGCCCACAAGTTGAAGTTTGGGTGTGCGCCGCATTTTTATCACGATTACAACCGGTAAATTATGAGGTAATTTCAAAACACCTTTATCTTTTATCAGTTTTACAGCGCAAATATTTGTTTCCCCTTTTGGGGCTCACACAAAACTGGGCATTTCGGATCGAAAACAGTGAACTATACGCCAAGGCAGCGATTGACATATAAAGTACTATATACTATATTATTGTCTAGGCAAATTGGCAAAAATCGAGATTGCAATCTATTTGAAATATATTAAAATATACACCGATTAGAGGAGCGCACGCGGCGCGCTCTGCTGGAAAACTAAATGGAATTGGAAGCGGAACCGCTGGCGCAGAAAGAGAGTAAACGCTCGTCAATCGCTCTCCTTTGTTTTACTTTTTTTTTGTTTTTTTGTTTTTTGATAAAATGAGAAACTGTTAGCCCAAAAATAACGGTGTTTATCAAACTAGGCGTGTGTGCTCAGACACACACGTGATACGCGAATGTGGGTGATGTCGCAAAGAAAACAAAAGCGAAAAATTAGCCACCGAACCGATTAATACCCTTGATTAAATAATGGGAATGGCGAGGTTTTTCTTTAAATCACTATTCATGGTAAAAGAGTTCTTTGTTGTACTCAGGGTTTAAACAATTAGATATACATTTATAAAAAGCATATACAAAATTGCTAAACGGTGTAATAATATTTACGAAAACTGCAGGTAATCGAATTTATCCTTTTTATGTTATTTTATATTTTTAATAGCCCAGTAATAAACAAAATTGTGTGGATATAAAGACATTAAACGAATAAAACTATTAATAGGTTCAATTAAAAAATAAACCCGCAAATATTGTGACTGGCTCTTAGACTCACGCATTTCAGCTCCATCAAAAGAGATTAAAGGGTAATCTAATCAAACAATTGATTGCTCATTTTGGAGTATTTATCAGGGTTATAAAATATTGTAAATTATTATTTTCGATTCTAATCATTTTACTTTTTTACGACAAATAAGAAACACTAAAATACAATGAGTAATACATAGGCTTATTTATATGGTGAGTTATAATAATGAAGAATAATCATTATTCAGGGAGTACCCAGATTAGGGCTTTTATTTATCCACTTGTGACTCGTTTTTCACTGTGTCCAATAAACCATATTTGTTTATATTGGACACTCACTCACTTGGGAATTCGAGATGCGTCTGTTGCCATTTGACGAGTTGGCAAAATGCGATTCCATGAAATGTGAAATGGAATAAACCGGAACACTTTCAGTCATATTCACGACTTTTCACTAAATTTATGCGTCTTTGCGTCAAGTGTCGGCACGATGCGAAAACAAACTGAGACACTTCGCTTGAGGAAATCAGGTGCGATCAATGATTGCCAAATGTCTGATTTATCTCTCAAATTAGCGTACGTTTGTGAGGCGGCTGAATTAAAGAAGATCTCAAGTACCTTTGCAGATTTAGACTCCATCGCTTGACAAGATCGTTGTGGAAAAATATCAAAATCAATACACGTTCAGTTCAAATTAGCACATTAAATTTGACGAGCGTTCAGTAATTGACGATGATGTATTGAAATTGTATATCTTGATCACTTTTAAGCTACCTCGACACTTTGAGGATATACAAATGTGGAGTGCACGATAACGGGAAAGATAAAGAGTGCCTTACTTTCGAGTATGCAAGGTATTATGACAGATTACGGACAAAAAATCAAAGAAAAAACCTATAGCTGATAGCGCTCCCTTCAAAAGTAAACAAATAACTAAATTAAGCCGATGACGATTTCTAAATGAAAGCGAAAATTCGGAGGGGGGTCAGAATATTATTATTTTAAAAATAAATACGGTTGTAAGTGTATATGTTGCAAGTTCTAGGTCTCTATATTTATTTATGTAAACTACTTATACGTTGGTGTGTGGGGAACTCAAGAGCGAAATACAATGGAGAATACATTATCTATCTTATTAGCACATTTTGAGGCTACTAATGGGCCACTACTATACTGTACTATATAATTATCAGACTCGGTCGTGTGTCTACAAACAAAAGTAAGCGCATAACTATGAGACCGCGGAATCATTGGATCTGGCCAGAACTGGATAAGCTCACCTGCTAAGTCGATCAAGGGCATATATATCTGCGTATCCGGATTTTCGGGGATTTTCTCGGGATCTGGATCTGGGATCTCAAAGCGGAATGAAAACAAACGACAGCTGAGCAGCATTCATTAACAGCTGAGCGCACGTGTATCTGTATCTGAATCCGCGTAGTCGTATCTGTGTGCGTGCGGGTGCCTCTGTGTGTGTATGTGGGTGCCAACTGAAACGTCGATAAAATATTTTTTCTTTAACGGCACAAAGAACTCGTCACTCCAGTGTTTGCCGAGTTAAATAAATATTTTCAGTGCATTCACAAAAACAAAGTGTCACACGAACAAACTAAAGACTTTTTGTTTGAGCAATCAAGGGCACTTTCGCCACAAATTTTTTCGACCGCAATTCACTTATTCAGCATTACACAACCGGCCACAGGAAACTGACGTTATTAGTGCGAACCACTATTGCCATTTAACTATTTTATTTGCTTATTTTATTTTGCGAGCTAAGAGCGAAATTTGCAGCTCCTTCATGTGTCTGTACAGGGTTGCCACGCGGCAAAAACTAATTTGGAAACTGTGTAGCCCTGTTGGCGTTGCCAGACATTCTCCGGGAAAAAATATCCTAAATAAACCTATCGCCAGTTCATGCGCCAAAAGTAGCGACTTCTTAATTAAAAATCTTGATTTAACTGTGGAAATGTCTCCAAGCAAACTTAATCCCCGGGAATCTGGCGCCTTTATTGTTGAGCATGCCAAGAACGTTCGTATTCTACCCGCCGGAATTGAAAAACTAACGCAGGAGATTTTAAAAGCTCTAAAAGAAAAGCGTATTGCCGTAGAAAACTTCTCGCAGCATGAATTGCATCCTAATCCGGATCCAAATCAGGCGGAGGAGTATTCTAAGGCAGCCGATTGGGTTTTTGTGCTGGACACCTTGAACTTTTGCTTCTGGACACCCAGTGAGTAACTAACTATAAAAGGCAGCATCTCTTATCTTTTAAATTAATCCCCCACAGATAACTATACCAAATACAAGGTCGAAGGCTATACCGGCTACTTTGCGTTATGTGCAGCTGTGAAAAGAGCCATTAAAGAAGGTGTGGATGTAATTAATCCAGAATTTTACTCAAAGATCGACCTAAAAACCCTGGAGAACATTTTCCGGTCTGACGATGGGGAGACTGAGATTCCCCTAATCCAAAAGCGTCTGGAATCTCTTCACGATGTGGGAAAAGTTCTAATTGAAAAGTACAATGGACGATTTGAGAATGTAATCAAGGCAGCAGACAAATCTGCAGTGCGTTTGCTCAATCTTATTGTTGAGGAATTTCCTTGCTTTCGGGATGAGGCAGAGTTCGCTGGGAAGCGTGTTTCCATCCTAAAGCGCGCTCAGATCCTTGTAGGCGATGTGTGGTGCTGCTACAGTGCGAAAGGACTTGGCTACTTCGAGGACATCGACAAAATTACTATGTTCGCCGACTACCGCATTCCCCAGGTGCTGGTGCACTTTGGCAGTTTGGAATACAGCAAAGAGTTAATGGATTTCCTGAAGACGGATACCATTTTGGAGAATGGTGATCCCCGAGAGGTTGAGATACGCGGCGCATCTATTTACATCATTGAACAAGTAAGGGATGCCGTGGTGAAAATCCTGCAGGAGCAACACCCCGAAATCTCGCCGGATAATGTTAACTCGGTTGTAATTGACCAATATTTGTGGGACTACCGGCGTCAACACAATGCCGACTTGGAGCACATTCCCTTCCACAAGGTGCTGAGCATCTACTACTAGCCAAGGGTATACAAATAAAGACGCCAGATGAGTTTGTTAAATTGCTTTATCCTTTAATGATCCACAATCGGTAGCAATCTATAGCTTGACGGGCTTGGGCTTGCCCTGCTGGGCAGCGACACGCTCGTTGTATCGCTTCACGGATTCCTCGCGGGAAAGGTTTCCCTTGCGGGCGTAACGCTGGTTGATCAGGAATTTCACATCCATCTGTAGGGGAGATTTAAAATTAATTAATATCTCCTTCGGATTGGAAAAAATAAAATTACTTACACCCAGAGTGGACTCGTGGCGTTTGCGCAGGGGGCGCTTAATGCCATTGCGATGGGCCTTCTTGTTCTGGTTGTGATTTGTGTGGTTCTTGGACTTGGCCATCTTGAACTGATTCGAGTATCCAAAGTTCCGCCATTGATGCACATGAAAACAGAAAATATTCCTAATTAGAAACCGTTGCTAGCTTGTGCTCATTTTTATCTTCAGTGAAACCCAAAATTTGCTGGGTTTCAATTCAAAAGCATTGGTAGTTGTCCACCTACGTTTTTCGCACACTGGAATTCCTAGCTGCAAAAAGATATTTTATAAGTAAATTGTCCAGCAAAAAAAGCGAGCAGCACACTTACGGAAACGCGATGGAAAAGAAGGGAATGCTAGTGTAGCAACCAGTGCGCAAACAAAAGGACCTAAATAATGCCAGCCACGTGAGTTCGCCGTGCTGTTAATGGCGTGCTGTTAAACGCATTTTGTCCCATCACTTCTACTTAAAATTTAAATTATTTTTTGTTTAGTTCCCGCCCCATGTTAAAGGCATGGTAAAGTGATCAAAAACCAATAGAGCACTCTTTATTTAAATGGAACCAGTTTAATGATAGTAAAGTATTTAACAACTTTATTCATGCTTGGGTTTTCGCAAGCTTGTATGTTAAGTAAAAATACTTAATGTTAATAATCCTACAAAAATACAATAGTATTTTTCTTATCGCAAGACTAAAAAGCACTAACGCGTCGTGCGCTTTATGTATTTGTTTTGTTTTCATCGAAAAGTAAACAAATATAAAATAAATAATCCAAACTTGTAGCTTATATTTAAAAGAAACAAGATGCCGCTAACTGCAGAGAGTGCAGCACAACAAATTCAGGTAAAGACCTCCGTGGTATTGGTATGTAATTCAATGATTCATTAACACCGTTGTTTATAGGATCGCCTGAAAGATATTCAACAACATATTCATATTGTGGACGAGGAGCGTCGCCGGGCAGAAAACTCCATTTCCAGCTTGGTGCGATCTCTACATGCCACCAATCAGAAGGTGAAACCCCTGCTCAAAGCCAGTTTGATGGAAGCTGCCCAGGAAGAGGCCACAATTCGTGCTGCCTTGGCCAAGATCCACGAGATTCGTAGCATTCGCAATGAAAGGCGCATTCAAGGTGTGTAAGTTGTATGAAGTTTTTTAAACAGAATTAAAACTACCTTATTCAATAGCTCGCAATGCTGGAAATAAGGAGGCCATTCGACGAGGAGCCCTTATGAAAATGGTGCAATTATCCGCACAAACACTGCCTTTATTCGTGGGCAAACTAGGAGAGCGCGCCCCGGCTTTATGTGGAGCGATTCCCGCCGAAGGAAACTATGTGGCTAAGGTGGATTTAATATCTTAAAAAGTTTATAAGCTTTATAATCTCTAAAACTGTTGTGTAGGTTGGCGACAATGTGGCTGCTTTAGCGAAAGGAATAGACGAGGAGGAGAATTGGATCCTGGCGGAGGTTGTGCAGTTCCTGCATCGCCAAAACAAGTACGACGTGATCGACATAGACGAGGAGCAAAAGGACCGTCATGTGCTAAGCAAGCGAAAAGTCATTCCGCTGCCTTTGATGCGCGCAAATCCCGAAACTGATGGTCATGCTCTGTTTCCAAAAGACACGGTAGTCATGGCACTATATCCACAGACTACTTGCTTTTACAAGGCCATTGTCCACCGTCTCCCACAAACTGCCACCGAGGACTACGAGGTCCTTTTTGAAGATTCATCTTACATGAATGGTTATGCCGAGCCCTTGCCGGTGGCCCAACGGTATGTGATTGCATATCGTCCCACCAAAAAAGGTGCTGGCAGTGGCAGCGGAAATCTCTCATCAGCTTAGAATGCCAAGTAATATTTATATCCATATAATTAAATTTAAAATATAGTTGTGGATAAGCCTTCCCAATAATTAAAACCGTTAGTAAACAATCTTTCAATCTTTGAGGTTCTGCTCCAAGGCTTGTGCTTTCGACTAGTACGCCACAAACTTTTAGTATATTTTGCAGAGACGGTCACACTAATTCCCCGAATTAAGTTAATAAGTTTTAAAGTTTGTAGCAAAACAAAGAAGACCAGAGCAAGTAATAAATATGAGTGAAACGGCGCTAGCGACACAAAATAATGGCACAGTAGAAAATGCAAACTGCTTTGACATTCTGAAAGTTTCTATGCTCTTCGAGACAAGCCTCCTGGATGAGGATGACGTCCAACTGGACGCTTACTTGGCAGCATATGAGGAAATAATGAAGTAAAATCCATGAACTTGGTGAAAAGTAGATATATAGTTTTGTTTAAACCACAGGTTCTTCCAGCTGATGGGCAGTGTCTTCAGTTTTGTCAGCAGCGATGTGCGCAGCAAAATAGACATATTATACGCCCTTAGAGCCAAGGACACGGAAGAGGAGCAGCACTTCGGTAGCTTCAGGACTATGCTGGAGTACGAAAAGGGGGCGGAGTTGCTAAACCAAAAAGGATACGTGTCTGGGAGCCGCACGCTATTACGTCTTCATCGCGGATTGGGTGCGTTTTTATGGGCCGCCAACTGCCACAGTGGCTAACTGATTCATTTTTTTCTTATCTAGACTTTGTCTACGAGTTTCTCAACCGGATACAGGCAATACCAGACGACCAGAAAACCGTGGAAGTGTGCAAGTCGGCCTATGATGACACCCTTGGGAAACATCATGCATTCCTCATTCGTAAAGGAGCTCGCTTGGCCATGTACGCCATGCCCACGCGTGGGGATCTCCTGAAAAAAGTCTGCTCCGATGTGGAAGTGGCCAAGGAGAACTTGCCTACCATGCTGGAGCACATGCGCACAAACTACGATCGCACGGAGCAGCTCTATACGCTCCACGATCTTCACGGCCTGCCTTAGAGTCTACCAAGTATCTGGGGTACTCACGAGATCTGATAAAGTGATTTTTACGTATCGGTAACTCACTTGTTATCCCAAAAATAGCTTAGTCTGATATTATACTTTTATGATATGAACATGTGATTTTTTACCGGATATATAACACTATTTCAGATCTAGTGGTTACCCCGACCTAGTTAATGTAGCTAAATTTGTCTGTGTTGAATGTGTAACTGCTAGTATTAGTTTTCAACAAGCCTAAATGTTTTAATTTTGCATTTCCAATTTCCAGCAATCGCTCATATAGTCGCCTTATCCACAGGCTGTGCAATGTTTCCCAAATCCCCAGTAAATTAACGCCATAAAATATTTAGTCATGAATGAAAAACTGGCCTTATCTGGGTGTATTGAACTTGAACAACTTGGACAAACATAGTTTTTAGTGTCTCTGCCAAAAATAATAGCGTAATAAGCGGTACTGATTAGATAAAAATATTGTGGGGCTACTGCGATGTATCATAACCTCTGGTTATCTTTATTTTGGCCCAAACACAAAGGAGCTAAGCCTCCTTCACATCTCCAGAATCCAGTTAAGATTTATGGCTAGATTCGCGTTAAGGATTTAATTCCAGGGAGTAAATGTCTTTAATGGTAGATTTTGGAATGCAAGACTAATTGGGCTATCGATTGGATCTTAGTCCTTATCACTACGTATCACTATCAGAACGCTTAGAATTGGCAAAAAAGCGTGTTAAGTTGTCCACTTTATCGCCGGTTGGGTTTGTGCTCGTGCCAAGTGCAAAAGCGTTAAAAATGGTGGATCAAACAATCAACCGACGTCAGCCATCCGTCTGGATGGTTAAAAGCGTCTACGCCCGGCGATTTTGGCTCATTTTAAATTTGTCGAGCGGCGCGAACGATTCATATGGAGCCATGGATTCCTCCAAACAAACAAATCCGAAACGCGAGCCTAATCCGTTTGCCAAGGCCAATATTATCTCCAAATGGTTGTTCCTGTGAGTTATTTTTTATGGGTAAAAAGTGAAATTCTTTTTGGAAGCAAAATAATCCGTGGTCATGGTTAATCAGTGAGCAGTTAACAGCTTGCAATAATGTTTGGTGTGCTTATAATCCATATCGAAATCAATTAAAAGGGATTAGTTCAGATATACAAAGTGACTTAGAGGTCGTCCAAGGAATATCTCTAAATCTAATTTCGCCAATTTCACAATTTGAATGACCATTGAGTGTCGGAAAGTCACGTAGTAGTTTTCGGGATCAGTGCCTGTCGTTTTTTAGTCCGCCAAAGCGAAGATCCATTGATAAGATACTGATATACTTATCAATTTTCCTCTTTTAGATGGATGCACAGTGTTTTCCGCAAGGGCAGACGTGAGGAGTTCGACACCAGTAAATTGTACGAACACCTGCCGAGTTTTGATAGTGAGTCCTTGACCAGAAAAGTGCAACCCCATTGGGAAAAGGAATCCAAGAGCAAGAATCCCAGTCTGATGCGAATGATTTTTTCCGTTTACGGATGGCAGTTCGTTCCCATTTGTGTGTTATACTCACTGTTGGAAATGGCTATACAGTAAGTACTTTAATTAACACAATATATTATTTCCGGATCAACAATATATAAAATAATAAATTACATCAAAAGTTAAATTTATTTTAAAAATTAAATTCAAAGCACTCTAACTTTAAGCAGCTGTAATCAGGAACTTATTCATGTTCTATTTAAAGAAAACCTGTTGAATAAACTTCCTGAAATTATAGTGATGCTTATCTTATCGTTTTTGGTGAACTAAAAATACCTCTTCGGCGATCTAAAAATAATTGATAATGTAAATAATTTAATTATTCTTTTCAGCTCCTTTCAACCTTTGCTACTTGGAGGACTGATCTCGTACTTTGCTTATGGACAGACGACTGTGACCAAGGAGAGTGCCTATCTGTATGCCATGGGCATTGTCCTCTGTTCACTGGTCACCTCCTTGGTGTTCCATCCCTTCATGTTTTATCTTTTCGCGGTCGGAACTAGGGTGAGATTGGCCTGTGCCGGTTTGGTTTATCGAAAATGTCTCCGTGCCTCGGCGAGCAGTGGCGAAGGACTTGGAGCCTTGGCCATTTCCGTGATGTCCATCGATCTCTCGCAATTCGATTTGACTTTCTACTTCTTTCACGATTTGTGGAAGGGACCAGTGGAGGCCTGCATCTTTGGCTACCTCATGTACCGCCAGGTGGGCTGGACATCCTTGATCGGGATCGCCTTCATTGTGATCCTGATACCTCTTCAAGCTTGGGCTGCCAAAGCTTCTGCACATTTTGGTTCCCAATCCGCCAAGTATCGCGATGAAAGAGTGAAATTGATGAACGAGATTATCAGTGCCATCCAGGTGATTAAGATGTATGCGTGGGAGAAGTCCTTCGGACGATTGATTGCCGCAGTAAGGAAGTCGGAGGTGAAGGCCATCCGGGGATCCATGAGCATCTATGCCGCTTTGCAGTGCACCAATATGATCTCCAAGATATCGCTGTTCCTCAGCCTGGTGGCCTATGTTTATGGGGGTGATCTTGTGACCGCCAAGAAGGTGTTCATCCTCTCCTCGTACTACGGATTACTCAACGATTCCCTGCTGCACTACTGGCCCATGGCCATTACCACTTGGGCTCAGACTTTGGTGAGTGCCCGTCGAGTGGTGGAGTTCCTGCTGCAAGTGGAGAAGCCTGCAGATGAGTCATGCTGCAGAGATAATCCCGGCTTGGAGTTGGATCTGGAGAAACCGAAACCCGAGCAGAGTGGCCGACTGCATTGCGTGAAGAGTGAGTCCAAGTGCATGAGTTTCCGGAAAGTCAGCGCCAGTTGGGACAAGCCGAGCATAAAGCATCCCAGGAAGGCCCACATCAAGAACATGTCCTTCCACATCAACGCCGATCAATTCGTGGGCATTGTGGGTAATGTGGGCTCCGGAAAGAGCACACTTCTCCATGCCATTCTCGGTGAGATTGAGCTGATGCAGGGGCGAGTGGAGATCCATGGCAGGATTAGCTATGCCGCCCAACAGCCCTGGGTTTTCCAGGGAAGCATCCGGGAGAATATCCTGTTTGTGGAGCAATACGAGGAGCAGCGATACCGAGCAGTTGTCCATGCCTGCCAATTGAATAGAGATCTGGAGCTGCTGCCCCGAGGTGATGCCACTGTGGTTGGTGAACGAGGAATCAGCCTGAGTGGTGGCCAGAAGGCTAGGATTGCTCTGGCAAGAGCTGTCTATCGCCAAGCGGATATCTATCTATTCGATGATCCTCTAGCAGCTGTGGATGCCCAAGTGGGCAAACTTCTGATGGACAAGTGCTTCCATCGACTGCTGGCTGGCAAAATGCGCATCCTGGTCACCCATCACGTCCAGCTGCTCAAGAGTGTAGACCATCTGCTGCTCTTGGAAGGCGGAGTGCTCACCCAGCAGGGAAGCTATGAACAACTGAAGGATGTGATCACCCATCATGCTGCTCTCGATCTGGAGGCCATCGAGGCGGATAAGCAGCAAGTGAAGCGAGTACTCAGCCAAGTGGACAGGACCTCGAAGCAGCTAAGCAAGGGAGAGGATGATGATCCCACCGCTAACCAGGATATGGATGGCAATGCAGAGCAGCAGTTGCAAGGAGCAGTTAGCTATGACACCTACAAGGCGTACTTTAAGGCTCTTGGAGCTCCGTTCCTCGTCTGGTTGGTTCTCTCGATGTTTGTCTTCGCCCGAGGATGCCAGGCCCTCATGGACATCTTCATCTCGCGATGGGCCACTTGGGAGGAGGATCGTGGTTACGATTCGGTGGATGACTTCGAGTCCACTCGTACTAAGATGGTCACCTGGTACACGGTGCTCCTGCTGCTCACTTTGGCCCTCTACCTGCTGCGCACCTTTGGCTTCTTCTTCATGTGCCTGCGCATCTCGTTGACACTCCACGACCAGCTTTACCAGGGGATAATCCGCGCCTGGATGTACTTCTTCAATGCGAATCCCTCGGGAAGAGTGCTCAACCGTTTTTCCAGTGACATACAGAATGTTGATGTGAATCTGCCGCAAGCCATGATGGATTGTCTTCAGGTTTGTATCTTAATCTTATATAGCTTTGAAAATCCAAATTAAATGTTTTAATTTAGTTTGTGGTAGATGTAGTGGCTGTCCTGGTTATCGTGGCCATTGCCAATTATTGGCTTCTAATCCCAGCGGCAATTATGGTATTGCTTCTATACCTTTGCCGAGCCCTTTACATTGGCGTCAGTCGGAGTCTAAAAAGGATTGAGAGTATGAGTAGGTACAAGTCCCTTACAAATATTTAATATCTAATAACATATTTAATCCCTTTCTAACCAGCTCGCAGTCCAATCTATTCGCACACAAACCAAACCTTCCATGGTCATTCCACCATTAGATCCATGGACGCCATGCCGCAGCTGGAGCAGACTTTCCATGGTCTCCAGAACACAAACTCCTCCGCTCTTTTCCTCTACGTGAGCGCCAATCGTGCGTTTTCCTTCTGGACGGATCTGATTTGTGTGCTCTATATCCTGGCCGTAACCTTCAGTTTCCTGGTCATCAAACAGACATTCTACAGTGGAGATGTGGGTCTGGCCATCACTCAGTCCATGACTTTGGTGATTATGTGCCAGTGGGGAATGCGACAGACTGCCGAAATGGAGAACAACATGACCAGTGTGGAACGAGTGCTGGAGTACGCCCAAACACCTTCAGAACCACCGCTTGAGAGTCCGAAGGATATGAATCTTGCCGCTGAATGGCCACAAGCTGGTCACCTTCGTTTCCTGGATCTCCGTATGCGATATGCTCCAGAAGATGAGGATATCCTTAGGGGTCTGAACTTTGAGTCCCAGCCCATGGAAAAGATTGGCATTGTGGGACGCACCGGAGCGGGAAAGTCATCCATTATTCAAGCACTGTTTCGATTGGCTCTCAATGAGGGAACCATCCAGATCGATGGCCTGGATATTGGTCAATTGGGTCTGCATGATCTGCGCAGCAGAATATCAATTATACCCCAGGATCCGGTTTTGTTTTCTGGAACCCTTCGCTTCAATCTGGATCCCTTTGATGAGAAGAGCGACGAGTCGTTGTGGAGTGCCTTGGATGACGTGAAACTAAAGAAACATGTGGCCTCCTTGGAAGGAGGTCTCTCTTCTCACATGCAGGATGGTGGCTCCAATTTCAGCATGGGTCAGCGGCAGTTGGTTTGCCTGGCAAGAGCAATTCTTCGACAGAATCGAGTTCTCGTCATGGATGAAGCAACCGCAAATGTGGATACAGAGTAAGCTCTTAACTAATAACATAAGGAAAGCTTTCTAATAACTTCTTAATTCCTTAGAACCGATATTCTGATCCAGGAAACCATCCATACCAAGTTCGCCGAGTGCACAGTACTTACAATTGCTCACAGATTGCATACAGTAATGGATAACGACAGTGTTCTGGTGATGGACGCTGGCCAGATTGTGGAATACGGAGCACCGCACAAGCTCCTGCAGCGCAAAGATGGAGCCCTTTTAAAGCTGGTCAATCAAAATGATGCTGCCACCGTGAAGTTCCTCAAGAAAATTGCAGCCGAAAGTTACATGCGCCGCAACAAAAGGGATTCATTCACAATAGCAGAGGAAGAACCGAAAAACTGAACAGGAATCTCCTCCAGAAACAGGATCTAACTTAAGCGTTAGAGTTTCAGAAATTGTACTGCCTCTGGGAACAGTCAAATTCGTTTTTATTGGTACGAAAAGTGTACTATAAAGTGTATTTACATAGCAGTAGAATTACGCTAGTACTAATGATAGTTCGGCACTTAAAACGAGGAGACTCTGACACACACGCACACACAAGATTACAAAATATATGTATGTATATATATATGTAGGTAATATATCAAAACTGTAAACTTGATGGATAGCCTAGGATGATGGTAAACATTCCATTTAAAATAACATAAGGTATTGACATGTATGTGGTAAAACTAGGATCAGAAACACTCTGATATGTTCTCGAATGCAAAAACAGAACGCTCTTTATGTAGGCTATACAATGTTATGCTATGTACACAGAACGCTAAAAAATCAAAAATAAATACGGTCAAACCACATTCGACTCGGCGGCCAAAACCGCTTCTGCCGCTTCCTGCTATTCAATTCGAATCCGATGCGATGCGCGGCGCAGTGCGCCAAACTCCTTGAAGACCAAACGCCCCAGCAGCACCATGGCAATGATGTCGGCAGCGATGAGCATGTGGAAGACGTACTGCCATCCGGCGGTGGAGATGAGTCCTGCGAGCAGCGGGCCAACTGCCGCTCCAATCGAGCCAGTGCCATCGATAATCGCCGTCACGGTGGCCAGGGCATTGGCATTGCCCTCCAGGGAGCTGTGCTGACCCAGCTCAGCACTCACAGAGGTTGTGATCAGGGCATAGGGGCCGTTCACAAATATGCCGACCACAATCAGCAGCACTATGCTGAACGTCAACGACAGTGCACCATATTGTTGATACATCAGCAGCTGAAAAATATATATTTTTAGTCTTTTTGGTCTATGTGATCTGTTTAGAAAACTCACAATTGGCGAGGCAATGAACAACATGCCTGTGCAGACGGTGGCCGACATTCCGCTCACATCCGATAGATAGCCCGCAGCTATAGCTCCCAAAATGCCACCCACATCGAACAGAGTGGACAGATCAGCGGAGAGTTGTGGTCCCAATGTGCCTGCATTGCGATCAATACAATATTAAGTCACTTATCTAATAAAGGGAGGTTTACAAAGACTCACTGGATTTCTGAATATAGAGGGGCAGCCAATACATGAAAGTGTAGCTGACCAGCTTGGTGAAGAACAAACACAGGGAAAACTCTACCACTCCGGGTATGTACAGGGCATCAATCAGGCTTATAGGACGTCCGTGGCCTCTAGGTTGTGCCGCTGGTTGGGGACGAGCCAGGATTGGAGTGCGCTCGGTGGGCACCGATCTATAATTGATTTCCTAAAAATGTAAGACAAATAAGTGTTCCGTTTTGAGGGAAAATCCATGCTAAGCGCAATATTTACACAAGCGAACTGACCAGCACAACGTAAAAAGCAAACAGAAAGTCATGCACTTACGGTTTCCGAAGAGTCGTACCCCAAATTGACTACATACTACGGCCGAGCAAGTTTCTTAGAAATTAAAATCCCAGCATAATGGGAAGACGGCCGCATGCGGAACATCAATTAAAAACGGAAACTGATACTTACGGCATCGTTGTGGCGCACCTGCTCCTCGTCGTCCTGCTCCTCGTCAGACTCGTTGGTCACGCGTCGCTCCTGGTGACCGGTTTGTGGATAGCAGCCGACTATCTCCGGTTGGTCCACCAGGAAAAGGAAGAGCAGAAAGCCCACGGCTGCAATTATGATGCCTGGGACTACAAATGAAAGAGCCCAATCGGTTTCCACATAATGCGCCGCTATCAGTGTGCCAAGAATGTTTCCAATAGATGTGTGGCTGTTCCAGATGCCGAAGATCAAGCCGCGCTTGGACTTTCCAAACCAACGACCAACGAGAGCCACTACACCAGGCCATCCTGTCGTCTGGAAAATGCCAGCGAAGATTTGCACCAAAACGAAGTACCACAAGCTATGGATGTTCGATGTGCGAGCGATGCCAAACATATAGGTGAACACTCCGGTAAGGATCATTCCCATGGACAGGAAGTATCGGAGGGAAACTCTCTCAGCCACAAAACCAGAAGCGAACATGGCAATGGCGTAGGAAAACAGGAAGGCCGAATCCAGCATTCCAAACAGTGTGGTGGCATCGGGAACATCTGTAGATAAAGTTTAAATTGAGTTATAAAGTTTAAAAACAATTTTAGGATAATCTTACCAAAAGGCGCATAGCCGCATTCTTGACCAGATGCAGACAGGGCAGTGGAACAGTTTCCTTGAAGCACCGATTTAACTACGGATATAGGTTTGCGGCACATGTGGTAGCAGGCGTAAGCCAGGAAAGTTAGCACAAACACAGACATCTTATAGCTGTAAGTAAATAAATAAAGTTTACGAAATAAAAAATGTACATTACGAAGAAAGCATAAATAGATTTTAATATCATTTTAACGAGAGTACAAGCCACAGTATAACCAAGATAACATTGTAACCGAAATTACACATCGAAATTGGGATATTCTAATGAGTTGATCATGACACATTAATATTATTCTTTCTTTGTGTTTCAATATGAATCAAACAGGTTATTTTAGTTTGCAAGAATTATACTTGTTGAAAAAGAAAGATCATTTGGAACTTATAGTTTTTTCTACTTCTAAGAAATCTATAGTCAATTCTTTAATTATTAAACAAAAGTGCTTTGATAATTTTTGAACTTCCTGGAAAGATAGAGACTACATATAATCGCATCTTTTAACATTGTTTTTAACTAAAAGATAATAAGTTCGAATCTATTTCTTATTTTAATTAGGTTTAATCGAGTTTGTAGTTCCTATACTCACAGCAGATCCCTGCGGACGTGGATGCGGGGGCAGCAGTGGCGGGACAGTCGCTGCACCGCCCGGATGCCGAAGGGCACGTCGTTGTAGTTGTTGCTCATCTTTCGCGTTCTGCTGGCCAGTCCCAGTGGAGCTCTCATCGACCGGCGCGGACGGAGGGCGAGAGGCAAGTGCGGCTCGTCCAGGTGGCGGTGTTCCGTTCCGGTTGCAAATTACGTCGCCAACTACCTGCAAAAAGAGCCACGATCAACAGGTAGGTGAGTGATTTGGTCTCTTTGGTGACTCAGTACGAGATACATTTTCTGGTGTATGCTTTTCAGGTAGAGTGGAGTGGGTCGCGGTTTCTGGCGGGCTGTGGAATTGAGAACGAATACAATATCCGACCTTATCGACATATGTTTCTTTAGTTTTCTTGTTTACTTCGTCAAATTCGCTCAAACAATGAGGCGTTATATCGACGTCGCATAATAAAGCGAGTTTCCGCTCTACTATTGTTGATGCGTTGGCGAAAATTTCCAACTTTGATAGTGGTCTAAGTTTTGAGATAAGGAATCGCAAGTACTTTATCTTAAAGAAGGCCGACAGTTGACTTGTTTATGAAAGATATATCATAAATTTGTCGTAATCTGAATACACAACTTTCTTTGTTTACTTTTTACTTCCTATTATAATCAATTTACAGAGTATTTCTGAGTCGACTTGTGCCGGATATGTAACTCTTTTGTTTGTTGTCGCCCCCGAAAAAGAAGTAAAATCGTGCGAGAGCTAACAGATTGCTTTGGCTTCAACTTCGCGACATTGATAAGCAGCAGCAAATATTTATTATTACCGTTAAACACACACTAAACAGCTGCAGTAAACATTACTCCGTCCGAGAAATAACAAAATAGAGGTGGAGAAACATCGATAGCTTTGTGCGACTATCGGTTATGAATGCCAGTGTGAACGTGGCTGCTCCTTGGTTAGTATTTATTTAAGTACATATCTGGTTTACTTGTTTATTTATTGTTTTCAATTAAAAAAAAAATTTGGCCTTTTGAACGATTATTCCTGCACAATTTTGATATTATGAGTAACTTAATCTGTATTAGGTCTTATTAAGAATGTTTTTCTCTAAAAGAATTAAGTTATTGCCGTATGTTAGCAAACTTTTGGTAACCGTTATAATCTTAAACTTAACGGTTTTTTAATTATTGATTATAGAGCAGCATTCCAATTTATTTGGTGAATCTTAAAAAAAAATCTTTAAAACTTTTTGCTATCACGTTTTTGAATGCAGTGCTTATTCATTGATGCGCCACATGTTTAGGTAATATTTGGGATTCACAACTTACCCATATATGTATTTAACTTTACAATTAGAAGTTGACACTCGATCCCGGAATTATTTTCTGAGATCACGGGCTAATTTGTTCAAGTGACACGCGACTGAATGAATAAATGAGAATTAGTCATTAGTTCTAGTTTGTTGACAACGAATCAGCTCAGGAAAAGACAGAAGCACATGTGCACATGACCTGGCTTTTCAATCAGACTTAACGGAGAGCGGAAAATGCTCTAGATTTCAACACTAAGACGCTAATTTCCTCCGCCTGCAGTGTGAAAATCAAGGCGAGAAACAAGAACAATTGGAAGTGCTAATCACAACGGGCAAAAACAGTTTGCCAATTGTATAAATTGCGGGGTTTAGCCAAATGAAGCCACATTTGACAACCTAAAGCTCTGCTAAAAACAAGTACACGTTGTTATCGGAAAACCATTTAAAAAACTAATTAAAATGAAGTACAATAAGGTGAGTACAGCAAGATACTTAAGAAATTGAATTTATTAAACTGACATTTTCATTTAAAAACTAGATAATCTTCCAACTGATCGCCTGCTTTGCGACTTTTGAGCTGGTGTTTGGTTACCCGCAAGAGCAAATTTCTTCAGCAGAACAAATCCAAAGATTAAGTGCAGCAACTGAAGGAGAAAATCAAGATGCCCTGGAAACCCTGTACAGCTATGAAAGAACTTTGAGCAGATTGCGAAGAGCTCTGGAGGAGCTGGCTTATGAGGAGGCAGCTGATGCCATGGAACTGGCCGAGATTAATGTATTCCGACCTCTTTTCCGTTACCGATCTCAGTCTGTAAAGGTGAAGAATCCCCAGCAGCAGCAGTTTGGTTAACCGGGTTAATATACTGAAAAGTTTATATTTAAGTTATTTAACCTCGCCACATTTCAAAAAACCTGCTCATAAACCATTGATATTTTTTATACAAACCTAGCCTGTTAAGAAATAAAACACAACTTATTTATATTGTTAAACATTTAAATATTTTATTTTATTTTTTGTTGTAGAACCTATGCGCTTTGCAAATATCCACAAGTGATTAAACATATGTACACACCAATCTAAATATTTCTCATTAGAGTTAAGGATATTATTGTATTTTTTCATGTTTCCACATTGAGCACATTTACATCTGAAGGCTTTGTGGATGACACGTGAATTCCTTGCATTGCACTATCTTGGAAGGATCCCTAATATAAACACACCGACACATACGTACATATTTGACTAAGGAAGACACAAAGAATATGAATTCTAATTCTACAATATAAATATGTGATGGACACTCATCGGGGGTTATGTATTCTTATTTTGTTTCTGACTAGGCAGCTAACTAACTTTTGATTAAGGACCCTGTAAAACTCCCCTAAGCTGCAGAAAATAAAACAAAACTTCATACGTACACACTCTAAATAAATCTTATATGAAAATCGTTCGCCTTTGGTTACATATATGTTGTTAAATAAGAACATTTCGCACACCTATCTCCTTGTAAATAGTTAAGCCGCTAGTCAGCTTGTGAAAAATATTCCCCCTACTTGCTCTTGGCTTAGAAAAGTTACTAAAGTCGCTAGTTAAGTACTTAAGTAGAGTTGTTCTCTGTTTAGTTTAGTTCAGTTAGTAGTTTTTGGTTTTGCTCCTTTCGCTTGGTTCCATTAAGTTGCTCGTACACATATAGTTGCTGCATTATGCTGGCATTATGTCCCTATGTTTTACATTAAATTTGATTTAATTTTTGATTATCAGGCTTAAGTTAGACATTACAAATAGCTGGCTGCACACACTCGTGAGTATGCAAATGGTTGTTTACATGGGGATTGGAGAGCTTCGAACCGTCGAAACCTGTTTACATATTAGATGAGCCCATCTGGTAGCACTTAGAGATAAAGCTTTCTGCCTGCCGGTTATACACATATAAGTATATATATATCTATATATATTCACATATCGACACACTTAAAACCTAGGTAAGTATATAGACGATTTGGTTGGTTTTTTTTGTTTTGTTGTTGCATTCTTGTTTTAGAGCACCTGCAGATTTTCGCAGTGCTTGAACTTGGAGTCCTCCTTGCCCAGGATCCAGGTGAGCATCTGGCGAGCCTTCATGCTGGCCGCCATCACACTGCGACTTTTGTACCAATGCGCCGGTGAATTGGCATCCCTCGGTCCCTGAAAGCCATTTAAATTAGAGATAAATCAAATTTACTCCACTCACTGAACAAAAAGAACTCTTAAATTGACCAGGAGACAAGCTGGGTTCTATGCCAGGGTTTATTTACATTTGGCCCTCTATTCGAGTGTGTTTTTATGGCCCTGCAATACAGTTATTCCATTTCGGGGCGCCAATTGAAGTTTGCATTTTTCATGTTCTTTGTGCGGGTTCTCGAAGTGGGCACAAGATAATAAACAACGAGCAAACAAACAAAACACTTTTGGCAGTAAGCTCGGAATAGTTTCTGCACTTTCGGACACTTGACACATTTTCCTTGTTTGGCAAGTTGGCAGTTGGCTTGTTTTGGCAAAAGATCAGGGGTCGGGATGGGAGTCTTACTACATATTATATATTATGTATACAGTCGAACCACACATAAACAGGGAGTAACAGCCTATATATTGGGGCTTTACACATTTAAAGTATCTAGAAGTAAGCTGTGAATGCATATTTGAGTCGAAATACATCATTGCATACTTTCAGACACAAAAAAAGGGGTTATTTGGAAAGCCACAGAAATCGTGTGAGATTAAAACCACTTAAGAAGGTAAATTGTGTACTTTTAAGTGCATTCCTTGAGAGGTTTTAATTCTCTACAGATATCTCTGGCAACTTTGGAATATTCTGACCACTTAATCATGCTTTATTTGGTATTTGGGTTGGGGTTTGAAACGAACACATCAAACATCGATTAAATTCAGTCCGAATGGGAGCTAGTTTATAGTTTGAAGTGGGTTTTTTTTTTGTCGGGGGTACGTTCAGTTTTACTTACCCCATCGCCGGCTTTAAGATCAGTCAGACATTTATCAGTTTCTACAGTCTCTACGTTTGTGTTTTCTCTAAATTTGCTTTTATCTTTTGATTTTTTCGGATTATGCTGCGAAATCGATCGATGGACATTGATTACAAGACACCAAAAACAGAGATAGTTGGGAGGACAACTAGCTAACCAGCTAACTGTTACGGCAAACTAGGTCTAGACCTATGGGTTCTCTTTATTTATTTTTTTTTTTTTGTGTGAGATAGGAATTTTCTAAAGGGGATCTCTGGCATACCTGCAGCTGGTTTTGGTCCTTCTTCAGGCGAATCTGGGTGAGCGTGCCAGCCAGAAGCTCGTCACAATTGTGATTGATGCCCACGGAGACCTCGATAAACTTTGCTCCGAACGTGCAGGCCAGACATTTGCCATCTGTGAGTGAATGGGGTAATGTAAGGGATTTACTCTGTACAGGTCACGCCATTCGATTGACGATGCAAATTAAATGCAACGTTGGCTAATTGCAATACTCACCCTGGGCGGAAACGGCGCGTGAGCGGGCCAAATCAATTTTGTTGGCCACCAGAATGGTGGAGCGGTGGCGCAGCAGGTCCATGTCCTGCAGCCGCGATAGTATCTGCTTGGCCCGCGTGAAGGACTCCTTGTCAATGCAGGAGTAGACCACCAGGAAGGCATCCGCCTGCTCCAGTTCGTCCTGCAACGAATGAAACGAATGGCCGCAATTGAAATACACGGAACTCAACAAGTTTACAACATTCTGGCCAGGATGTTTGGGGGCGGTAATGGGCGGTGGGCGGTGGCTTTCGTGACTGTCGAAAGTATTTAATGCCGTGTTTTTATTGCAGCCCGTTCTGCAGAGGCGAAATTAAAAGTTCTTAACTGCGCACCGTCAAGTGCAGGCGTTGAGCGAAAAGTCGAGCATCCATCCATCCTTCCATCCATCCAAGCAGCCAAGTTAACGAAACCCACATTTCCGCCCTTCCCCCTGGAATTTCTTTTGTTAGCCGCTCCTGGTACTTTTGCATTTTATGCTCGTAAAAATTAAAATTATGGCCACTTGGCATCGCAATAACGTGGCGAGCAAAGGGAAAAAGTTGCCGACTTGCCCGGACTTTTAATGATGTTCATTTATCTGACCCATACATTAACAGGTCAGCGGGACGCCTTCATCGTCCAGCTCCTTCGGATTCCGCTTCAGGTATTTCGCTTTAAAGGTGAGACTCTGTTTACTCCTAATTAGCGCTTAAAGGTGTTTTAATATTGATTTTTTCGAGAGGACTTTCCCTTTGATTACTTTTTTGAGCTTATAATTTTATAGAAATAAGAAGATGATAGATAGGATAATATCTAACTATCTATCTATAGCATATTGTAAAAAATTGTATTGTAAAAAATTGTTTTAATTTATGGGCAAAATCTAAACAAAATAGTTTTTCCAATTCAATTTATTAAAGCTTGAATCATGGTGGATTCAAATATTTGCTTAATTGATTGAATTGTATTGAATTGCGTTGTATTTGTTTAGAGATTTTTTTTGAATAAAATCTCATCTTTTAACAACTCTGCATTTAAAGCTTGAATAACGGAAACATTTATTGAAAACTATTTCACATCAAATATTGAATTAGGTTGCAGGACTCAACTTTGTGCCGAAAATAAAATCCAGAAAGGTTTTGTAGCCGTCAGAAGTCTTCCTTTTGGTTTCTTTTTGGGTTTTCGGCTTTTTCAGCTGTCCAATCCTTGGGCAAATACACTTTGTCTGCGGTGACGTCGGCTGGTTTTATTCTGGGCCGGGGTGTTGGCTTCCGATTCCGTGGCTCATAAAGCCACGCCAGGCACATCCGACATTTGTAAATTCGGCACTTGGCTCCAAGGTGCTCGGGATTGCCAGCGGGCTTAAGGTCAAAACCTAAGCCATTTATTATTTGCCTTCCACAGCTTTTCACCACCATGCACGACTGCACTAATTCGCTTGATTTTTGTGTGTCGCACTCCCGATTATATAGATTGTTGCCATTTCCTTTTGTTTGTCCTCGTCGTCATCACAATCGAAATCGCCCATCGACATCATTGCAATCGTCATCGGCGATTATAATTATCATTATCGTGTTCATTTTGTATTGTTTGCCACCCTCAAAAGAAGGCGGCAAACGGCCCGTTGGCCATTTGGCAATCGTCCAGTAATTTGGCCTTTCGATTGCACAGTGGCTCATATTGTTGTATTTATATATTTGACTTCCCCCACTCCCTTGTTTTATATTTTTTTTACTTTTCTTGCTTGCTGCTGCTGCAAATCGTTGTGGTTGCAGGCGCCCGTCTGGCAGGATTTTAAATGAATTCCTTAAATGATTTCAAGGCAGTGCCTCTGCCTGTGGCATTCCGTGCACTTTGCCGTAATTAACCGCAGTTCGCAGCCTGTTCTGTTTTGTGCGAAAGTTTTCACAGTTTCTGCCGAGTTCCGGAGCTTTCCGTCTTTGTTTGGCGCAACTTCTGCTCACCGAACTCATTTTGCATCTGTAATTAATTCACTTTGTGCAATTTATGCTCGCCCAGTTGGCAAATCACTCGCCTTTTCCCCCCGGGGCAAATCTCGGCCGGCCGTCAGGACAAGCTCATTTGTCTTGCTGACAGCCAGGAACCTCAGGCAAAGCCGACTCCTGCGGTCCTGCTGCTGGTCGGAGGCCAGTTAATAGTGAAATATTTAACGACAATTACAACACACAAATAGGAATAGCTTTCAGTCCCTGGACAAATGATTTACCTTGCTCTCCGGATTGCCAGTGAGGAACTTCAGCTCCGACTCGGTGCCATTCAAGATGATTGAGACGTTCTGCTCGGACTCGTCGCATTCTGCCACAGAGAGAAAGTAAATTAAAATTACAGCTGAATCATGGCGAAATATTTTTATGCCAATGAAAACTAACCAGGTCCATCGTAGGCATTGATGCAGTCCGAGGTGCGGAACTGTGAGACCAACGCCTGTTTGCCCACGCCCGCCGATCCGAGCATTTCCACGCGATAGAATTCCACCGGCTGATGGTTCTCCTGGGGATTGGGGTTTCCGAATCCGTTGCCGCTGCTGCTGCCGCCATTGTATCCGCATCCCAGGCCCAAGCTGCTCCCCCGCCCACCGACACGCCCCCCAGGCCGCCCACGCCGTTGCGTGTGTGCATGGGACTCGAGGGCGCCAGGCTGTTGCTCCTCGAGCGTCGCCGGCGAAACGAGTCACCTCGATTAATGATACCTGTAACGACAAAAAAAAGGGGCGAAAAAAAATAGGAAACCAAAAGAGAGAGTTATCAAAAACTGGTTGCGGCAAAAAAAGAGGAGAAGAATCATCCGTTTTCGTATTCCAACTGCATGCGCGGAACTTTTGTTAGTCAACCTGTCACACGCGGCGTATGTGCAACGTGGGCCGACTCAACGAGAATCGTTGCGCATACGCCACGTAGCCCCGGCAGAAATTACAGTTTCCTGCCGCAAGGGCCACATCAACAATAGTTAATCCGTCTTTTGTGTCGCATCTGTGCCGCCACCACACCAGCTCTCCGTTCCGTCCGTCTGTGTGTCTTTTGGGTTTTTCCTGTTTTCCCCACAGTTAGAAAATCCCATTTTTCATTCCGAAATTTAAGCGAAATTTCCTGCCTGCCTGCATTTTTGCGCCCAATAAATGGCAAATATTTACAGTAGAATTTCCATATACAATTAATATTTATGCGAAATGTCGGAGGAATTTTATATGCTTTTCGTACAATTATGAAGCAATTAAAAAGGCATCGAAATTTATGTGGGACAAGGCGTAATGGTTATATTAACCCATTCGCTTGTTCCGGGAATCGGTTGGGTTAAAGCCAAAAAGCTTTTTAATGTTCCTCTTAATTTAAGGTACTTTATTGGTCTTCAAGGTTTCATTGTCTGCCATATTTTATATATCTCTAGAATCAATTAAATAGGTATATTTAAACAGTATTTATTTTGTGTGGAAGTCAAAAATTGCAAAACAAAAACCCTAGATTTAATTCATTAATTATTAGCTTATCACTTTTCTAATTTTCATCCAATTTAGAAGTGGCTCACATCTAAATGTTTGTATTACAATCTTCTAACCAACTGCATCAATAGTTTATTTTATATTTTTTGTCCGATTTTTTTCTTCAAAATTTACAAAAAATAGGTTTAGATGAAAATTCGCTATACCTCTAAATTTATTTTCTTTAAATAAACAAGCAATTTGTTGTCAGTTCAGCTTTATTTACAAATGCTAAACAATAGTTTCACAACGTTTAATTTAAACATTTAATAAATTAATTGAGTACAAGACATTGCAACGATTTAATTAACCTTTTGCTTTTCTTTGCCAGAAGCACACACATAATTTAACAACATTGCCGAGGGCATAATACAATGTGATTGACCAAAGAAGAGCAGAATAAATCTAGAGATAATCTGCCCATCTGTCATTCGCCTTCCCCAAAAGACAGACAATGCCCCGTTCCCATTCTCATTCCCATTCCGAATCCGAATCCGAGTGAAAAGGTATTACCCAACGAAGACACCGAGTCAAGAGCCTTTGAACAACCTGCGGCCGTTGTCATTTATAATCCCTCAGGCCAGATGATGTATATATATATAAATATATCTATAAGATGTATCAATCTGTTCGATTTGTTCGGTTTATGTAAGTCTGTGCTGTGTACAGTTTAAATGTCATAAATAGATTTATGGCCTGCCTTATTGCATTTAGCTGTCGCGCCAAATAAACGAGTCTGCGAATATATGTATAATATTATATATATAGATGTACATCATAGATTTTTCAGTATTCGTTAGCGCTTGCTAGTTTCTCATCTGCGGTCATTAATTGTGCAAATTGATTTAATTGCCAAAACCGTTCTAAACATTTACAATTCGAGCAGCCAAGGGGTTGGGTTCCCCCCTCGCATTTTCGTGTACATCGATGGGCCGTCATCATTGGAAAGCCATAAAACAATTTTCAGGGGGCCATATTTTTTTGATTTTCTTTCTTTTTTTTTGGTTATGGCAAAACAGAGATTACGTGGACTGCGCGCGTGGGAAACAATTCATTTGGAATAGGTGCAAACTGGCAACAATAAAAATTGCGATTAGTTTACTTTTCCTGAAATTCCTATAAATTTGTACGGGCAATGTTCATATTTATTTTTAGCCATTGGCTATAATTGAAACTGACTAATCGCTGGAGTAATTGCCGCACTTTTCCGCATCTTTTTCTGCCATTCTTCAAACAAACTGTTTTCGTTTCACTTGTCTTTGATGTTTGCTTAGCACTCTCCACTTTCCATTCTCCAGGCGAAAATTGTTCATGTGTTTTTCTTTGCTGCAGGAATAACTGTTTAAGCAAATAAATTGAAAATTTTATTTGCTGATTGATTTAGAGTGGGGCGAGTGTGGCACGAGATTTCGCATATGCTGCCACGCCACTTTTGCGATATGATTAACCGCCTTCAAGGTTAGACGCTTTTTTGTTTATGCAAAATAAACGCGAATCTATAAATACACCCCACCGAATGTTTAGCAGTTGGCCAAAAAAGAATCGAAATAACCGGGAAATATTGAAAAGTATCTTTGTATGTCCTTGTGTTGGCGCATCATTCAATTACGACTCGATTGAGGCAACCCAAAGGACAATCGGGCAGACAGTTTTGCATTGTCTGGTCGTGGCTGAAAATGTATTTATATGGAAAATCCATTCAGGCCGCTTCATTGGCTGCCATCGATGACTGACACTCGCTCGGGCATTTCAATTAATCACACATATAGCCGCCTTCTCCTTCCTGCCCATTCGAACACATTCGAATCAGTGTCGGTCTGTCAGTTCTTCGGCCGCACATTTTAAATTTCCCACTTGTGCCGAACGTAAGCGAATTTGATGGATGGCTCCCCGGCTCCCCTTTTTCGGGGGATACGAGCATATCCCCACAAGACCTGCCAACATCTTGAGCGAATTAAGTTTAATTAAATGGACGCACATGACTCCAGCCAAAGACATAGCCGCAAAACAAAGCTGCCACTGCTTGGCCCCACCAACTACAAGGTATTCGAAAGCAATTTAGTTGAGAAAACACAACCACTTCATTGAATTTTAATATGCAGTGCGTTCGAAAACGTGTCCCTAGTCGGTTTTCATCCCAAGCTGGAGCAGTAACTATCCGAGATGGGACAAAATGCTGATACCCTTTGATGTAACTTGCATTTTTAAGCAGGGATTAAAGGCTATAATATACTGATTAAAATATTTGTATTATTTTAAGAACTTCAGAAGAATAGTAAACTGGCGAAAATAACATTTAAAGAAACTTGAATGTAAAACAGAAATATATTACTATGGAGTATGGTGATAACATTTTAATTTGTCTCTCACCTAAATAAAAAATTGAAATGTTGTATATTCAAAACTCAAAATGATACCTTCTTTATCCGGAAATGTACTTTGTATTTATGTGAACTATTCCCTTCTACTTTCCACCTACTTTCGCTTGTCAAAAAGCATATATTCCCATTCAGAACTGCCTTTGCCAAATGGCTGCGACTTCTTCTTCATGACTAAGTTATGACACCTCGTGCTGTTAATACGCAGGCTTGTCGTCTGTTTGCTGTCATGTCTGCTCAAGTGTTCCGTACTCCGTATGCTGTATTCCGTATTCCGTATTCCGTACTCTGTACTCCATATTCCGTATTCTGTTCTCCGTGTTTCGTGTTTTGTGCTCCGTGCTCGGAGCTGTTATGGGTGGGCTTAAACACGTACTTAAATTTGCCATGCATTTGTGCATGCAAACGCCCACAAGTGCGGAGGAAAAATGGCAAAGATCACAGCGACAGGGATGAAATTTAATCTGGAAACTGTGAAAGTTTTTCTAAGAAATGTTTACATTGCCACTATGATTTAATGTGCGCTTAGAAACTCATTTGTTTTGTGGGATGTTATACTTATGAAACACAAGAAAAGTTTGTGATTGAAGTACCAGTTTATAAACAGAACTTAAAACTTAGAACTATTCCAGTTTAATTGCTCAATTTATTAAATTGATAAGCTAATATAGTGATATCTTATTTTCACCTGAGTCAGGCAAGTAAATTGAATAATCGAACTTAATTGAATTTAAAAGTCGTTAAATTGTTGCCAACTTTCCCGGAAAGATATCATCTGCTAAACGCCAAACTTTCAACTAAGTGTCTTACAGTCCTGGCTCACACTGTACTTTTGATGGGATGGCATGGGATGGCCCACAGTGCGTATGTGTAACAATAACGTGACACAAATGTGGAATATAAGAGGAGCAAACGAAAAGAAAAACGCACACATAATGGCAAAACTTCACAGGACTATGTGGTTCTTTGAGTGTGTTTGCATATACACACAAGTATGAGTGAGTGTGTATATTGTTGGGTATTCATATTCCATGCGGAGTGGCATTTAGTGCCACTGATATCTCCTTAACATCTTCGGGTAACAGCCTTTTAAGATTTCAATAAGGATTGCTGGGCTGCGTGCCCCAGGATGAAACTATAATTTTATGCCGCATGAAGTGTATCGTGTGTCCCCAAGATGAAATTCCCTGATCCCGAATGCCCGCCGATCCCTGCCTGACTCCCTTAGCATTGTTAAGATGTGTAATCCCGGTCATCTGGCCCTCGGGCCTTTGTTGACTTTCAATTTCGAAATTAATAAATGGTCCTCGGTGGCGGTCTTTCTCTCTTTCAAGGGGAAAAGTCCTCAGGCGAAACTCACCTCCTTTGGAGGCACTGAAAGTGCGCAATCGGTCCACATCCTCGTCGTCGTCGTTGACGCGCAGGTGATGCATGTTCATTGTGGGCACGTCCAGGAAGGCGTTCGATTTTCTGTGTCCTCCTGTTTTTTTTTTTTTGAGGGGGAGAAGAGAGAAATTAAAAAAGAATAATTAAACTTTCATGAGGGATTACCGCACGAAAAACCAGCGAGATATCTCGTGTAGTTTTGCATAAGCTGCAGCAAAATTTGCATGACAGCAAGGCTAATTAATTTAATCAACCATCCGCACATAATGTTGAAAAAATATCGAATAATAATTACATATTGTTTGTATAATCTAGCAGTTATTTAACCCTGCATTAAATTCCATAAAAAATACCTTAAAAACGTAAATATTTTTTTTGAGTTGTACAAAGTTTTACAAAGCTTAAGCTCTTCTTTAATAACTATGAATTATTTTTTTAATATATGTGTATGTTGTGTAACGCGCAACATATGTTACACGAATTCCCTCTAAACCTATCCATCATTTCCATACATGCTTTTAAAAATAAAAACCCATCATTTGAATCCATGAATAAACATTGCCACAAAAGAGAAGTTCCAATAAAAGAACCCCTGGTTAAATATGCGAATAACCCTTTGGTCAAATGTTTCCCCCGCCAGTTGTGCATTATTGATTCAGTATTCAGTGCTCCCTGCTCCATCTGGCTGACATTTGGACAGCTTTAATGGTCTGCCCATGTCGAGTTGACAGAGCCAAGTGCCACACACGCTGCACACTCACTTTGCCGCTTTGCTGCTGGGCAAATTGGGTCAATGGTTAAGTTCATCGGACGACCAACGTTAATTGAATCAACATTATTGGAGAGTACTTAACAGAAAGGACAGAGAGAAACTACCATTTTAGTGGAGCGAAGCCAACTGTTTTCAGCTTCAACACCTCGCCTTAAAGTCCTGCGGTTTTTTTTTCGCTTCGCGGCCTCCCGCTATTTTGGCCAACAAGGCATTTATGGTCAATTTTACATCGCCGCTGCTCTCGTGCTGCGAGCAATTTGGCTGAGAGCTTAGTTTATGCCGCATAAAAGATCAGGCCCGGCACTTGGCTAATTTGTTGCCGTTGTTCTCCCGTTTTGATGGCTCCATCCAGCCATTAAAAGCCGCTACTTCAACTAACTTATGTACAAGGGCGGTTAAAATATTAGTGGTGTTACTCTAAAGTGGGGTAAAGATTAGTGGAAAATAGTTTTGCCTTGACCACTTTCTTGGATGATTATTGCATTTTTTTACTCATAATTCTTATGATTTTTCATATAAAATAAACTATCTAGATTTTTCCTACGATTCCTTTAAAGTGTACCATTTAAAATTGCTTTGCATCTTTATATATTATTTCAAACCAGCAGTTTGTAAATTAAGATATCTTTTAAAGCTCAAGATAAGGAGACATTAAAAACTGAAGAGATTAATTTGCTCTAAGCCAAGCTTTCTGTTGATTTTTTTCACTCTTCTGCAAAAGCAGCTTGTCAAATGGAATATCTAGTGGAATTTTAAATGGGAATACCTAAAGAGAACATTAATTTTCCCCGAGCTCAAACTTCTTTTGCTTGCTCTGTGGTCTACTTGCATTTTAGCAGCTGAAAATTTGCGGAATCTTCGTAAATTTAAAAGATAACAACGTTTCTTTTCACTGAGCTAAAACATGTGTTTTTTTTGTGCTCTCCTATACTTTACTCCTATTTTTTTGCCCTTGGCTGTGGATGCTTATCCCCGGTCGTAATTTACTCACCGTGCGGCTGCGGCCTCCGCTGCGATAGCTTTCGGCGCTGCGGAGGCGTCTCCGTTTCGCTCAGGCGGGGTTCGCTGGTGCAGTAGCTCCGTGTCTCCTGCAGCGTGTGCTGCTGCTGCTGCTGCTGCTGCTGCGCCTTCGTCTTCTGCCGAACCTGCAAGAGGAAAAGAGGGGGAGAAGGGGATGCTTTAAGCCGGGGGGTGGCAAGGTCTTTAACGCTTCAACGCTCCAATCCATCCAACTGCCTGCCTGCCTGCCTGCCTGTCCATCCATCTCGGCCCAAGGCAATCGCTTTGATTTATGGACTGCCGCCGGTTTCACCCTCGCCGTTGCAGAGTGAGAAATTAAATTGCATTGCAATTCTTTCGGTCGCAGGACCAATCAAGCCGACACACAAATCAAATTGCATTTGTTTGTCCCTCGCAAGAACAGAGAACAGAGAAGTGCCAGCAACTACTGGTAATACCCAACGAACGCCACTTGCCATTTGGCCTGCCAATGCCATAATTTATCGGCTGACTTGGCCTCGCGACAAGGGCTCCTCCTCCTCCTCCTCCCCCTCCTCCTCCGCCTTCTCTGTGATCAGAGCAGCTCAAGGGATTTCCCCTTCCAAATGTCAAGGTTAAACGCCTTGGCCACTCCAAATGCAATCAGCATTTGCCGCCGCTTGTTTCGCCAGCCGCAAAAGTTTCCTGTTCACTTTGAATGGATAAAGAAAATGTGGGAGGAAAAAGGGTAGGAAAAGCAGGAGGAGGAGGAGGTGTTCCTATCCGTGTTCCAAATCCTTCAAGCCACGTCCAAGTGCCTGTCACGGCGCCTCACTTTGTGGTGCTCCAATGCAAAACCCGATGATGAGGAAACCAAAGGGAAAGGGGCAGGTGGAGGAAGGTGGCAAACTAATTTCACCACCTGTCCACCGGCGATGTTGGTGGCCCCTCGTTAAGTTTCTTTGGTCCAGTGTGAGGGCGATATTTATAGCCAGCCGCATGCAAAACGTTCAACTTTGTTAGCCACTTCCGTTTCGCCTTGGCCCAAAAAGCAGGGGCGATGGCGAACAGAATGATTCTGGTGTTTGGGGCCAATTACTTGGTAATTCAGAATTATTAAGTTATGCCGCCTGCGGTATTAATAAATGTCTTGTGTTGAGAGCAAAATACCTAAGTAAATTATAGGTATTCAATTGATTGGCATTAACTTTTACATGTTTGACACATTTTCAGGGATTTTCAACAAATAATCAAAACTTATTTAATAAAAGTTTAAGGAATATAATTCATTGAATACAGTTAATAATTTAAAGTTTGTGTTTATTGTTTTGAATTTTATTAGAAAAAATATTTTAGAATTTATAGTTTGGAACGTCTTCTTGTTCCCTTCATATATCTTAGTTAATATTTTGAACTTGTATCCAATAAATAAATAAAAATAATTTATGTAAGGGAGGTTTTGATCATATTTACTTTCTAAAATTCTACATATACTGGTTTCCAGAGATCTATAAAGGTTTTTGGACCCCTAAAAAGTCTGGGTAATACCGCCTCTGTATCCACATGACGTTCCTACATCGCTGGAAAACGACACGCCGGAAGCGTTTGCTACGTGGCGTCGGCTGTCAAGTGGCCACGGATTTGGGCCACATTGAGTTTCTGGTCAGTACGAGAGAGTGAAAGAGAGAGAAAGAGTGATAGAGCGAGAGAGCTTGGCAAAGCCGCCAAATCCACAGGAAGTAAGGGAGGGCATTGGGGATTGGGGGGGCATTAGCCGAGCTGTCAGTGTAAACGTTCCTTGTTTATTTAGTGGGCGCTCTTTTGCGCTTTTTACTGCCACACACACATACCTACATAACTAAAAACCTGGCTAACAATATGTTTGTGTGTGTGTGCGTGTGTGCCTGCGTATGTGTGCATTTATCCTGGCATTTCATGGGCTCTCGTGACCAGTAATTGCTCTTCTTTCTTGACCAAATGTTTGCATGGTCTACTTTGCTGGCTTAATCAAATATTACGGCTGTGCGGACACACACACACACTCATTTGATCCATCCGGATGCAGTGGTTGGATTGAGGATGGAGTTCCGCCATCTCGCCTCGGAAATTAATTGCTTCCTGGCTTCAGTTCATTGACCAAGCGATGCTCCATGGAATGTCCACCGGCGGAGTCTTCAATTTGTGCCCGCTTAATCCCCAATTAGTCGTGCGGGGCAGCGCTGATAATTTATTTTCTTAATGCGCTCTGCTTTACGAGCTTCGCTGTGTGTCCATCATTGGGGAGGAGGTGGGCATTATTTTATAGCAAATTAAAATACGATATAAATACATTTTAAAGCTGCCAGCTTTTATAATTCTAATTAATGAGTTTAAAAAACCTGCGTAAATGTATTAAATTTCCCATGGCAATCCTACTTAAAAAATTCAATTTAAAGTGTGCACACACTCTATTTAAAATCTTTCTTTCTTTAAAATGTCTTTTAAAAATGTGCTACAACTTACTTTTGTTTTCTTAGCATTCTACTAACAAGCCAACCGAATTCAACAATTTAAGTCGCATATATTTTCTCAAGCGATAACAACTGTGGCATCAAACAAAATTCATTTTCTTTCTTTTCTCTGTTCAGCATTTTTTTGCAATATCCTCAGCTTGCACACACTGTCTGCAATTTGGTTTCTTGTGCCGAAACTTTTGTGTCGAATATCGCAAAATATTTTCCTACTCGTGGCTGGCGTCTGTCTGCCTCACTTGTTTGTTGGTTTTTGTTAAGCATTTGCATAGAATACGTCTGACTTTGGCTCACAGAATGCCGTGAAAAAACGAAAATAGCTTTACAATGCGGCTTCATTGAGTTCGTTGTTGTTATTGTTGTTGTTGTTGTGGCATCTTCTCATTAAACTTTTGCGTCTGCAGATGAAAAGTGCCTGCGACTTATCGACATCGGGACATCATCATACTGAGCACTCAAAGTTTACTTCTCTGCTTCTGAGGATAGTAACCTTCCCTTCTCTGCTTCACAAACAAAAGTCATTTCATCGCTGCTTCTTCACTTTTGATACCCTCTAAAAGGAATATTGCAGGGATATATATACTTTCTACAAAAAAACAATGACCTGAAGGGAAAACTTCTGCATTTTCTATTCTAACCAAAAGAACAATAACATTTTCCTGTTCATTGAATTCAAACTACAATTTGTATGCAATTGTTAAAAAAAAAAAGAAAGCTGGGTACCTTATGTTTGGTATCCTTGACTTTTGTTCAGTTGCGAACTCATTACGGCCACGCCCACCGAGCACATGCCGCCCCCAAAAAAAGTAGGGGAAACATGTGTGAGTGGTCCTGTCTTGGAAACTTTTCCTATATAAATTACCAGCTCGCGGCGCATCGCAGGCGATGAGAAGGACATTTTTAGCACGATGCAGGAGCGTATTGCCACTTTTTGTTGCCTCGTTTGCTTACTAATAATGTCGCTGGCAGAAGCACAAGCAGAAGCAGAAAACGCCCCTTTTTCTTCCACCCAAGAATATTCAGCGGGAGAAGCTGAAGAGCAGAGCAGGGAGCTTCCAGCTGACAGGAAAACACGCATACGCAACGTATGCTGCCACGTGGCGGAAGCCCTTTTGTCTGAGGCGCTCCGTCCGCAGAAATTGAATTTGGCCACGTTCTAACTCAATTCACACGACGCACTGCAAGCGCTCCGACTTCCACGCAGAATGACGAATCAATTGAGTTGAAGACGTCAGCGACTTCAGATTTCTGGCAGGCGTTAATGGAATACAAAAATAAATGTGGATAACATAAGGAATATACATCTAAGCGCCAGTGTATTGTCTTTGGCATTTATGTTTGCACTTGATATAACTCAAAAAAAAAACTTGCAAAAGAAAAAACATCAGTTCCAGTAAAAGTTAGGTACTTCTAAAAATATAATTAAAGATTTTCTATGAATATAATATTATATAATTTGAAAGTATTAATAATTACATCTTGAAGAAAAAAAAAACCTTGTTGACCTTCCTAAATAACTTTCGGATAATTTATTTAAATTGTTTTAAGAAAAAAAAATATCCTTCAATACCTTGCTTTTAATTTCTTCTTTTAGAACTGATTTTATTTGAGTTATGAATTTACAATTTAAAAACTTTCCAAAAGTTGTTTTAAGAATTTGAACTCAGCTGCCAGCTCCTAAAACTTCAAACAACTGCCTTTTTTTTTGTTAAATTTATTTCAAGGCTAAAACACTTAACTAAACCTCAAAATGGAAATCCGGGAGCGACTCTACACCATAATGGTGAACCAGAGCTCCTTGTCGCGTTCCACGGTGACCGAGAGCATGGCCAAGTTCGCGATTCAGAATCTTGAAGGTTCCGTGAGTCTTGAGAAGACAATTGTGAGGATTCTTCTGGCGATTGAGGACAAGTACCGCAACTACTTCGAGGCCTACCAAAAGGAGATGGAGCTGCAGAGGATCGCAGCTCAGACTTTGAGTCAACTGATCCAACGCTATAAGATCACCATGCAAGTGGACACGAGCTGCATGTGTCCGAATATCTACGAAATCGAATCGGAGGAGGCAATACTAAACAAATACTATCTGCACTACCAGGTGATAGTTAGTTCGAATAAAAACCAAGGATGGGCCATCCATCATCTGCGACAGTTTGTCCTAATTTTCCGAAGAGAGTGCTCAAAGTTGGATCATAAAGCGGAGAGTTCTTTCATCATGGGTGATGCTTTTCACAGGCCGATCAAGTTTTTCATGGAGTTGGTGGATGAGTTGTTTGCCTACTTCTATTCCGGTCATTTGCAGTTGGATTGCGCTGCCCGACTGTTGGATCCCTTGGATCTGAGTAGCCTGGAGCACTACCAAAAGCTACTGGCTCCCAATGAGGATTTCGATGAGTACTTCCTGCACAACATCAGCTTCTGCCAGTGCCTGCGACCGCCTCCTAGATGTGCTACATACGAGTGCCACCAGAAGATCAAGGATCAGGCAGAACCCTATATTTCGCAGGCCAAGAAGGCAAGATGTCTGAGGCGTTTCAACAAGATGGCCAACTTGGAGGTGGAGGATCCGAAGAGAGAGAGCGGTGAAGTCAAACGGGAGCCATCGGTCGTCAGCACTCACAGCGAGAAGTTGGCCAAAAGTATCAGTCGTAATAGCCGCGATTCGACTCAGCTGAGGGAACCACTTCCAGCTGTTAGCCAACAACACGAGTTGGACCTAACCAATCAGCTGAGGAATGCCATTAATATCATCTGCTAACTCCACTCCTGGCTCGAAATTATGTTTCTATGGCTCCGCTAATCTGAATTACGTAAACTTAAAATGTAATGTCAGCCAATTAAACGGGCGAAGTGCACGTGATTGCGTTTTCAGTTTCTCAATTTCTCGGAAATATCTGCGGAAATGTTGTTATCTCCTTTCACTTTGGATACTTGCTGCACGCAACTGCGAGTTGAGTTGTTTACTTCACTTCAAAGTGATTTTGGCGAAGGTTCTTCAACGAGCACACTCGACGCTCAAAGAGCACTAATGAAAGGCAAACTACGAATTTCGTTTCAATCAAGTGGAACTCTTCAAATTGATAAATAGGTAGCTAAGTTAAATTGAGGAAAGCAAGGAAAAGGTTGAGTAGTACACTTAAATTTTAAATAGTAAAAATTAAAGAATGTGGAGAGCTCCTTTTTGATGTGGAATATGGTTAAATATATTTATTAACTCCATTGTTTACTGAAATAACTTTAACAACGAACTGTAATATTTAATTCTAATATATTAACCAAAAATTTCACCATATAAACATGTGTCTGTTTTCAATGAATACCGCTGAAATAAATAAATTTATTATACATTAAAAAGAATGCCTTCTGCTTCAGTCGTTATTCCCCATCTGCTCCAAAAACCATTATATTTAATCTTACCACCCAATAAACACCATTTCTGTTTGCCAAAGTGCTCTAGCAAATCAAAGATGACACTATAATATGGCTGCTATAACATTTCTGCATGTGCGTGTCTGGCAAATAGACTAAAACTTTCGACTTTCGCTCTTATTTATAGTGAAAAGCGTGCATTGAGTAAAAACTATAAATAAAGAGGCGAACTTTGCGAAGTGACGGGCAGATGCAAATGCTAATGCTAAATTTGCGCCGCATGGCTGCGTTCCAATGGTATTATTACATATTACGTACTACCTACTACTACTACGTATTACGTATACGCCCTGTGTGTAGATGTACTCACCGATCTGGCGCCCGAGGTGATGCGGGCACTCTGAGAGCGCGTTGCCGGCCGGCGTCGCCGGTAGCCAGGTGTACCGCCCTCGGGCGTGGCACTTCCGGAGGCGCCGGGCATCCCATGGATGACCGTTTCGATGCTGGCACCCGTGGCACAAATCGAGGCGCTCCGCGTCTTCTTCTGCATCCGATGATGCATCGGGGAGATGTCGTCCACCATGGCGAATGCGCTTTATTGTTCGCCGCCGCCAGCTGCCTTCCTCCTGGGAAATTTCAGTTGACTTTCGGTCCTGGTTTCTGGTTGCTGGTTGCTGTGTTTCGAGTTTTCTGGCCAAGTCTAGGGGTTTCTACTGGTGTGCATTAAGCCAGTTCGTGCTGTGGTTCTAGTCGCCTCTATTTGGCTGCTGTGGTTTCATTGTTGCATAATTCATAATCTGAGTTTTTGGTTGGTGTATGAATTTTTGTACTATTTTTTTTTTTTTTGCGATTTTTGATTTGTTTGTGGTGGTGCACTCTGCAAATAAACGGTGACAAGCAAAAATGAAACGAATGCAAACATTTAAATGAATTTTCAAATCAAAATTACACGCACATTTTTTTCGAATTCATTTTCGGTCGAGCTCTACAGAAATAACCCAAAGAAATATTTTCGAAAAGCAAAAGTGAGCAGAGCAGCAAGCGATTTTCATCTACAATATTGTATTTGTAACAACATGCAACATAATTTGCTGTGTGATTTTTCATTTCGCCAGCAGCCATTAAACATCAAATTCCTCTGTTTGTTTTTCCCACCTCCCTTACCTCCCAAAAAAATCCCCATCCACTTTGGATTTATTTTTAAACGTGCCTCACGCGTCTCTTTGAATCTGGGTCAACTTTGCTAGCTGGCCACTGCCCATTCGCATTTTCGGTGGACACCCCCAGAAAAAAAGCGACAAATTGCAACAAACAAATTCTAAATCTATAGAAAGGGGCAAAGCCTCGGGGAATTGCGGTTTCAGTCGGGGTTACGTAAGGGTTTAGGTAACTGCCCTGTGTTTTTCGGTTATGCATGAGTTTGGGATGTCCGATTTTAGTTGGATGATTTATGATGTTGATGTAAGGCTTTGATTTGTTAGTTACAATTTTCTATATATATTTCAGGATTTTTTAGAGACAGGAAAGTGTCCCCCTTCAATCATAAATTACAGATTGTTTTAAAATGACAAGACTATTTTATGATAATTATTTTATTTATATTTTATGGATTTATATCTCCTTATTCTTAATTTCAAAAGAGTAAACTATTTACCATAAAGTTCTTGTGCAATAAATCCCAAGATATTGCCCGTTTTTCAAACAATACAATCCAAAAATAAACACTTATAGTCATTTTTCTTTGGTTTACTTGATCTTTTCCCCCTTGAGAGTTCTTAATCACGTAATTCTCGCAGTCTAAAAATAAATCTCTTTATATTGGCTTCATTTGCTAACCCTTGCATCATCCGCATTTTGAACTCTTTCGTATGGTTTCCAATCGAGGCGAGCATTTCACAACAAAGATGAAAATAAAATCAGAAAACAGTGGAAACTTTCGCTTAGCTCTGCTTGGGAAATTCCCCTTAAAGAGCGCGGAAAAGTTAAATGGCAACTTTAACCTGCAGACTGCGCTTCTAATGGACACTAATTGCCATTTGCAGTGCCGAGTTCCCGGGGCCATTCGTTCGCGAGGGAGCTAAATGAAATCCATTTCTCAACTGGCCTTAAGCCAAGACGACTGAAATTGAATTTTCCCCCGAGTTCCGAGTCCAGAAAGCGAGGCTTAGAGCGGCGGATGAGCAGTCAGCCAGCGGGCCAATCAAAACATATTGGTAATCCACTTAGGCATCCTGTTCGCTACTTGGACATGCATCATTAGTCCCTCGACCTGGATCCTTCTCCCATTTCTCCTTACTGTATAATTGAGTTACGCTCTCGCTATCTTTTCATCCGCACTTGCACTTAAGTGCAGCCAAGTCACTTTCCAATTTCTGTCGCCGACAAGCGAACTTGATGAACTTGCAGTTTTGGCCGCGTTCATCCGAGTGCTTTAAGGTCCTCGCAGCAGGGTAATTAACTTGTGCGAATGATTAAAACATAAATAATTAAAACGAGCCAGGGTGTTGGCCACCCTTTTTTTTAGCGTTTTTTTTTGTAAGCATTTGGCAGAACAAAAGATTCGGGCCAAGTCCCTTGTAAGTAAATAATGCGAAGAGCGCAAACGAAAAAAAGAGGGGAAAATAAATACATAAACTTGAAAATGGTTTTAACGCGGCAGCATATGCGACAAAAGCTTGAGATAAGCAGGCAAAAACACTGCGAGAAATTACTTGGGTTCAAATTTAACAAAACTAAATTCCGAAAAGAAAAAATGTAATTAAAAAGAAAAAAATGTAAGCTAACATACAAGTTGCAGGGAGAGCTGCTTATAAATTTATCTTGAACTCAAGTATTCATACGTCTACAGAATCCTTTCCAACAAACTCCCTTCTTATGTAAACCTGGCCAAAAAGCCATCTAGAAAGTCGGCTAGAAGCCACCACCCACTTTCCCTTAAACATATTTAAAGGGTTGAGCAAACTTTCTGTGCGACTTTACGCTTGATTTGCCACCCAAAACGGGGAACCAGCGATGCATTGCCAGGACACACGAAAATGCGAAATGCGAAAAGCGAAAAGGTTTTCCCTGGGATGATTTCAGCTGCTGACCGATTCAGCCGTGCATGAAACTCCAGGCCACATGTACACGATGAAGTCGTCGTCACCCTTCTCGTCGATGGAGAAAGAGGCTCCATTGTCAGCAAAAAGGAGCTGCCTGCCCGCCTTGTTTGCATTCAATTGATGCCCCAGGCTCATTCTGGCTAACAACAACATTGCTAAGAGCCCCCCGATGCGTGTGTGTGTGTGTGTGTGTGTGTGTGTGTGTGTGTGTGTTAGCTTGTCCTCCTAATTGGCCAAAGGAGTGGGAGAACAGGAGCAGCAGGAGAAAAGGAGCATCAGCTCTAATGCAAAGGAAGCTTCGCCTTTAAAGCCTTTTCCCATGGACTTTGCTATTAATTTTCATCTTTATTTTTATAGACTTTAGCCGGAATTTCGGGGAACACACACATTAGTGGTGCGCGAGTTGGCTGGTCATTCCGCTTTATGGCCCAATATGAGGCGGCCTTATCGGTTGGCCTGTTGCTAGTTATTAACATAAATATTTTCGCCTCATATTTTTCCGTCTGTCCCGGCTAATCAGGCCACCACCACCATTACCGCCAATCGATGGGGATGTGGATGTGGATGTGGACAGATGATGACAGCTGTGCCCGGTTACAGGCAACTTACCATAAGCTATCTCAAAAACAGGGCCAAAAAGTGCGTTGCGTTGGCCCATTGGATATCCCATCGCACGCAGAAAAAAAATATTATAGAATCCCCGATAAAGTGTCAACAGATACCGCCATGGTTCCCAAATGTCACTTGACTATATGGAGGGTTTTTTTTTGGGGGGGCGGAGAGTGGGTGGTTCAAGGTTGACAAACCCACCGGAATGCATAAAAAAGGTGGAGCAATCAGGAGCAGTTGAGCGGAAATGCAAACAAAATTGTTTTAAATGGGAGCTGATTGTGGTAGTGAATAAATTGGTTTTAAGTGTTTAAATTCATTCAAAGATAATCAAATGCAGTTCAATCTCTGGTGGATAGATTTAATTGCCTTGCAGTAAAGCTAAATATTTGGCTTGAGCTAATAAATAAATAATTAAAAATTTAATTGAATTTTTAAACCATTGTTTGAGAGTATTTTATAAGCTCTTCGTTTATATAAAAATCTAGAATTATAAATTATTTACTTTAAATGACATGAACAAAAAGCTCAAAAGCTATTAAGTCTAATTTTTGGATGGACTGTCTTCATTTTCAAGTCGTTTAATTTAATTTGTTTGTCGAACTGGGATTAGATAACTTTATATCTTAATCTTTCGCTGATGCAGAGTTTGAACAAATCAAAAGCTCTTAAAGTATTTCTTTTCCATTCTATTTTTAAACAATTTTAAGCATTTTTCTTTGAGCCAAAAGTTGGCTAGTTAACTTGAGATACACTTCATAAAAGCTCATTAAATCCGCCTGCTGGCTGATGTGTTAATTTTTTTCCAGGAAATGTTCGTTTTCATCTCGTTCAACAATGACCATGGGCTTCGACTCGGCTCGTTTGTGTTTGTGTGGGATGGGAGTTTGTTTGGCCTGCCAGCGGCTTCCTTCAACATGTCCACGTCCGCATCCACATTCACATCCACATCCACTGCGAACATCCATGTCCATGTCCACGTCCTTGTCGGAGTCAATGTCCATGTTGTTATCCGTGTGGCAAGTCGTGTCGTTGTCACTGGATGTTCGCAGCGTTTGTTTAATGTTTCCCTTTGAGCCCCACACACACATCGCACATCAGGGGTATTTGTTTATTTTCATGGCCGACGGACACTGTCGCTCACCTGTTGCTGCAAAATTAATTTCAATGGGTCACAGGTTGCCGGGTCGTCTCAAAGGTCGAGGTCAAAAGTATGCTTTCTTCCCTCAAATCCCCTCATTATTTATTATTTTTTTTATTCGCTGATTGGCGACATTAATCCAAAGCCACTGGGAGTAATTTCTTGCCGAGATTTTAGCCCGGCTTTACCGCATAGAGCATCATTATTATCATTTTCAGCTGGCAGCTTGTCAACGCAAATGAGCTAAATAAAAACGCAAAACAACAAACTTTTTATTGCGCATACGCCACGTTGTCGCTGGTTTTTCTCTAATGGGACAGCATGTTATTAGCTCGGTGCTCGGTTTTATTTTCTCTCTTTCTGCTCAGATGAAAACAAATTTGAATGATTAAATAAATTATCCAGCATTTGGCTCCGACAGTGCGGACTAAGCGTGCGAAGAATTTTTATGATTTCAAAAAAATGAGCACAACAAAATTGTTCAAAAGTCATCGTGAAATTTCTTCATCCGCAAAGATCACCGACCAATTTTATTATCTGAGGAAATCAGTTGACACTAGCCGCAGATTTTCGAACAGTTTGACAATAATTTATGGCTAGGATTCCTATATAATATGTATTTTGTTTTCATTGCTTAAGTGGCTGAGCAAATTCTTTTCCTCTTGCCTTTGATTTCGTGTTTAATGTTCGATAAATCGATGGGCATCCCAAATATATAAACGGCAGAAAAGGCAAGCGACAGAACCTGTTTGAGAATTTATTTTGCTGCAAAGATTTTCCAAATCGTTGGGCAAAATCCAGCCCAAGGGCAGATTATGCCGCTTAATGTTCTGTCTCCTTCACCAGATTTTTCCCCTGATTTTCCCTTCCCGGATTTTCCCGCCTTCTTCGAACCGCTGTCTGTTTAGTTTAAACTCGACGTCTTTTACGGTGATTATGACACATGTGTATGTGTGTGTGTGTGTGTGTGAGTAAGGGGGGTGGTGTGCACATGCTGGGGTGTGTGTTTATTCCACCTTTGACTGCCTGCTGTTTACTTCAAGTGGCATTCTTCTTTGGGGGCATCGCAATGGCTTGTTGTTCTCAATTTAGACTCAAATCAAGCCAAAGGTTGGGCCGCCGGCGCAGATGTTTACACAAAAATTCACTTCATTTGGTTTGTGACAGGATGGATGAGGCACTCGGCACTCTCCTTTGAAGTGTGCGTCATAATTAACTATCGGCGAATGTCCTTAGGTATTTTTTGAACGGCAATTTGCCCTGGAAATAAATCGAGGAAGTTTACGATTCTCTCCTCCCGTTTTTTTCTTATTTTTTTGGGACCCTAATTGGTTTGCATTTGATTTCACATGGTCGCATTCTTGTCCCTCTGCTTTGTTCAATTTTATTATGGGGAATCGGATTTTGTCAGTTTCGTCGTCCGAGGAATTTCACTTCTTTTGTTGGTTTGGCTAGCCCAGCTGAAAAATGCTTTTGAAAGTGAATAATTGGGTGGGGGAAAGGCCAAATTTACTGAGAATAAAGGATTTCTACACAATAAACTTTGTCAATAAAAAAAGGTTTACTGGCCAATGCAGAAATGCAATAAAAATATTTAGTAAAGGTAGTGGCTTTCGTGTTGTGATTTAAAATATAAGGTATAAAGCCAAGTTTACTTAGCTAATCTCCCTTTAAGTCTTGTTGAATTACCCTATCAGAATCGAATCAAAATTGACCAAGCTTTTAACTAACACAATTTTCCTTCTGCTCCACCGATTTCCCTTCGGAGCAGTTCAACTGGAATCAATTGCGACTTCCTTCTTATTTATCCATCTATCTGATTCTCAAACTCTTTATGCCATTCTGTTTGCATGGACATTGCTGATCCAGACAGTTGCAATTATGTTATTTTTTTTCGAGAAAAGGGGGAAAGGAAAGCTCCTGCCGGAAGAACTCGCAGTGTCCATCAATGTGAGCTGGGAGAAAAAAGAAATCGCCACCAGGGAAATAGAGAAATGGATAAAAAGTTAAGCCAGCACGGAATTTATTCGCATTTGAACTGCTGTTTGTTTGTTTGTTTGGTTTGCGTTCGCTTTGGTTTTGTTTGGTTTGGTTTGGTTTGCTTTCGGTCGCTGGAAGCATTCTAAGTGTGTGCATAAATATTTTTGTTAGTTGTCTGGCTGAGGAGGAGTTATGCAGCGGAAATGTGTCCCACTTCACTGCCATCCCGGCCAACCCGGCCATCCCGGCCAGTTTCCCTCACTTCCCTCAGTTCGCTGCCCAATTGTCACTGGCACTGGGCCCAGTCACGTTTTTTCTCTTCAAGTTAACAGGGAGTTGTGCACAGGAATAAAAAACAATTAGATTAAAGAATTTGTTTGTATTAAAAAAAAATATAAACATTCCATAAAAACATTTAGAAAATAAGTAAAATTTTATGATGTCTAAATGTTTTTAAATGAAATTACAAAATCGTTTATTAAAAACAATGTTTCCGGAAAAAATATTTGCTTCAATTAAATTACCTTGAAATTCCCTTTTTATATTTAAATAAAAAAAATATTTTAAACAATATTATCCTATGAAAAGGCCACTTGAAATTTGAAAAAAAAATCTCACTGTAATGTAAAATAATTTAATTAGCTTAATTGTTGCGGCTCATTAAAACGCTCTTCGAAATAATCATTCTTAGATTATCTTTTCGAACTTTTTAATCGTTCATTAAATAAAATGATTTTTGTTTTTTTGTGCGGTGTAAACATTTTAATAAATAATTGTGTTCCCCCGGTTAAAGGCTGTGTTTTTTCTCGCCAGTGCAACAACAAGGGGGACACGGCTGTCATGTTCATAGCTTTTCCGGGCGTACAAAGAGTCCAAAGAGTCCAAAGAGCAATGACAGGGGCGACAACATTTTCGGGGCTAAGTGGTGGGCGGAGTGGGCGTGGCCAGAAGGCAGAAGGTGGACAATGCCGCGCGACCTGGTCGAAAGCACCGTGCTCAACCTGCTGCCAACCTTAACATGCCCATGGGCATTTGGCTCCCAATGTTCCCAATGTGCCCAATGTGCCAGGTGCAGGCCAAAGTGCTTTCAGGATCACACAGCTTTGTTCCCCCGGAACTCTCCTCCACTCACCCAGCAATGAACTCCTCGATGCAGCTTTTAATTGAATTTGGAATATTTTGGGCCGGGGACCCTGGCAATCTGGCCAATCCACTTCGCAACGAATTTGGCTGTGACCAGAATGGAATGCCCTGAATCCCCTTTGCCTCAACTTCAACTTCACCTTTGGCCCTGCAATTAGTGGTGGCTGTTCTCTTGCTCAAGCTCTAATGGAATTAGTTGTTAATTTGATTTGCCATAAAAGCAGTTCTGGTCTCTATTCCCATTCGCATGCAACTATGTATCTGCGTGTTTGTGGCTGTGTGTGTGTTTTTGCGGCTCAATTCTGTGGGCGCAATGGAGTGGGCGTGGCTAGGGGAAGTCGCGTGTCCGTGGAGCCAGCAGACAACACTTTAGTTTAATTGGCAGGCGGTGCAAAAGTGCATGGAGCATCGGACCCGCACACATTGGAAAATCAGTGAGTTGAAATCAGAATGCCGCACTGCAGCTACATTTGTTTTTCCCCACTACTATGTTTCGATTCGGAAAATGTGGTCACGGCTATGCCAGTTCTGCCAGACTGTGGAGTCCTGATTAGGCCATAGATCTCTCTGGGGGAATTGCTGCGGCGATTTGTATCGCTAATGATTGCCCGCAATGACTGCTCTTTGTTTGCTCCGACTTGTTTCGCTCATTTCTGCTGATTGCAAGTGACCAGACATTTAATGCTATCTGATTCAGTCGCAAACGAAATCTGTTTTTGTCTTCTATTAAGACAAATGTTCAAATAGAGCATTGTCTTTTGGCTTGGTTTAAAAAAAGGCGAAATGATGAGTAATAAAATTGTGGTGCACATGCACACTTCGACATGAAAAACAATATGAAACTTAATTCCTGGAAAATGTAATTACCGGAGAAACATAGTAATTAACAAAGTACAAAAAAGATTAAAAATGTTTTACACAGAAATCTAATTTCTATGGCTGTGGTTTGCCATTTTTTAATCCAAGCTTTTGTTTAGCCGTAATTATTTTCATTCCTTTAAAGGAATTTAATTTACAACAGCCACACAATTGTATCTCTATTTCCCTTGGGCTGCGCCGTTTTTCTCTGCATTTTCCCCCAGGGCTTTTCTTTAAATTTATTTTCCCATTTAAAGGCAACGCTTGTCCCAGCGGAGTTTTTACTGCTCGATTATCGGAAACACATCCGCAGCTTGTACAGATCCTACTCCATGACTTCTGATAAAATTTTATTTTATTTTATATGGTCATGCATTGCCGCCTGCAGTTGGAAATCCATTTATCTTTTGTTACACTGCCCGGAATTGATTGTTATTTAGCAATTTCCCCGCACCACCGCACAAATGGTTTATAGCACCCCAAAGAATTCACTTCCAAATAAACCATTTCGGGAAAGGCAGACCATAAACTGATGGAGGCTGTCGACTCCTTGCCGTTGAATATTTAATGCATGGGCCAACGTGGCGTATGAGTGATTTTCGCTCTTTTTTTTTACCCGATGCCCGATTATCCTGTACCAAAAAAAAAGGGACTGGAAATGAAAATGGAAGTTTAAGGAATGAAAGTAAACAAATCGAACTGCCGAACGGAAATGCGAAAAGTGCCAAGGCACACGACACTTTCCTCGAGGGTTATTTTTGTGGTTAAATATCTATTTGGGTCACGACACTGCAATTAGGCAATTTAATTAATCAAAACAAACCTTTCTTTCCTTCAGCTGTTGGCTGTTGGCACCTTCACTCACTTTCCCCGCCGGCGGTAAATTTTGTTTGTGGCTGGTTGGTCACCAAACTCGAACATCCATCCAAAAAGTTTATGCTGTTTTGGGTTTGGGGGGCACTACTTATGTATTTGATCGATAATTTGTATAAAAAATAACAGCGGTGGCAGCCCACTTTATATAGAATATATATATATATATATATTTATAAGTATAGTGAAATAATTTTTTTGCACTTGTTCACTTTCTTTCTCCTTGTTTTCCGTTATTTTTAGATAATGTGAAGTGAAGCCGAAACCGAAACGCACAAAAATTTTCCTTCTTTTCAGATGTTTTCCACCATAAAACTTGTGTTCCGACCGTAGAAACACATTGACTAGCTATTATAGTCTGTGTATATTATTTGGATTATTTTCAGGTGGTCTGGGTTTTTCCAAACGCGGGTTTTTCAATTCGAAACAAAATTCGAAACGATGCGTTAGGCGCCTGGCGATTTTCCAACCGCTTTTCACATCCGATCCGTGCGAGCGCCGTCGAGTGTTTGAAGCGATTTCAATTCGGTTCGGTTTGGTTCGCCGCCTTCGGTCCGACGCTTTCAACTGTGACGTCACGGAAAAGCTCTGCCACGTCACCGTTAGCTTTTCCGTGCACTTTGCTCTGTGTTGTAGTGAACGTCCCTCCCAATTTGATTGCCCCACCGCGTTGGGATTGTTTGTATTTTTTCTTTACGACTTTGCTTTGTTTATCTTTAGCTGTCTCTGCTGACTTTGTTTTGTATGTTCCATCAATGGAGCATAAGGAAGGGTGGAGAGTGGGTGGTTCAAGGTGGCGAAAAGTGGGTGGTACTTGGGTGGAATGTTGGGCAGCCAAGGCACTTTAAGGATTGCAACGTTCACAACTATATTTTTTTGTTTTTGTTTTTCGACCCTTTTCTCTGGCTTTTCCTTTGTTTTGCTACTGATTCTCTTTCGGTCTTTTTTTTTTTTTTTTTTTTTTTTGGCTGGCGTTGTTTATTGCTCGAGTTTTCCGTTGGTTCTTTTATGATCCGAAGCGCTGACAGCCCAGCAATATTTCGAATTTGTGACGAGCATTATTCGGCATTTTATTAATGTTTCGATTTCGGCAGAGGACATGGGGGGTTTTACCCATTGCTCATGCCGCTGTATTTCCCAATATACTCACATGTTTGCACAGGAAAAATTCAAAAAGAAATTAACACTGTGCTATGAATCCGTATCATATAAATATATGGATCATAAAATGAAAGAAAAACTTGTATACCTCAAATAAAAAATAACTTTTTGTTTGCATCTGTTGAATAAATTAAAGTTTGAGCAAAACCCAAAATATCATGTACATTAAACAAATTTACAAGCCTATAAAAACAGAACATAATCTTTCACAGCAGATTTAATGATTCATTTTCGGATTTATTTACTTAGTTTAAACCACAAACATGAATCATAAATCTTGAATAGTTCTCCTTTTAGTGTAGCCTATTTATCTGCTGATAAAGTGCTCATATTTCCCATTTAAGTAGTTCCAGTTGGGAAGTTCTGACCCGAAACACTTCGGTGTGAGGCACCTTGCACTCAGTTCGCAATTACCTAAATGGCCAAACTCATTTGCCAAGTGCAGGAAGTGCAGGTGCCGAAAATAGCAACAACAAAGTGCACCTGCTGCACTACCAAATGCAATTAATCTTCGGCGAAAACCCGTCAGACAAACCGCAAACAATCTCGCTCAGCGCAAACAAATCCCATTCACGTTGCATATGGGTAGCATTTTGTAATATTTTTCGTAACGTTACAATATGTCAACTTGAATGGTGATTGAGTGGACGTGGAAATCGTACAAGGGCCTCAAAAGGGTGGCTCGGAAAAGTCGGAAAAGGTTAAGGCGTAGGGAAAACTCACTCATAAGGAATCCTCGACGGAAGTCAAGTGGTGGCGGCCTTTGAACTGTTTGTTATTGTTCCGCGTTGGGGGAGCTTTTCGTTATGAATACATTAAAGACTTTAATGCCTCAAAATAGAAAAGAAAATCTTTAAGAAAGAGTTCAGCAAATTGGAACAAAGGTATTTAACAGGTATTCAAAGCAATGAGGTTAAAAAATAGTCATACAGTATAGAAAAATGTTTAAATTGTATTTACTAGCATATATGTAAATTTATTAAATATTTTATTTTTGTTTTTGGTAATGGGACATGTTACTATTTGGGATATCAGAAATCCTTTTACAAATGAAACTGCTATATTTTTATTTATTTTATGATCCCACCGATTCGAAAATGACTGTATTAATGATTCTAATATGGTGGCTTCTCCCTCTAGGTCGTTGAATACGATGGCCTATATCTTATCAGCATAGGGTGTGTTTGTGTGGCATATTATCATAAGCCTTGATTTATTTATAGAGGCGACCAGGTGGCCCACACCCATACACGCATACGGCGAAACGCACACAAACACAAACAAACACTCAGATTGCCTTTGTCCTCGCTCAAGTTCGGAGCTCAGAGAGCTGTCAATTGATTTACTTGACCCACATGGGCAAAAACTGAACTCGAACGAGCAGACGGGCCAGCCACACCCACCACCCACCGGAAAGCACCCACCGCCTACTTTTCCTGCGGTTTGCCGCCTTTTCACTAATGCGATCAATATTCGGCGGATGAAAAAGGGGGCAAGGCAACGAGTTGCTAGCGGTTGACCCACAAAAAGAAAGGTTTAACGTTGGCTTTAAGGCCAATTGTTGCTTCTGTCGGCGGATGGAAATTGGAGGTTGGCCCTCAGGTGCTGGTCAATTAGAAGAAAATTCATTTTCGCGGATTTCCCGGCCAAACGAAAATTTATGTTAATTTATTTCGAAAAAAAAAACTTTTTAATTAACCCACAAACGCTGGATTGAGACAGCCGAACATCCCGACTTTTTTAGGTGTTGCTGCCAAGTGGCGACTTGCCACCAACGAAGTGTATTTGTATCTGTATCCTGTGCTCTGTATCTTTTGCCTTCCGTTTTAATCTAGCTAATCTATGCAAATGAAATGCGCACACCTGTCGGCCAGACAGACAGGTGGGGCAATGGGCAAAATGAAAAGGAATTCTGCTCAGCTGTCTGCCTTCTGCTGTGGCTTTGTTGGTCGCTTTGAGCCCGTGTTTTTTGGCTACAATTTGCCAGAACTTGCCTCGCCGCAAACGCTTAATTGCAGCCCCAGGGCTGTGGGTAAGTGTATAATAAGGAGCATTCACAGCGGAAAAAGGAAAACAAAAACGAAGAAAAGAAAATCATGTGGGCTGGTGTCACAGGATGAAGCCATTGCTAATGATATTCATGAGTTTGTCTTTGGTTTGGTCATTTCCATTTCAATTGAGTTGGAGAATGGGAGGAAGTCTCGGCGTAAGTCTGCTTAAAAGTTTATTTTTTCAACACCTCAATATTACAGATAAAGAACGATTTAGTCTTGGGGAAATAAGAAAAGTTTTTTCAATTCTTGGATGCTTTGAAAAGTAAATTTCAATTAAAATGTAGCAATTATGTCAAAATATGTAAAATATGTAAAATGTAAAAATATTTGTATAATTAAAGTGTAAGAGGTTCTAGATACATATTTATATTCATGTGAAGAAAGGGCAAAAATGTTTTAATAAAATCTTTTCAGCTCTTTGATTTTTTATTGACCCCAAAATATATTTGTTTTTATTAACTCTTTTGTGCGTTTCAAAGGGCGATCTTTGGTAAACAGCCCAAAGCCAATAGCTCCCTGATTGTGTGATTTATCTCCCACCACTTCATATATCCCATCCATAGCTCTCAACTATGCCCATTTCCATATCCCGCACTAAGCAAACATCATCGCGGTCGGGGAAATCCCTTCCATCTTCCACTCGACGCGTTGCGTTGCGTTTCGCAAAGTGAAAGATAAATGGAGGTTGTAAAAGCAGAGCACTTCGCATAGTCGCAGGCCAAAAGAAGAAGAAGAAGAAGCTGAAGGGGGGGATCGGGGTAAGAGGAAAGGGAAGCCACTTTATCATAAACTCAACAGGTTCGAGCGCAAAACCCCCCTCGAAAACCTCCCCCCTCGCCATCCGTATGTTTTGCCATAAAAGTTGCTCTGCTGATTGAATAAAAATTTCATTAAACGCACATTTTCTAGCAGCTTGAAGGCGTTTTTCCAACGCTCCATCTGCAAAATCCTTTGGAGGAAGCGAGGAGCGATGGCCCAAGGCAGCTCTTTTCCTTTCCCGTCTGTCGTATATTTTAATTGCCGGCATTAGGCGTTCGTTGATAGGCCATAAAAAAAAGCAGTTGGCTCGACGGAAGCCGTCAAAGACTAAATGGATGACTTATCTCCAGAGAATCATTGGCAAGCTGTGCTAGACACTCTCCTTCAGGATTTGGAATTGCACAATGAAAACCTTTCAAACCCCATGAAATATTATACATTCCTGATCTGCCCGAAGGTATTCTTAGGGTTTTCCTTTTCGCTTTTTGTTTTACGCGCCTCGTCGGCTTCATTTCCGTTTGCTTAAAGGGGCGGTAATGGAGAAAGTAAGGGGTGTGGAGAAAGTAAGGGTGCGTTGAAGAAAGTCAGAGGGATGAGAGGAAAAGGGAAGGCATTGTCATTCTGATTTTGCGGTTGCTTATTCGGTTGTTAAATCGTTTTTATGACGTATTCCCCGCCACCGAAAATTTTCGCTTTGCGGTTAACTTTTTCCCACCGAACTTCCCGCCCCTCATTTCCACTTTCCCTTTTTCCTGTTTTCCACCTCACCCCGTGCGAATCTCTCGGGCATTACTCATCCGTCTGTGTTAAGCTTTCGAGTGTTTGGGTAATTTCACAGATTTATGCAACTTTTTGGCGGAAAACGAAAATAAAAGAGGAAGGAAGGGGCTGATGGGGTTGCTTGAGGATTTCACTCATTTCTTTCCTCGCTGCCAATTATCTGCAGAAATGGTCTGAAGTTATACTCCAGTTAATCATTTTTGGTTAGGAGGTGAAATTGGCCATTATTCAATTTAATTGCACATTTATATGTTTTTTTTTATTTCCATATATTTTCCATATTTTTTATTCTTCTAGGTCTTGTAAATCAATCAATTCATTCCCTAATTTAACTTTAAACGTTTTAAAATGCATGATTTTTGCCTAACAATTATTTAATAAGTTAATATTATTTTTGAAAACAATTATCTTATCTTGAACCTGCAATATTTAACTGTAAATATCTGCTAAATAAATGTTAACAGCACTGCTATGTATATTTACACATACCCTTAAAATATTATGTAGAATAGCGCCCTCTACACGTTTTCAAACACTTGCAAAATTTACATTTCCGTTAACGAGGTCAGGCGTGACTTTTCTCAATTTGGGCGCTGGTAATTAGTTAAGAGAAACTTAAACAAATTCTGGGCCATAAAAACAGTTTTCATTTATACCTTTTCATTTACACAAGAAGAATCCAAAAACTTGCCCTTATCATTCCCCTTAACTGAGCAATGAAACTCTGTTAACAGAACTGAA